CAGTGGCTATCCTGTTTGGACAGCTGTCAATTGACCATATTGTTAATGTCCTATATTAAAGATGTGGACTTGCCAAGACACGCCTGAGACACCCCTCCCTTCCTTTTGATAGTCTCCCCTACCCCACCCATACAATCTGTAGACGCGTACGTACGTACGCTCGGTCAATCACGTGACAACCAAACGAAAAGAGGTTGACCATATTCCATGGGTATGGGGCTCTGTCCCACGCGCGCTTCGCGCGCGCGGGAGCCCCGCTATTAAAGGCAGTTTTCATTCAATTTCTATTAGCTCGCGAGAAAGAACAACAAAGCAAACAAAGCAACAACGGCAGCAACAGCTACGAAAATGTCAGTTTAAGGTGGCTCCATCATTAATACTGGCGCATTTAGTTGTGACGAAGTTTTCGTCATAACTTTTTCGTTTTGAACGCGATGGCTGCGAACCTTTGCAAAGAACAGCAGATATCATTCGACAATAGTACGAAATATTCCGATTTCGTTGATGGTAAATATTTCTTGAGAAATTAGCGCTTAAAAGGACCCTACTGTTCCAAGAAAATCGCTTCTAGTAAAAAATTTTGCCGATATTTTTTACTGAAATTTCTGGAATCGGCTTTAATTGATATAACAAATACACTAGAGGATTTTCAGAAGAATCGTTGGAGCAGAAGCCCGTAACTATAAGTAGCTCAAAATTCTGATGTGAAATTGTTTTGGAATTTCAAAAATAAATTACTATCAGGTAGAAGAAGACACCAGTTTGAATTTTCGGGACAAGTAAATTCAGTGCTTGTTAATTCATAAAACAAAAGCCGATTGCTTATCGTGCTATTCTTTAAAAAGTAATTTTTAGTTTTAAAAGCGCTATAAATTACTCCAAACCTTGCTCTAAAGTAGAATGACTTGTTCCTCGACATTTTTAAAATATCCCTTGGCAGTTTTGGTTCAAACTCCTGGCGTTCTTTGTAGAAAATTTTAAATGAGTACGTGTGCAATCATTTATTAGAGGCAGTTTTCATTCAATTTCTATTAGCTCGCGAGAAAGATACAAGTTTACTTGCTTGCTTTTGTTTCTACAGATAGTATCAGTGTTGTTGTTTAAAATTATATCTATGTAATGCAATCTTTTTCGTCAATAGATGCCAAGGCTGTGAATGAAAACCAAACTCAGCCTCGTTCCCAGTCGTCCTCGGCGATTTCGGATGTGACGTCACCTGTCAAGCTTGTCGAGAAAGTTCGCCAAGGACTCGGTTCCAAGCCTCCTCTGGTAACTCGGATAGCGCGAACTGGCCAGGGTACGAGGCTGAACCAAACTCATTCAAGTGTGGAAAATACAGAAAACACGATGAAGATGATTGAACAAGAAGATTTTGTGGTGACCAGCAGTTTGTCATTCCATGAGAACAAAGCAACTGCAGAAGAGAAATTTGTCAAATTGCAAAAAAGCCCCACCGGAATCACCATAGTAATGTTAAACTGTCCAGAAGTGTGACGCTGTTAAAGGGCATCTCTTTAATGGTAGGGGTTATGATTGGCTCTGGAATATTTGTGTCACCACGTTATGTCCTTTTGCATTCTGGTTCAGTTGGTGTTACCCTAATGGTATGGATATCATCTGGTGTTATGGCAATGTCTGGAGCTTTGTGCTACTGTGAGCTGGGGACAATGATTCAACGTTCTGGTGGCGAACTTACCTACATTCGTGAAGCGTTAGGTCCATTAGCAGGTTTTTTAGTAAGCTGGACAATGGTTCTGATATTGAAGCCAGCCTCTGTAGCCATCATTACATTGAGTTTCGCATCATATGCTATTCAGTCATTTTTGAATGAGAAAGACATGGACACTGAACAGCTTATCAAATTTATAGCTGCTGTCTGTATCATTTTGATTACGACTGTGAACTGTGTAAGTTCACGATGGGCTGGTCAGATGCGGGTCATTTTTATGGTATTGAAATTACTGGCTATTGGCATTATAGTCTTGATTGGGGCTTCTCAAATTGTCACTGGACACTATGAGAATTTTTAGTCTCCTTTTAAAGGTACAAAACCAAATATTGTAGAAATCGCCCATGCTTTCTTTAGTGGACTTTGAGCTTATGATGGCTGGAACCAACTCAATTATGTCACAGAGGGGCTGCAAAACCCTCACAAGAATCTACCACGTGGAGTCATGATTGCTCTCCCTCTCGTCACATTTTGCTACACTCTTGTTAACATAGCATATTTCAGCATCCTGACACCAGCAGAAGTTCTCTCATCTAATGCAGTGGCTGTTTCAGTGGCTGAAAAAGTGCACCCCTCCCTTGTTGTCATTATGCCGCTGTTTGTAGCTTGCTCCTGTTATGGTGCTGCTAATGGCTCTATTTTCACCAATGGAAGAGTGGTATGTTCAGCTGCTAAGGAAGGTCATATGCCTCACTTTCTAGCCACCATTAATACCCATTTTAATACACCATTGCGTGCCATCATGTTCCCATCATCTATATCCCTCTGCCTGTTGATGATTGGTAATTTAGATTCTCTACTAACCTGCTTCAGCTTTGTGGCTTGGATTTTCCTTGGTGGAACTTTCCTTTCTCTTCTGATCCTACGTTGGAAAAAGCCCCATGATCTATGTCCTTACAAAGTATGGATTGGGATCCCTGTTGTCATGTTAGTGGTATCCTGTTGTCTTGTTATTGCACCTTTGTTAGCAAAACCACAAACATCTGCAGTTGCATTGGTTTTTGTCTTGTCTGTGGTCGCTGTGTATTTGCTTTTTGTTGACCGCAGTAAATAAGTTGGGTTACAGTCAAACCAGGTCAAGCGTTCCCGTCACTAGCAAACTAATGAATTCATTAATGGAAAAATGATTTTGTTTGTTGATTCAATAATCCATTCATAAAATGAATAATCGAACAATCAAATTGGACCTCGATTCAATAATTAAATGTTTATTTGGTTTATTAACAAAATCTACCTGTTCTTTATTCTTGTCTGTTGAGTTCAATCGTCTTTGCTTCCCTTTTCCTGCCGTTTACGACTGCGTTTGTAATTGCCTTTAATCAAAATAACAGCTAGAAGAGACAGACCGCAAACACAAAGAAACTGACAAAGGCCGGGGATCGAAATCCACCAATCACCGCACATACACGACTGACCTTAGTTTCACTATCGTGTTTCCTAAGAGGTCAGGTCCGTTGCAGTGAATACTGGAAACAAAATGACGTACATGTAACAGTTTGTTTGGGTTTGAAATTCAGAACTCGCCCGAACTCGACTCTAAGAAAAAAAGGAGAAAAAAAAGTGTAGTTTTTCTAAAAACAGTAATCGAATCAACATTCGATTATGGAATCGAGGCTAAATATGAATATTGGATTGTTCATTTTATGAATGGATTATTGAATCAATAAACGAAATCATTTTTCCGTCAATGAATTTATTAGTTCGTTAGCGACGGGAACGCTTCACCTGGTTTGACTGTAATTATGATGATTGCTTTAGTTAGTCTACCCAAATGTATGGTATAAAGGGCTTGGGATTTAGCTGTCCTATAGTACACATTGACATCTTTCACTAAACCTTAAATGTAAGAAGTGAAATGGGCTCTTTGCATGATGTGATCAACTCTGATAAACACAAAAACAGTTCACTTTTGGAAAATTTTGTTAGCACAAGCAGAAAGAGCATATTAAAATTAGGTAACCTGAGAATTTTCAGCTGTATTTCTCAAAAGTAGTGATTGCAACAGTCGCCGAAAGTTGGAAGCATTTGTATGAGAAAAACAAAAAATTGTTTTTCAAAAGTGAATTGTTTTCGTGTTTACCTAAAGTTGATCATTTGATCACACTCATGCAAAGAGCCTATTGTGAGACTCGGGCAAGTCTGCAAGTCTGAAAAATAGGGGTAGACATGTTAAAATTTCATTTACTTTACAAAAGTGATATTTATGTTCTTGATGAATTTTGTTACAAGTGAATACACTGTTAAGGCAATTTTATTCTCTCAATTCTTTATTTATTTCCACTATATAGGACATTAAAAAACAATAATAAAAATTATTATATTACAAATAAAAGCAAAAAAAGGATAATGAGTAATCTTAAGACTAAGAAGAGGTAATATACACATATTATTGTCTGTGGTGTCCAAAGCAGCAAGAGATTTCTAGTTGGACACTGCCATGTTCAAATAAATGGCAGCCAAAAAATAAACTAAAACTAAATCCAGCTGATTGATTTGATTTACATCAGTTATTATAAATTTGTATAATGTCAATGTAAAATGTCAATATTTTTTCTTGAGACCACCCATATTGAAAAATGTTCAGTTATCACATGTAAAGATGGTATATACCAGTTACTAGCTTTTCTTTTCGAAAATATCTGTGTAAAGTGATCTTTGTGGGAAAACTATTCTAAACTATTCTGGTCATGAATTATAATAAAAAAAATTGGTCAATTTTCGCAGGACCCGGCTATGGCATGTACATTAAAAATGAGCTGAATGTAATAGGAAAATTTAGAGAAAAATTTATTGAAACGTTTTGATCTGGATGTCCAGTTTTTCTTGATAAAAATATAATATGCCGGAATTCCTGCTAAAATAACTGACAGTCCAAACACAGACTCCAAGGGATTGGACAAAAAGGGTGTAGCTGTAAAACACAACGAAACACCCGCCATGAAAAAGGGAATAACAATATTGACTTTGAAATATCTTGGTGTGTCCGCTTTTTTCCTTCTCAACCAAATCAAACCAATGAAAATGGCAGAGAAGATAAGCCAGTCTACAAACAATAACCAGTTCAGTAGATTTTCAATATTAGTGGGGAGGAGCATAAGAAGTGCCAATATGGCACGCATTAGAATTGCTGGAATAGGTGTTTGAGATTCCCTGTGAATCATGGCTAAAAATGAGGGAAGCTGCTTCTCTCTGGCAACTGAAAATAGTGTCCTTGAACTGGTGAACAATCCCATGTTAAGAGTACCTAAACACGATAAAGACACAATAAGAGGCATAAGTGCTCCAAAAACCGGGCTTAAACGAGAAGCAAATGAGATAGCAACAGCATCCGAAGCAAGGATCTCATGCTTTGTTAATACGCTGAAATACGCCAGGTTTATCAAGACGTAAGACAACGTAACTATGAGAACGGATATAACTAAAGTTCTTGGAAAGTTCTTTTTAGGGTTTTTAACCTCTTCTGTGATGAAGTTAAGCGAGTTCCATCCACCATAAGCCCACATTGCACTGTAGAAGGCGTGGCCCACGTGACCTGGACTTATAGCACTGTCATTAAAAACATGCTGTGGGTCAAACCCTTTGGTGTTGCCAGCTATTAATCGGACTAGGGCTACAATAACTATACTAGCCACTGCAATCATCTTACAAGATGTAAACAGTACTTGGACTCGGGCAGCCAAGCGAATACTGAGGCAGTTTACAGCTGTCAAAATGCAAATTGCACAAGATGCTAAAAGTTTCACTAAGCCAACTGGTGGTTCGCAGGCGATATCCATGGCGGCGGTTGCCTTGCTGGGAAAGAACGGCTCAGTAGCATACACAGCGAAAGTTAGGCTGAGTATGGCAAAAGCAGCGGGGTCTAAAAACCACACATTAACCCAGCTGTATAAGAACCCAATGAAGCGGCCGTAAGCGAGTTTCAAGTAGATATAATCGCCACCAGATTTCTCGATGAATGTTCCAAGCTCGCAGTAACAAAGTCCTCCCAAAAGACTCAGAACACCGCCAAACGTCCATATTAACAGAGTCTCTCCCATGGATCCGGCATGTAGAACAACGTACCGGGGGGATATGAATATTCCCGACCCGATTATTCCCCCTACCACAATGGCGATCGCGTGGACGAGACCAATTCTTCGCTTGATTTGAACTGCTGTTGTATCATTTACGGCTTCAAGAAATGGACTCCTTTCTGAATTAAGTTCATCCTCGTCATCCATGTTTTCTTCGTAATTATCCTCTCCTCCAACGTCATCAATGCTACATTCTTCATTTCCCACTAAACTACGTTCCTCTTCATCATCTTCCATTAACGGTCGTATGTCCATGCCATGTAATGGTTAAATCAGCTTCGCATGTACGATTTTAGCTGTCTCTGTTCTAGTGGCAGTTTTTTTGGTTCGTTCTCTTTCCGTAATGGCTGCGGCTTTCAACCATGATATTGGCTGTCTTTACACAAGGCTGTCAAGTAAGACTTAAGAGCCGCTAAGTTTTACTTAACCAAAAATTCGTGTGTGAAGGCCTAAGTAAAATCTCAAGTAACTTTGCTTTGCATCTCATTAAAGGCGGAAAGTTGACACGATTCAAGAAAATTTGAAGCGACTTGAAAACCACCCTTTATGACCGACTTAGCTGACTTGCGGTTTTGCGGTTTCTTGAGCTTTGACAAATTCGAGACATGTCAATCAACTCAGAATATCTTTTGTAAAGAATGAGCCCCAGTTTGTGCCTATTGTAGTAGATGGTAAAGAACTAGAGAGAGGGACTAGTGCGAAACTACTAGGTCTGACCATATCGAGCAACCTTACGTGGAACGAACATATTAGTGACGTAATCAAGAAAGCGTCAAAGCGTCTGTATTTTTTAGTGCAGTTAAAAAGATCATGAGTTCCTCGGCATGATATGTCTACCTTTTACACTGCTTGTATACGCGCTGTTCTTACTTACGCAGCACCTGCCTTTTTTTTATGCCTTGCCAAAGTACCTAAAAGACGAGTTGGTGCGACACCATTATAAAGGACCCTGAACACCGTCTGAACAGGTTAATACAATTTAGTGGACCGTCACGTTATGCCCTAAGGTGCAACAGGCGCTTCATCGTACCTAAATGCAAGACAGATCGTTTTAGGGACAGTTTTATTATTAGATCCTGCATCGATAATATATATACGTAGATTTTCAGTCCTTTTATCATATTTTTTATACTTTTATATTTACTGTACTTAGTTTTATATACACATTTTATCAGTTCAATCATTTGTAAATACGTAATTCAGCCTTCGGGCTGCAATGTATTTTTTATTAAACTATCTCAATCTTAATTTTGATGCGTGAGAAAATAACCTGAAGTAAAAAAGAATCGGTTGTGTGTGAAGCTTTATTTTACCTGAAGTAATTAAAATTTACTTGTCTTGAAATATTTCTTAGCTTATTTAGGCTCTAGTGTAAAGACTACCATAATTGACTGTCGACATTGGAATTTACAGGTCACGCACGTTCAACAACAACAGTAGGCCCGCAATCAAGAATCAAGTTACAGAAGTAAACTTATCAGATAAATGTCACGATAACTTGTTAATACTTATCTTAGTCTCAAAATATTTTTTACACCGGCAACTGCTTTTAAGATACGCTAATTTGTTTAAAGATATGCTAATCTCATTGTCAGTTAAAGCTAAAAACAAACTTAATCTGCACGTGTCTGTTGTTTCTGTAGCGCTTGTGCGCACGTGTTCGAGGACCAAATTTCCACAAAGCTTGATAAATCTTGGTTCAAAAGGCTGTGTATTGCTCGTACATGGCACAGGGTATGTTCAAGTTAAATTTCAAAAATCATGGACCCGGAATACGTGGCTGCGTTAGAGACCCCGGAACAAAAAAATGAGAAATGGCTAACTCTAGCCAAGGTTTTTCGGGTGGATGTTGATTGGTATACGCGAGTTCGCAATCCCTTATACGTTTGGCTTAAACAGGGATTTGCCGCTAAATAATCATTGGTTTTTGAGGGTCTTGGGAGATACACAGGGTAAACAAGTCACTAGTTGGGTCTTGAATAGGGCGCTTTTTTGAAAGGCTTTAACAGAATTTAGTTATTCTCCTTAAAGCAGCTTTTGCAATACTGTATGTGGTTGTTTGGTCACATGTTGAACGGGTTTGAACAGTTGGCGGTACGCTGTCTAAATGTGTGGTAAAACTTTTTTTTCCAGTTCCATCGTGTCAGATTTTTTAGTTTTGTCATTGAAAAGAAATAAGAGGTTGAGTTTCATCGTCGGGGTGAACGTAGTCCTGAACAGGACTGTTGTTGTCGACAGTGGCTGAAGTTTCTACAACTTGACGGTATTAAAGTGAGTTGTATCACGTCAGTTGATGGTTATTGAATGTTATTAGTCCTCTGTCAAGGCGCGGTTAGCGAGGCCATGCGTTTGTCGCCTGTCGGTAGCCCATGGCCTGTTTACTTTGTTTGCATAAGAAAGAGCGAGCTCTATGTGTGATCCGAAATTGGGTTTGTTGTCCTTGGACCGTCTATGCCTTGCTCTACTTGCTCTTAAGGTCTCGGTAAATGAAAATTTTAGTACATTGCTCGATTTTGTTTTTTTGGGATTTTTGGCATGAGTGGGTCCTAAATTTTATTTTGGAAGAAAAAGAAAATCAGAAAGTGCTTTTTAACCCTTCTAAAATGGGCCTTTTCTGAGCTAACCAGCCAAGCGTGGACCTCGCGCTAAATCTTTAGAGCTGATTTTCTCTCACTCTATTTTAGACGCAAAAATCAAAATTCTCCGACCTCCAGTCGGGACAGGTTTTAAGCTATCGCTTTGAAACTTTCAGATATGATGGATAATGATATAGACTCAAAAAGAGTGTGAGGAATTTTCCGATTTCCCTTTGTAACTCATTTTATGCCAGTTTCTTTGCGTAAATCGCGCTCGAGATTCGACTTTTTTGTTTGAAATGCAATAATTCCGCTAATACGAGACATATGCAAAATTTCCTCACACCCTTTTTTAGGTCTTTTATCTGTCAATCAGATGCAATAAAAAGGAAGTGAATATTTAACAACGCGAAAGGGCTGGAGCTTCAGCAGTAAACTCGATACCTCTGAGTTCGAGAGCAAAAAACTTAAGCGCCTTTTGAAATTCGATGAAATAAAATCTTTCATAAGGTAATTTAGTCTTTTAGCTTTAATTTGATATATAACTTGCCTTTGTAGCGAAAATACTCGCGCGACTAGAATTTTTTTCTGTGGGCACCTCGTTTTCCTTTACCGAGACCTTAAGAAAAGTATAGTACTCGAGATGTAAAACTAATTATTGGGCCGGGATGACGCAGATCAAAGATAACAACAACTTCGTCCCCAGGGCGCTTTTCCCTGGCTTTAGAGGTGGGCGCGCTGTCAGCGCCCCACCTCCAAAGCCAGTGAAAAGTGCCCTGGGGACGAGGTTGAGATAACAAGGGGACTAAAAGGTACCGGCACTGGCATAAATGGCCTCTTTTTGAAAAATGAAATATTTCTTCTGCGTGTGCGTTAACTTTAATTTTTTGCTTTGCTTTTTTATACTTCCCGGGAAATTTTCCAGCATTAGTCAAGCTGACATCACTAAGCATTCAAAGTGAGTTTTCTTGCAGGAATTAAAGGGAACTTTATGCTTCAACTTCGAAAGAAAATGTTAAAAAGGTCAACACCAACAGTGACAGTTATATCGAGGCGCTGAGAGAGTTTTATAGTTTTTGCTAATCGCGGTTATCTTTCAACGACGGGATCCATTAGTAGCATTCTCTGCAATAGTAAGGGTTCTCCGAGCTACAGCTTATTACGAAAGAAATAACAACAATGTATGTTAGCAGGAGCCGATTTCCCGCCCTGATGTTAGGCAAAATCAGGAGCAAAATATATGAATTACAATAACCATCAACGCCATTTTCCCATCACATGGATTCTGAGCCGTCGGCTCTAATTAAGCAGCTTGCCGACAGTACAAATAATTGACGTTCTGGAATCGCATGGCTTCCGTCATCCTATGAGAAAAGCTTAGTGTTTCACCTCGTAATTGCAGCGTTTGGAACGTCGAGCTCCCGACTAAAAACGACTGGGAACCAACCCGAGAACTGCCCCATAGGACTCATATATATCAGGCCCGTAGGCTGGTTTTTGCCTGGGTGGGTTCTTTTTCGCTTAAAACGGACCTTTCATGTTAACAGTGTCACACAAAATTAAACTTACCGTTATTGAAGAAGATTTTCCAGTTGAAGTCGACGGGGGGTGTAGCCGAGCATAACAGTCTACTACAGTGTCCAAGTCCAAAGGAGTAGTCTTCATTGCGTAAGAAAATTCCTTGGGCGTTTTCGCTTTGTAAAAGATTTCACCAATATCTACCTTGCTGGTCTCTTAATGCTGACAGACATCATAATCATTCCATACAGATTCTTGACTTGTACTGGGGGGTGAGGTGTCCGTAACAGGAGTAGTCTGTAATGATGGCTGCATCTCATTCTGAACTGAACTATCATTTAACTCTGAAGATACCTCACCTGTTTTCGACTTTTTTGACAGAAATCTTTCTAACATTTGGCATGAAGCCGCTGCCCGTTGTCTTTCTCTTTCTTTTTGCTCGCGACGCCCCATAGTACCAAAGCAAATCAACGGCGATTTCCTAGACCAATGCACTCGATGTTATGTAAGTACAACATGGTCACGGGCACCCCAGGACCCCCCTAGCTACGCCCCTGAATCTAAACCTATTGCTTTTTTGCCAATCTCGTTGCCATCGCTGTTGTCGTTGCTTATAAGCTCCCTAATAATGGATTATGAATACTTACATCATAATGAGTCCACAGCTGGCCATTAGAGGAGCTTATTCGAAACACGCTGGAAAAGAATCTGTCCTCAGGGTAGAGTTTTGGTATTTTAATATCCTGAGCTAGTTTAGGAAACTGCACAGCTATGTCTGATATGTCCTAGACAATAAAGCAGAAATTGCAGTGATTACAAATTTTATGCCCAGTACATAGAAATCTTTTAGTCATGTATGCTGGGCTTGAAAATTGAATTCAAGCTTGTGTTTTGGGGAAACAGCTGTCACATTTCATTTGGCTGTGGCCACTGCTTGCTCATCTCAGCTAGTGATTTTGTTAGAAGATAATTTGTACTCTGGACTGTTGCCCATTGGGCAAGTAACCTATAAAAGTTATTTTCCAAGGAAGGAAAATTTACTTGTCCCAGACTACTGGATGGGACTATTTGCGAGCCCTGCATAAATGTAAGTGGATTAGTATTAAAAGTCAATGACACAAGTGTTTTGTCAAAATGTTAACATCTCAATAGGATGACCTTTTGCATTTTTATCATGACAAGTTCATTGCCACATTAGATAATTTATCACCTCTGTACTAAAATACATAGTGTGTACACGTAAGTTGACCATTTATTTGGGAGACATTCTTTAATTCTTATCAATACTGCTTCTCACCTTCCTTGGATCATCTCCAATGGATCTCAAGTAATATTTTTCTTCCTAAAAGGGAAAATATTTTTCTTCTATCACTTAGTTTCTCCAAGTCTTTTTTCACCCATGTGCTATACCTTCACAATTGGTAACATTTTCAGTCAAAGTCAACAACAAAAGCAGCAAATTGAAAACAAATTAATCTTCACTCACAAAAGTTCACACTCACACTTTTGAATTTTGAATTAGAGTAATAATTCAGACTAAGCAACTTTATATTGCCTAGAGAATACTTGTGATGAACTGGAATAATTGAAAAAAATACAATCATGTAAAATGCAAATGTGCATTGCAATGGCAGGGGAAGAAGAACATAGCAATTTCATTAACAGAGCCAGTAACAAATTTCCATCGAGGTGGATGGCCAAGACAGTGAGAATAAGAGTAGAAAATTAAAAGTAAAACATAATGGTTCACTAAAATATTTACATTTACCATACACATTTTGAGTTAATGAGCAAGCAACTAATGCAGTTTGAAGTGCTGTTATTAAATATTTAACAATTGAAGAAATGCATATGCTTGAAGTGCATTATGATTAATAATTGAAATTGAAGAAGTCCCATATTATAGCTGTCGTCAAACTAAGCTATGGTTTTGGGATGTATAGCATTAGGTAGGTAGGTTAAGTCTGCATGCATGAGCCATGTGGTGAATAGTTCTATCCTCCCTCCATGGATGGGATACCGGTCCATTGCAGTGCTACCCTCCCCTCCCCCAAGCAGTATTTTTATTCATCTGGCCCCAGATGTTCACACTGAGGTGGATTTAACACTATCCACTTGACAAAGCACTATCGATCCACTGGATAATGCAATTGGTCCCCATAATACTTACCCTTTGGATAGTGCTATACAACATTTGAACAACCCGGGGCCTGGTTGAAGAAAGACAAAGTGGGGCAAGGTTTCTTGTGCAAGTAAGCAAAGGTTTGGGTAAGAGGACAGCTGAAGTTTCAGACCACCTTGTTGGTACATTGTAGGTGGCAAATAAGGATATTGGAGTGAAGAGGACAAAAACAATATTGTTTTAACCTGTTAGTTTATCTGGTAAACTTACTGGACAAATGAAATATTCTCCATGGACATCTTCGCTAGCTCGCTCAACAAACTGGTTAAATGGAAGGGTTCTGAAAGGGTAGTGATAAAATAAAAGTAAAAAATAGGGACTTAAGTGAGGCTTCTTTTCAACAAGATATAATACATGTATACAAAGTTTAGATGTTAAGGTAATTCCCTTGTTTGGCACTGCGCATCACCTAGTGCCCATAACACTGCAACTTCAAAAGGTGATGATGATTTTCGCAGGTCGTCTAAAAAGAGGTAATTAAGGCCCCTCTTGTAGCCCCAGTGCTTTTAATGGTGATTTTGATAACTCTAACCAGCTAAAAAAGAGTTTGTGTTGAGACTCGCCCTAGTCCCCTCCTAAAAAATGATCATTTGAAGTTGAATTTGTCTCTTCGTTGTCGTTTTGTGATGAAATGAGAACGGTGACCCCTCATATTTATTGTGTTTTCTACTCGTCATGGCTACACCAAAAATATATATTAAGGAGAAACAAATCTGGATAGTAGAAGTTGTATTTTTTTTAGATAAGAATGACGTGAAACTCTGCAATTAGAGCAACAGAGAAGTATGAGATAATGCTAAAACTGACCATTTCTCTCCACTTACAGTATTTAAGATTGCATAATTTGAAGTCACTTAACTGAAAAATTATACCCCAGACAAAAGAAACAGGCCCTAGGCTTAAGAAAAATTTGTAGTTTTGTCTGCTGTTCAAGTTCAGAGAATTTCGCATGCAGCTAGGAAAACAACATTCAGAATTACGGGTAAGGTTAAAAGAAAGAATTACGCGTAAGGTTAAATCACAAACTAAGGTAAACACCTTTACATTATAAAAGGTGCTCTCGACTTTGGGTCGGCTTAAAAGTAAGCAAAAGCATTGAGAAAGCCATACTTGTAAACAAAGTTTTTGTGAATGAAATCCATCCTTCCAGTGGGACATACATGAATCTTGACCGTCTTTTCTCCGCCACACTGCGCTAGATATTCTGGACTCCATTTGCTGCACGCACTTCCAATGTCGAGGCCTCGTAAAATAGCAGGCTCGCGTTTAGCAGAAATTTCAGCGTTAAATATATTTTTAGTTACCCCATGGTAAACTCTTACTTGTTTCTTGGTATTTTCTGACATTTTATCGCGTTATTGCAAGGTAATTAAAAAGGTTAAAAACACCGTTCCGCCGCCATGATGTTTTGATCATCTTCCAGGTAAATGCTAGTTTCCATATCTCAAACCGCCCTTGGATACCTTGTGATGCCTACACAAAGTAATTGCATGTATGTATACGTATATGAGTGAGCCCTGACTATAGTGATTAGGGTTAAGCACTAACAATACTGATTAGGGTTAAGCACTGAAAATACTGATTAGGGTTAAGCACTGACCATACTGATTAGGGTTAAGCACTTAGAATAGTGATTAGGGTTAACGGTTAGCTTCTTTTTAGGGTTAGGGTTTTCGCTACAGTAGTTAAATTACTCCACATCTTAGCAGCGAATCCTCGGTGGTGTAGTGGTTAGGGCTTGGGACTACTGGTTTAGTATTCCGGGATCGATTCCTGCTCGTAAATCGGAAATTTTTTTTCCTTTAAAATTGAAGAGACTTACACTTTGACGACATTTGTTGAGCAGAAACTAAGTCTCTGGGTCAAGAAACTTAGAAATTTCATGTAAGTGTCAGTGAAAAGGGAGAGGGCGGTTTGAGATATGGAAACGAGTGCTTACCCATCTTCCAGGCGTTCCCTCAGGTCTAAGGAGGACTAGGTTCTACAGAGACCCAGGCTCTATTCTAGTAATATATAACAATTATTCACCGAAGTGGAGGTGGCTAGTCTTGGTATTTACCGAACTGCGAAGCAGTGAGGTAAATATCCACGACTAGCCACCGACACTGAGGTGAATAATTGTTTTAGTATATACTAAAACAGTGAGATAATTGAGCACAAAAATGACGATTTTTAACTCAAATACTGTTGCCAACTATTACAATTTTGGCGCGTAATGACCGGGCGGCTGCGGCCGTCGCTCTTTCTTGCCGACAATTAAAACTTTTGAAGGCATTTGTTTAGCTCTTGCGGGTAAATTTCTTCAAAAGGAGTTGTGAATTCTCTTTGTATTTAAAATCATTCTATAAAAAAAGATTATTAAATTTAGTTTTAAGCTTATTTATGAACAACTCAACTAAATAAAGTAAGCAAGACTTTACTTAATTTGCATTTGTAAACAAAAACTTTTTCACAGGTCGGTTTTATCGATAAATTTGTGTCAAAAATACAAAGCTTTACCTGTTAAAACTTCCAATCCGAACTTCGTCACCTTCTTCGTGTATTTCGGAAACAGCTTGCTTGATTAGTTGTGAAATAACTTTGTTTGTTTACGGCAGCAAACCGGGAAAGCATTTTGCTCGCAACTTACGCGAGTTTGGCGTTGCTCGCTCGGAGGAACTGGAGGTGAATCAGTGAATAGTGCAGGATATTCACTGATTGAGTAGCCAATCAGAGCGCGCGAAAAACACTATCCACTGTTTCAGTATATACTAAATAGATTTAGCCATTCAGGGCGGAAAAACGTTCTGCCCAAGCTTCTGCGCATCCCTTATCGCAGGCTCAAGGCGGGCTTTTTTGTGTGTTGACTGTGTTTGTTTGTTGCTAGCGTTCTGAGTGAACTGCACGAGGTGCGAACGTTTGCTCCCTCTAAAGCATTTTTATTTGACATGTTTGCTTTTTATTTTCTTCGCTTGAAAATTACTTTGGATTCAGAACAACCAACGTTAAAGGAAAAACGGATCATTCTGTCAGTCTGAGGTGGAATAAAAAGTTTTGAACATTTCTAAAGAGGCGAGTATTTTTTGTGATTGTGCATCCGATTAATTTATGAGCTGATTTCGCCGGGTTGAATTAAAGCCCGCTTGTATTCTGTTATTAGTATATAGTTACGGTTACTTTTTTTACATGCCCAGATTTATTACCTTGGCAGAATCAGCTTTATCTTTGTCTTCAGTCAAAGAACCATATTGCTGCTATAACGCATCAGAGTGAACAAACTTGTGCGCTTATTTAACTTTCTCGGAAATAGAAGGCCAGCAAGATCATTTCTCTGTTGCTCAAGTAATAATAGTCGGAGTTCTTTTCATTTTTCATTACATAGTTTTGTTTTCCAGTGCACTGTGAAAGTTTCTGTTCTTTATAAGAATAACTTTCTGTACCCAAATTGTCCTTTTCACTCGCTGTGAAGTAGAGAACGACAACTGCCGGCAGTGACTTCAAAACAATTGACTCTTTTTCCGTAAACAATTGCTGCAGCTGGATTTGACTGAGGCGAGCAAAACAAACCCTTATGTGCAATTTTCTGTATTTTCTAATGATCGGCTGAGTTTAATTTGCTTACTTAGTAAACGAAGACCCTCGCATGGACCAGTTAAGCTTAAAATAGCTATAAATGGTGAATCGTGGCTTGGCTGCCAAGTAGCAACTGATCTTTTGCTTTTAAAATCTTTAGGTAGGTTGTTTTCGTGCAGAAAATTTATTTCTTCATTGTCAGCAAGAAGTCTTTGAAATAATGTAACTTTAACTTTGTTTGAAGGAAATCCTACTTACGCGTAGGTTTTTGACAGATGTTATGCGTGTTCAACTTGACAAAACAAAGCAAAATTTATATATCTGCGCGAAACGAGCAAGTTTAAAAAACTATAGTTACTTTGAAACCGATTTTTTGGAAGATTTTGCTGGATAAGGATTGATCTTTTTTCTACCCACGTATAAACGCAATAACTTCTACAATGAGGATTTTGTTTATATTTTAGTGATCTGCGAAACTAGGAGTGTCCGATCGAGCGAAGGTTTTAAAATATCAGCTCGAGTGCGACAAAGTTCAGTGACTTCAAACACATTGTGGGCAAGCGTTAATTCTTTTGGGCAAATCACTGTCCAAAGATATGTTGTTTTTGTGTCCACAGTGGAGCTCTGGACCTTATATATCCAGGAACTTCCTTATATGAACACATTTTGTGAATGCATCTTGAAAAAAATCGGACCAACGCATACATTCCAGTACAACGCAAGGAAATTGATGTCGTTAAAGTCCGTTTTACTATGAGGTATTCTTCGAGAAAATTAAGAAACGACAAGGTTATAACCACAGCTTGCAACTTTTGAAGACAAATTGCCTGTTCTTTCCAGGGTATGAGTGGAAACATTTTATTTTTAGGCAATAAAATATTTGAAATCCCGTCATTTTTTCAAACCCGGTCAGGGGATCTGGGCAAAAAAGTTGACGCATGCTCATTACGTTTTTCCGCCCTGAAATTTAGCCACAGCTAAAAGCGAAGCTCCCATTGATAAATTTATAACTTAAATCAAACAATAATTTTGTATTCCACAAATCAGTTAACTTAAGGGCACATTCATGTGACTTTTGAGGGAAAAGGTAAGTGATTTTGGAGTGAAACAAATCTTGTATCGAGTTGATATAGCCTTATACGTACACCCAAAAAATAGTCTTCGGTCACATTTAAGAGCAATAATGGCTCTTGATCACAGTAGATAAGACGTGGAAAACAAATCAGGCCGAATTTTTTGCGTTCGACAAGTTTACAAATTCTTGCCAATAAATCTGGGTGCTTGCAAACCATTCTTTTATTTTTTTTTATACACCACATCTGAGGAGAAAGAGTACTATGAGGCGCTGTTTTTATCATACAGACCTGGTACAAAATGCAGTATTTCACAATTTTTCAAGACAAATTGCATTCATTCAATACTCAGGACCATCGAAGCACGCGTGGACTTTTAATTAGCGAAACCGTTCAAAAAATGTCCAAAATCACCTACACGGCCAACCGGTTTTAACTTTTGACAAGCGCCAAATTTGCGAAGAAATTTTAAAAGAGTTACGCTTCAACGTGATAAAGAGTTTATTGAGTCTATTTTTTATTAATGGTTTAAATAACGATGTGTTATCTTAAAAAGCGTTTGATACGCTCGGCATTTTGAGTACTCCTGTAAGCGATGTTTATGAACGCCTCAAAACAAACGGCAAAGCGATGAAAATTACACTTTTGAGACTACCAACAATCAATAAAGAAATATAATTCGGTAGAACATTTACAGAGACAACAATTTTCATTCAGGAAAAAAAAAATGAGTATTTAAGTGTCTCTAAGAATCCTCAAGTTTTTACTAGTATTAGTAGTAAGCTTGAAGATTAAGTTTATGTTTTAAGCCGCCGGTTTCCCGGTGTTTGCTTTTTTCAAAGATGAACTCACGACAAGAAAATCGCTCAAAGCTTTCTTTCTACAGCCAAAATTATAACTAAATATTCTTCGGAAAGTTTTTTCTTTCTATTTACGATGAATTGATATCGACTAAAGGCTTTTTAAAGTTCTGTAAGCTTAAGCTTATATCAAACCTCATACTAGGTCAGATCAGTGTCTCAGTCAAATCTTAATACAAACGTGCATAAACTAGCTTCATAAACTGCGCCGCTGGACTTCATGAAATTAGATATAAATACAAAAACTACTCAGGCTTACCATATTTCGAGATGCAGCTAATGAAAGCTATCAAGTAAGCAAAGGATCGCTTGAGCCTTTGTAATTCTCGCACGCATCCAGCAAGGCGAAAAACAAAAACGATGCCATCCGAAATCGGATTATCGGCTTTGACAAGCGACGCATTTCTCAACCAAAAACCCAATAAACAAACCAGCCATGAATACGAGAACACTCTTGATAGCAGCTGCATTTCAATTTTTACATCCAGTGGAAAAAGACAGTTAAACACATCACAAGTTGACTCAAAACTCTGTCAGCTTCAGCTGTCAAAATAAACAACTTTCAAGATGCTGCATAAATTTTACGCATGAACTCACCTGTCAAATTTTAACCAATCAGAGCATAAAAACTGGACGTGGAGCGTGACCAACACGTGACCATGGTTAAAAAAGGTCTTCCCCGCCTGTATTTTAAAAGAACTGGCTGAATTTTTCCGTCTGAGGTAAGTTTGAAATCAAAATCGTAATAGTGCAGGGCGATACTGACATAAACACAACATATTTGATATGAATTTTAAAAAATAAACAAACGTGAGCCTGCGATCATTTGAAAACAAGTAAATTGTCAGCGGATAACTTCAAAAAAATACTCGACCTTGATGGGTCGACACCTTAGCCCGCAATACGGTCAGGTGATACTAATCAGCGGATAACCTGTTTTGACAGCTGTCAATTAATGACAACATTGTTGTGCAATCAGCTTTCTCCTGGGCTCCCAGAGTAGCTAGAAAGTGTGAGAGTAAACATTGGTATGCCCGTGGTGCGGACGGACGGGCTGCGAGCGGGCGGGCGGTGTACGGTCACGTGATTACCAAATTTTCTGGGATGGGTAGATTTACTTACCCATGGTGCTCCGCAGACGCGCCTCGCGCGCCAGAGCTCCGCTAAAAACTAAATTCAAAGTAAGACAATGGTCAAGGGCAGCGTCCTTCGAAACCACATACAGCTGTTTCGAGAAAGGTTGTCGGAAAAAGTGCACGCGACAATCCCGAAAGGTATTGTGGGTGGTTTTAAGTTCACTGATTTTTAAATAAATTTCAAAGAATGGCACGAGAGGTCATGGACGTATGTTTGCGAGGGCCAAAGGAAAGCAACAAAAGTAGGTTCGACAGCAACAGTGTCAAGAACAAGTGTATTAATCATATCCCATATTATATTTCGTGCCTCCTCTGCTTCTATAGCTAGAAAAATCCAACCCAGAGAGCCCTATCCCGAACCCGTATAGTTGTCAGCAGACAGAATAAACAAGCCATAGTCAGTCACACTGCTCAGCACTACAACATAAATTTCAATAAGTCCTTTTACATCCAAGTCTTACTGATCAACCTTAAGCAGTTTAATGGAAAAAGATCACATTTCGGTCCACATTTCTGACTAATATGAGGAAATGGAAAGTTTTATTTACTTACTGAAGTGAAATCAAGAATCGGCGAAAAAATTAGTTGGGACAATCAGAGAAATTGCTGAACTTAACTCCCCTTTTGATCCCGGTTAAAACAAAGACATTGCCTTCTAAAGTTTCGAAGCGTCGGGATATTGTTTTACATGTGAAATCTTTGGGAAGTTACAACAATTAGTCAAATAAAAACAATTTGTATGGAAATAAAGTGAGTTACTGGCAACACGTCAACAATGATATAAATAATTTACTAACGTCCAGCGTATTCAACGAAAAATATTCTATTTTGTACATCTTGTTACAACTTAATGTCTAGTAAAAATACACATATCATTATAAAAAGTAAGTGTTACACCTCTTAAAGAATACGGCTAAAAAACCCTCTTTGGTGATCTATACAAGAAATGGGGACTTTAAGACCAGTAGATCACCCAAATATGACAATGATAACGATAATACTAAAAATAGAAAGTAAATAAAAAGAGTTGTTTTTAGTTTTCAGTAACACCGACTAAAAATGGCAGTTGTCAGTTAAAGCAATTCAGACCTTCCAATAGCGAATGACATCCTGATGTTTAAGTGGCGGTTTGCCTAGCAAGTTAACTCGGTAAGTGTAGTATCACAATGGCTTTAACGGTTACAGTCTATGTGGCTGTGTGACGGCAGGCAATAATGGATCCATTACCCGGCAGGCAACACTTCGGACGCCAAATAAACATGAGCCAACCTCGTTCCCGGGGGGGGGGGGGGGCAGAGTAGGAGAGGACCTTGGGGAACAAGGTTGATCATTGCCTTGGTTAAGATGTCCTTGTGGGGTTATAAAGTTACTGGAATGCACATAGGTAACGCCAAAGTTTCTTATAAAATTTATTGTGATCACAAAACTAGACGAAAAATAATTCAGGTCGTCTGTTCAGAAGACGATTATATAACTCAAGCACCAGGCATCAACCTGACGAATCGATTTCTCTAAATTAAACATGTTCTTTGTAGCTAGCTAAGGTTACGAGGCAAGAAAAGTTCTAGACTGAACAAAGACCCTTTGTGGATTAATGATTGAACTGGTATATAATTTGCAGGTAACACATCGAAATCTGCGAAGCTGATCGTACTACGTGAAAATTAACTTTGCAAGACATTAACCCAACACCGATAGAACCTTAAAAAAGAGCGGAGTTGTAGCCGTCCATTACAGATTTCAACGTGTCACTTGGTATATTTTTGCTGATCAAGTCTTCTTTAAATCCTCCTTTTTTGCGGCATATTCGTTTGCGGTCCTTTGCAGTTATTGTTCAAATAATTGGAACTATCCCACTATAGTATAACTCCATATCCCCATGGCAAAGTAAATTCCATGGCGATTTTCCGGTTGAAAAAGAACGAGATTTTAGGGTGTTATTTTTTCTAAAAATGCTGTACAAAAAGTCGCCAATCATTTGTTATTGTGAACATGAATGTTACAAGATTTCCTTGTTGTCATTGCTACGCTCACCTCGAATCACACATGGAATTATTTTGCACGTAGCTTAAGTTGTAAGCGTGTTGCAATTAAATCCATATGAAAAAAATCATTTTTTTAAATTTTCTCTGGCCCTATACAAAAATGATTGGTCAGATTTTTAACCCCAGAAACATCTCCGAAATCTCAAGTACTTTACCAACCTGTTCCTTCTCGAACGGAGGGTATAAAATGGATCGATCAGTACCTACCAATCGATATACAGTTTGTTTCCGCTCATAAGTTTTTCTTTCTGTATAAATGAAATTGGTATATCATGATAAAAACGCACGCACAATTATACTGTTACGTGTCCATTTTTAAGTCCTTTTAACAATTCCAACACGGTCTTGACGTCACTACTCAATGACGCTACTTCTCTATTCAGGTTTAAAACCTGTTCATCTAGTTTCTGAACTGTATGCTTAGTATCGGATAGATCTGCAACAATGTCTGGCTCAGGTGATTTTAAAATCGTCTCCAGCGTTTCAATAGCCTCTTTTGTGCTATAAACGTCCTTGAAAATTTCCTCGAGGTTCCGGGTAGCTGTGTCGTCACTAAGTAGACTGTTCACGTGTTCGTCATGTGACGTTCCAAGTTCTGCTCTCCCATTGTTGCCAGGTAACATTGGAAGTCTCAGGCTTAAGTGCGGCTCCGAGAAACTTGTTCTCATTGGGCGGAAAAATTCTCCTAAGTCATCACTCTCTGGTATTTCTTCCTTCTCGTCAATGCAATGCGTTGAATATGCTCCAGATATGCTGGGTCGCCGCTGAAGACTTGAATAAGACGGAAAAGGCTGTTCAAAATGGTCGCCAAGGTCTTTAATAGAACCATACTCAGTGGACAAATCGTCAATCTTTTGGGACGGGTCACTCTTCAGCTCTTGCCGTGTAAATGAATGTTCTGACGTTTGAGTCATTAGAGAGTTAGAGTCGCCATCGTTGTCTTCGAAACGATAATCACCGCATTTATTACTTGAACTTTGTCGCTGATAGTCAGCAATAATATTCTCCATGTTATTGTAGAAATCATAAGTTTGATCCTCGGAATTATCTTCAGTACGATCAGAGTCTTCCTCCTTCGTCGCCTTTTCTAAGCAATTTCTGCAATTCAATCCTGGTTCTTGTTCCGCTGATTCACAATCACAAGTAATCGCGGATTCACGTACTGGTGGAACAAAATCCTTATAAGGACTATTGACGTTGGTTACCAGCGGTGCAAATATAGTGGGTGGCTGCATCACCGCTGAAACTTTTCTCCTCCTGGGGGATGAAAGTGGTTTCTCGTTTAATGAGCTGTTCGATCCAGATGGGGAGTTAAATTCCGTCATAGTGCGCCTCAATGGGCCTTTTCGTGCGAGTCCCCTGCGTGAATTATGGCCTTCCTTAAGACTCCCTACTGGCCTACATGGTGTCCCAAACTTGGAAAATGTGCCCGAAAATACATTTCGTGGACTTTTAGGTATTTCTTGATGAAGAAAACCTTCGGAGAGTTTTGTGCCTTCGCCGGAGTTTTCTCGGTTATCCCTCGGGTCCTTTGAAGAAACACCGGGAGAGATTTTTTTGGAACTGTCTCTTGGACTAGTAGGTCGGCTTTGTCCTAAGCTATCAGGTAGGCTGTTTCTGAACGGGAGCTCCGAAAACCCACGTTTAATGCTTCCACGGGTGCTTTGTATAGGTGACACTGGAATGCTATGGACGGGGCTTCTGTTTGACCCACTGAGGACTGGTGACGAGATAAAGGGCGAACTCCTTCGTGTATTACACATAGAGTCAAAATCAGTGTAGCCTATTCTCTCATTATTTTCACATGAGCGCCTCGGAGTATCATCATACTCTTCTTTGAAATGACTAGGCTTATGTTCATCGTTGTTAATTCCTGAAAAATTCTCTGTTTTGTCTAGCTCAGGAATATTTTCAAGATTTCCCTGCGAGTAGGGTAACGTTTTATCCTCATCTTCAAGTTCATAAGCTAAGTACAGATGTTTTGATTTATCTTTGCTTAATTTCTTTTCCTGTGCTGGCTTATTACTTGCCAGCGAGCAGTTATCACTGGACACGTTGCCAAAAGAATTATGATCTGCGAGAAGTTTATCTTCCTCATGGTATTCTTTGTCCCCAGCGATCTCTCCCAAAACACTCATTCCAGTTTCTCTGCTTGTCATTTCAAAACTTTCTAAATTATTTTCATTTCGCAGTAAGTTATTGTTATTATTCAAGGCAAGATTTTCTTGATCCCACTCTAAGCTTGGGTTGGAAAGTGGTTCACTTGAAGATTTCTCCTCCGGTGAGAAGACTTGACCACTATCCTTAACATCGGCGTTGATGTCAATTGAAAACTGACGATTTAGTGATCTTGGAGACTGGGGCATTGAAATGTTCTCATCGCTGTCTTCCTCTGATGGCAATTTAGATAAAAGTTGTTGATCTACATGATTTGCACGAGACTTGCCCTTCGAAACGTTGTTTTTCTTAAATCCACGCCATAATTCCGAGGATTTAAAGTGGTTCGGTTTTTTGTACATGTCAAAGATTTGCCCAGGTCTCCTATTTAATCGTCCCGAGTTCCCGTAGCAGTGATTTGATTGAAGAGTATAACTGACGTGATTAAGGCCACCATCAGCTGAGATTGACTCTGTTTCTTCCTCTTCCTCCTCTTCATCTTCTGAGATGGAATCCAGGCCTCCCCTTCGCCAGATGTCCCGCTAGGAAAATTGGCAAAACAAAAATGATTTACCACTGTTAGTACTGTAATAAGCCATGACGTAATATAGCCTCCTCCAGGCTTTCATATGGTGGGGACGGTGCAAAGAGAGGACGCGCCATTACCCCCCATCTGAGCGCCTGGAACAGGCTGGTCACGTTGCCTTTTTTCTTGCGATAATCATAACAAGTGCAATGTTTTTCTGTAAATTCTTTAGCTTTCACATTTCATGTACTCAATGAGAAATGAATCATCTGTTAAAAAATCAAAAGAGATTTTTTTCAAGGAGATGTGATACCAGTTACTATCAAAATCAGATTCATTATCCCAGAAATACCACAAAGTCAACATTTTTAAACGAAATGTGTCAATGGCATATTCACTAATGTATTTTATGTCATATCAATTTTATCCCATGTCCACACTACGCTGGATAAAACGTAGCTTCATTAAATTGACTGACTGTAAGGGCTACTTCCCATATTAAGCCCAGAGTGTTTTTTTAAAATCGTGTTTCATGATAAATTAATAAGGTCCCGTCCACACTAGGCTGGATAAATAAAGTTGTGTTTTCAAACACATCCAGTGTGGTGTGGACGGGGCCTTAATGCAGACCATTGTATGAAGAGCCCCTTGTGATTGACGGAACCAATTACCGTAAATCCTCTATTAGCCCCCCTCTCAAATAATCCCCTACCCTCTAATAACCCCCCCTTTCCAGCGAAAGAAAATTAATAAGCCCCCCTCTTTTAAGCCCCCCTCCCCTCCCCCTTATTATTGTTCACTGATAAATGATAGACTGTATCAATCAATCACGACTGCAAAACTTCATGTGGACTGATCGAGGATGGTTTATTCTCCAACTGGAAGTTCGTATTGTTTTTGATCCTCGGCTGCAGGACCTCCAACTTCTTGTACTTGACCTTTTCCACTTTGTATTCTCGTTTTTGTTTTATGGATAACTGATACCATCGTCTTTGCTAAATTAAATAAGACGGCACTCTCAATTAAGCCCTTCGTCTCTATCTATTAAGCCCCCCCCCCCCTCAAATGTGTTTGAAATAAATAAGTCGGGGGTTTAGTAGAGGATTGATGATTTTCCCCTCCGAACTCTTGAACGTGGTAAATATGTACTTTTCCTTTCTCCGGTTTGAAATGGGTATTCAGTACTTTGCTGCTTTGGTCGGTGTATAACTCCAGAGAAAATAATATTACCTCAGCTCTCAAGTTAATAACACTCTACAGCGTATATCATACTTGGAATACGTATTTGACGATTAACAGTTTGGTTCCTCTATGAAACGTGTTTTTGCTCCGAAATAGTAAAATGATGGATACATTACCTCGCTCGCTCCCAGATCGTAGGTTAGCTCAAGGCTCTCGGAAAACTTGAACGCGAAATCCTGGTAAAAGTGCAAAACATTCTGCATTCGTTCACGTGTTATAAAGTAAACGTCACAGTACGTAAGAGCTCTGACGTCACCATTAGATCTTCGAGCAGGTATCTTGCGTGATATGTCCTCACCAAAAAGGTCTCCTTTTCCTAGAAAGCAAAAAAATGATCAATCCCTCAGACTGAATTTTTAGCGTTCCCAACAAAACTCTTTCCAAAAAGTAACTAGACAAGTGTACAAGTAGACAGCGGACCACACGCGCGTGCTTCGAGCAGCCCCATAGCTAAGAAAATTTGGTTATCTATCCATTCAAGAAATTTTGGTGGTCACGTGACCACACGTCCCCTTGACCGGCCGTCCGTATGCACCACAGGCTAACCAATGTAAAATGTCACACTTTCTAGCAATTTTTGGACCCTGCAACCGGCCTAAAACCTGATATTGCACATCCATGTTGTGGTCAATTGACAACTGTCAAAACTTGGTATCTGCTGACCAGTATCACAGGACCGTATCGTGGGCTCAGATGTGGACCCATCGAGGTTACTTTTTTTAAGTTCTCCGCTGACTGATCGCAGGCTCAACTCTTTGCAATTAATTGTTGCAAGTTTATTGTGTAAAGTAAATTATAAATTTATTAACGGGAGCTTCGCCTTTAGCCTAGGCTAAATCTATATATTACCAGTATATTAATTTTACAAATTCCCCAACAAACATTACTGATATTGCCCTTTTGGGCAGACGAGAAGATGGAACTTTTGAACGTTTCGTTCAAAATGATAGAATTATTCTTCCAATTGCACCAACGCAATGGAACCTTATAGCAACAAATTTAAATAAACGAGTCCTCAGTTTCATCATCATCATCATTTATTATCCTTGATATTATAAATGAATTTTACAGAATACATGCATGTTGTTGGGCGAGAAGACCTCAAGAAACCACCAGGCTTGAAGGAGAGGCCACCTCGACATGACAATATGATAAGAACTAAGCATCCCATAAACATCTTAATGGAATTTGAGCATGCAATTTCTTTTGGTAGTTCGTTTCAGAGTCTTAGAGGTTCAGTAAAAAAGCACTTTTTTTTTACATCATTTAGCTCAATCTTGATTTATTATAGTGAACATCCAACAACTGACCTCTGTGTCTCACAACTGTTGTACTTTTTCACTCTTAGAACAACTAAAACAAACCGAAAACTGTAATACAATTACAATACTCTTACCAAGTATAGCAGCCACTGACTCTCCTTGGAGAACCTCCATCGAGCCATTTGCAATATAGTATATTGCATTGATGACGTCATTTTGAGCCAGCAATACTTCCCCTGGTCCCATATAGACTGTGCGCACCTGAAGCGAGAGCATTCTAAGGCAACCGCGGGGGGCCTGGGAGAAGGAGTTGAGCTCAAGAAGTCCTTTGTACAGATGCATACACACGTCAGACTGGAGTTCATCAGGAAATGTAGTGAGAATCTTCGTGGAAAAATTAGAAAAGAACTTATGGCTTAGTTAATTTTGGCAACGGCGTCTGGCATATTAACGTATTAGAATTGCCTTACTGAACCAAATGGTGGAATTCCTTTATCTAACCTGAAATAATCCTATACTAGTTTAATTGGAAACAACACTTTACCTTAACTTGGGCTACCCCAACAAGTTCAGGCAGGGGCTCAACTCGGACCCCTGGATACGGACTTCAAGGTATTAACTACCGCCTCTCCCTTAGTAGAGACCTTACGATCCGACAACGGCGACGTAAAATGAAAACGTCACTGAAAAAAATAGACTCCACATCCTTTCAAACCATTTCGCGGTTTTCCCAAGCCGCCCTTTTTCCGAGAAGAAGGGGATTTATGTTGGAACTGAATAGAGGGGGCCGCGCCCGACTTCAGACAGAGATGGTAGTTTTTATCGCCTGGCCTTTCCCGTCCTCAAAAAACTTAAATTTTGGTCATTTCTCGTCGCAGTTGTGTAGGGACGGCAAAGAAATGTACAAAAAAGCGTGATGCACGTACAGAATTGTTGTTTTGCTAAGTACACCTTCACCGTCGTAGTTTCGTCAGGTCCCTAGTAAGAGTTTGCAAGGGTAAAACACCAGAGGGCATACTACACGACGGAGGTGACCGAAGGACTTGACGAAAAATTGTTGAATTTATATTTTATCCTTGGTTTGAATTTTATTTTCTTCTGTCTTGAGCAATGAGGTATGGCTAATATACAATTACGAGTTTGAAACAAAGCAAAAATAACTCCCGAATAAAATTGAACCACAACATTTATATGGGGGAGACTTAATCGTCAAACGCCATGTGTGAGTAGATCTGAAACTTTTGAATAAAAAAAATATGTAAGTGTTAATTCTTTGGATCAAATAGAAATGGTTATCTCGAAAAACTCTTGAGTCAATAACTGAACCAAGACGAATCCTTTCTTTTATGTTTTTCACGTTTGACTTTTTTCTTACCTCACTGGTATCAACGCCCCCGGACAGTGACCACGTGGTGTGAAAGTAATCTTCAAGTCTATTGGCTAAATCCTGCTCGATCCTGTGTACCCGTATGAACTGTTTGATTTCGTTCGCGCGGGAATGGTACCGAACTCGATTGGCATAAAGCTTCTGAATAATGGCGGCGACATTTCCAAATATGGCAGCGTGCATTAGAGCTACATAAAGGTAAAAGAAAAAGGTTATTTGGTGTTTCTATAACGTTTTCTGAGAAATATACAATAGAACTAGTTCATAGTGTAAATTTAAACAATAGGCCCTGTGTAGCTTGTCCATTTACGTGGTACACAACCGTCATGCTTGATAGCAAGGGAAGCACAAGGACACCATTTGAAATTAGTAATTGCCTTTGTTTGTCTTCTGCCAGTGCGTTCCTTGCTCTCCAGCATGACGGTTTTGTGCTGAGATATACTTGTGATGTATACTTTTTATATACTAGATAAAACGGAATTTAGGTTTCTGGGAAACTGCCCACCTACCCCTCCACAAAGTCATCATTAACACTTACTTCTCACTGAAGGCAAAATGTTGGGTTAGGGGAGGGATAGGTGAGCGGTTTCCCAGAAACCTAAGCTGATCCGATAAAACCTGAGAAAAAGCCTTCGCCCTTACGAAATTAAGGTGATTCCGTAGTAAAAGAACCTAACATAGATTGTAGATGAAACTTGGTACACTGATGTAACAAGTCAAGAAGATGATGAAAAGGTAATAAAAAGTGGGGGTCACCGTGCTCGTTTTGACGTCACAATGCTGACAAATACGGCTATTTTGGACCCTTCAACAAAAACTGCGCGCAACCCAAAACTAGACACAAAAGGAAAGATTTTTTCAATGATGCATGTGGTATCGCATGTGTATTGTTTATCCACTTACGTACCAGAAAAATGCCTTTTAATGCCCTTGTTTTTACTTTACGCTCCAAAGTAGAATTAAATTGGACACGTGCTATTCGACACGTGATAGCTCAATCCGTACAATTTAGTAAAATTGCCAAAAAACTGAACATAGATTTGTGCGAATTTTTTTCTCACCGAAAGGAAGCACTGTCCTTATTAAAATCATGAAATAAAAAATGGGGGTCACCGTACTCGTTTTTGCGGTAGAGCTGCAGAAAGTGCACACCAAATGCATTTTCCTTGATTTTTGAGAGAGGACTGGGGCGAGTTTCAAAATAGAATGTATGCGAAAGGGGGAAGAAAGTATTAAAAAATCCGTTTTTACAGAATTTACATCGAGATGTCACATTTAGGACACAATGTGATAAAGAAAGCGTTTAAATGAAAATCAAGGTGCATAAGCACAAATTAAACATCCACTATCGAGGTTCTCAGTGAGGAAGTCGAACTCGGCAACACGCGTACTGCTTACGTTATGTACATTCCCACCACATTGAGTCTCACCTCGGCAAGAAACAACCGCAAGCAAAAATTGCAATAGCGTTTCTCTGCGGTCAACTTCATTTTAATAATGTTACTTCACTTGCTCTTTTTTACGGAGGCCACCTTGTTATGCGCAGTAAGAGATGCGCAGTACAAAACCAGGGAATCACCTTAATCCCCTTTCCATGGATTAAACTAGGAATTCAAACAGGTTGTTAAGACAAGGAGCATGTTCAAAACTGACTTGAACCATTCAATAAAGTCGCACAAATGGAGTACAGATACACTAGAGGATAACAAACCTCCTATCAGCATAGTCACCACAGCAAACACCTTCTCACTATTTGTGTTTGCTGCAACATTACCAAATCCGACGGTGGTCATACTGCTCAGCGTAAAATACAAGGCAGTGACGTAAGATGATCCCTCGTCGGGTCCAGACCCCAGTGTAAAGTTCCCGTATGGTTTGTTGATTGCTTCGCCAAGTGCATAAAGCCAGCTTACTGTTGACTTGTCATCGATTTCGGATAAGCCAATCACATACCAGACACATGCCAGCCAATGTGCTACCATAGCAAACGCTATCATTAATAATGTGAGTAATATTGCACTGTATTCTGTGTACCGTTGAAGTTTCCGGACCACACGAAACAGACGAAGCAGTCGTCCACACTTGAGAAGCTGAATGAGAAATCCCTACAATGGAATCAAGTTAGAAAGTTGTGGTTAGAGAGAAGAAAGAAATAAAGCAAATTTCAGGAGCTAAACGATTTAAAGCCAGTCATTATTCAAAGAGATTCTTTGCTTTATTTTTTTCGCGTTGACAAGCATCTACTTACAAGAAATGACGTTTTGAGTTAGCAAGGCGGACCATTACCACTTTACAGTTTCCCACAATGCATTTGCATACCCCAAATTAAGTATAGTTATTACCTATAGTTGCACAAGGGTGACCTTGTTTTGATACAAACCTTCTTTTCTTTGTTATTGAAATTGTTCTTGAAAAATACTAGTTAGCATAAGAATAACTTGATTTACATAATAAAGCAAGAAGGTTTGTATCAAAACAAGGTCACCCTCAGCCTCGCTTCCATCCACAACTGTAAAATGGTCTATTGTGAATCCCCAGATAAATTAAAACAAATTCTTATTCCATTGATTAAAAGCGGTCAATAAGGTTACATACTGATGTGATCAAACTGTCATGTAGGAATTTGTTTGCTTTGTTTTTTTTTCACTGTGGTATTCACTGAGAGAATATTAGCTCTAAGGCTAGTTAGCCAAGCGTTAGATGAAAGATTCGCAAGTTATCGTCACTAACTTGTTTTTTTTTTTTTTTTCGAAAATTCAACGTTGCAAGAAGTCAGCAAGTTTATTGTTATCAGCAAGGAGTGCGAGGGAGATAATTGAATTCAAAGAACAAATCCCAGTATAGTTTACCCAGCACACTCTCAGAATTAGTTAAGGAGACAGTAGAGAAAATGTATATTTTGCCTGTCACGCAGATGAACTCCCGCGTATGACTAGAAATACGTGTCAAACAAAACCTCATAAATCTCCAAGTAAAGCTCTAACGAGCGGCGTTTGGGACTGTATGAGAATTCAGATCTAGCTTAAGCTTGGTATTCTTTTCAGTTTATAATATGAATAACTGTTCTTTAGAGGAAAAGGGTTTAAAGTTAATCAGTTTAAAGCACATACAGGTGATTACATATAGTTAAAGTACCTCGTTAAATGACGAGCCTTTTCTATCAAATGTTGAGTTGGCCTGGATAACAAAAAGAACGGAGAAAGCTATTAGGAACTAATCAGTCAACAGGGAAATCTTTTTTTCTAAATAGTAAGATGTTTCCCCTATCAAAAAGTCTGTAGGTTTTTGTCGTTACGAACTTAACAAGGTAATTCCTTCATTTAGCAATTTATTTTTTCTTACTTAGGCTTTAAAATGAAGGTCAACCCGGTTGAATAATTAAACCATTTACAACGAACCGACAGTATGACGCGTTTGAAAAACAGGTAGCCATTTTTTTAAATAAAGCCAAGTCCAACAGCGATTCGTCAAACACGTTACAAAAGTCACGATTTTAGGAAGTACAGTCATTACTGTAGCGCTGAGTTGAGGACAATTTTATTTTGAATATTAATTTAAGTTCTTTTAAATCTGCCGGTCTCAAAGCAAACAATATCAGTTATAATGACAATTATAATTGGATAAAATTTCATTAATATGGGTGGATTTTCATTTTTTTCAATTTTTTAAGGTTGTTTAACATTTAACGTTCTTGACTACCAGTAGTCTAAACGTAACGCACACTACACTACACCTACCCAAGATTGATTGAGAAAATACAAAGCTTCAAAAGGTAAGGCGGCCAAAAAGTCCAAAATAAACCATCCCTTGAGATAATGAATCGCTATCTTTCTTTGGTCATAAATAATCCTTCCACTTGTATCCACAAAAGAAGTTCTAAAATGCACCACAATATCCATGATAAAGAACAACTCAATGACCATATCGAAGATAATAAGGTCCCTTTTTCGGTCGTTTCTCCTGAAGGCCACATTATAAGGGACCATGACTGCAATGTATGTCGTTAAGATGAGAATCCACCAATCCCAGAATCCTTTAGTGTTGCTGTAGTGAAGGAAGAGAAACTTGGACTTCTTGTCCGACTCTCGCTTGTATTGCGGAAGCCGTTCAGCATTAAAAGAGAAGGACTAAAAATAAGAATAGACAAATTAATATTCAAACACTCTAAATCCTTATATATGTCATTCTGTGGGTTAGTTGCTTATATTTCATTGAGAAATTCAGAACAACTCTCATGATAAACGGAAAGTAGAAGAAAAATAGAGCTTACACCAGTTTTATCCAAAATAACAATTTGCATGGTGATAATTTTTTCTTTTTATAATAATAGCCTTTTATTGCTATCAAAACCGACTACTAAAACCTGTTTACAATTAATTTCGTTTATAATAGTAATACAACCGCTACTACTACTACCACTACTACATTAAATTGGTTTGTTTCAATTCCAGTTTGACAAAAGACCGCTATTTCATCACATGACCCAGTCTCTATTTTTTAATTAAAGTATGTACGAGTTCTGTTTAGCTTTTTTTACTCACCCTAGCTCGTTTAATTGGTCTTCGTGGATTGGTCTTATTTGTAGGAGTCGTGCTCTGTTGGTATTGTCTAGATAAATGAAGGAGAACATCGCGGCTGAATTTCCTGGAGCGAGACCGGCTCAGCTTTTGTTTTTCACCCACCGAGGCTGTTAGAAAAACAAGAAAAAAAAAAGCAATTATTCCACGAGTGCGCGTTGGATATGAGATGGTAGGTAGCCAACGAGGCGCTTAGCACCAAGTTGGCTATATAATCATCTCATATCCAGCAAGGGTGAAGCGCGAGTGGTCAATAACTGTTTTATTAAGAACGCCTACAAAATAAGGAGAATTCTTCCCTACTTTATTTGCAAAAACAAACGAATTTCAGGTTGGTTTTAATTTTGAGCAGACGCGTACAGTTTACCATATTTGGAGGGCTAAGCCAATCACAACTCTAGAATTGCATTATCCAACGATTCAGTTTAAAATAATGATCATTAGTTTGTGATGCTTATGGTTATAAAATTGTAGTCAAGGTTTATTTCTTTTTAAAATAGTAGTTCTCAGGGGAGGAACTAGGGGGAGGGTGCAGGGGGTGCGCACCCCCGCCCCCCGAGATGACCTGCAGTTTTCTAATACAACTGGTATTCTGCGAAAAAAAAACTATGTGGTTTATTGGTGTTGAAGTAGAAGAAGAGACGAGTGCACCCCCTCCTAAAGAAAATCCTGGATCCGCCCCTGGTTCTTAAAGGTGATGTTACACGGGACGATTAGCAACGACGAGTTTTAGCGCAACACAACCTTGCAACGTTGGAACAATGTTGTAACCATTCGAAATAATGTCGCAACAATGTTGCAAGGCCGTGTTGCGCTAAAAATCGTCGTTGCGAATCTTCTCGTGTAACATCACCATAAAGCACCTAGGCTCCGTTCACACTAAATCTGACGAATTTTCGACCGGCTACAAGATATTTGACCGAACACATCGTTCACACGGGACCTTCAAATATTTCGCTCTGTTCACACGGAACGTTGTTGGTTAAGGTGATTCCGTTTGAACATAACACGTGAACGCACGAATTTTCAACCGGTCGAAAATTCGTTCGATGCCGTGTTAACGTAGCCTTAGTACGGACAACAGAAACTTATGCCAACTTTGGGAAACTTCCCACCTGCCCTCCCCTAAGCCAACATTTTACCCTAAGTGAGAAATAAGTGTTAATGTTGGCTTAGGGGAGGGGCAGATTCCGAGAAACCTAAATTGATCCAGAGATTCTTGCATAGCCTAAAAATATGAAACAGCTTACTTATGACGTAAACTTCATGTTTTAACGTCAATTGACAAAAGTAACGTTTAAAGTTAAGTTTAATGCAAATACCCCACCCCGGGGTGTTTCTTTAAGGTGCTTGAAGTCGGCAGTAGACGCACAACTATCCCAATACGCGCCAACGTCTCGATATCATAAAGTAGCCCTGTTTTCGAATTTCGCGTCTTATTTGTTCTAAAGAATCCGCCGAAGTTAGTTAAGAATCCTGAGTCACGCCTAGCCAAAGAAAAGAAATAAACAAATTAAAGATATTTATTGCAATTTTATAGATAGCATACCCACATCCTGTTCAGGAACCTCTCCACTGATTTTTCTTTTTGTGACGTCTTTATGTGAAGCAAGAAACAGCACAACGTTCCCCTTTTCGTTCTTGATTGGAACAATATCTAATAAACACCAAAATGGAGATCCTACAAGAGAATTTAAGGTCGGAATAGTTATATACTTACATACTAAACAAAGACAACTACAAAAATAAAAACAAAGACAAAAACAAGAACAACAACAAAATCAGCGGTACCAATGATTCTTCCGGAGTCTGAATGCTAAAGCAAAGATATACTTTGGCGCCCACAGTATCACCAAATTCAGTTATTAAACACTAATAAGTACCTTTCTAGTAGCAAAAAGTTTCAGTGAATTAACAGCTTGTTGATAATATATTTAACTTTAAATCTTAGCTTTGACCCACATTGCTTCACTTATTCAAATTTCTTTCCCTTGACCGCGACGAATGCTCGGAGAGGCCTTCATAAATAGTCTTTGGGGCAAGTCAAAAGTGACGCAGTAGGCCAGGTAGGGCATCTCTACGTGATGTACTTTAGACCCGTTTATCTATAGCTACTATGTAGCATTTGTCATCTCTGTCTAAAGGCAAATTAGTTTGCCTTTTCTGAATGGCTAAACCAGTGAATGCTTTATTCATGTCTCCTTTGCTGGGATAAATAGCTAATTGTAAGCATTGTACAATCCTGCACATTGGCTTTGACCTCGAACATTTTTCAGCTATAAATCTGTTTTCAGAAGTTCTGAGTCACACTTCTGCTTATGCCAAGTCATTCACTGTTAAAGGTAATCAGGAGACCTCAGTCAAGCCTGCACTATATCCCCCATGCCTTCTTTGCGGAGTGTTAAAACGAACTTTGAGATGTTTGATTTGTGATGTAAGTCTAGATATTTGTCGAGTCTCCTCGACCGATTAAATGGTGGATGAGCGCTCTTTTATTTTTCAGGATTTTATAAAATGAGCTTTGAGTTTTTTTTTATTGAATATTTATAGCCAGTTCACTTTAGTCGTCGGCTTTTGTTTAAGCTTGTTTTTCAGTTTTTTTTTCGTCGACAATATGTAGATTCACAACCTTCTTTGGTAAGCGAGACTTTCCTCGGATGGCATTTTTTTGACAATTTTATTAGATTATTAGCTACCACGTTGGCCTTTAAATGGATCTGCTTCCCCACCGTGAGGCATTTGTTGCTTTCTGAAGGAAAGAAAAGGCAAAAGACAAATGGCCGACAAAATGCCCGGGGATATGGACACGCTTAGGCTTGCAATTGTCTATTATTTTAATTATTTCTACTAGTGTAAAAATCCGATTTTCGTCTGCTCCTGATTGACTTAATTTTCCAAGACTCAAATCTGTGGCTGATCGAAATCAAAGCAAAACCGTGGGGACCCCAACAATTACCTACAACGTTTTTTTGTATTTCGTGAGAACTCAAGCTATGAAGGAGATGACGTTTGCACTGTCTTTGAATGGTTTAATTTACACCTCTTGTGTACTGTCTATTGTTAATGTTGCTCAACTTTGAAGTACCCATTTTGCTCCATAAGTCTGATTTCTTTTCTTTATATTTCTTTCCTTTTCTCTAGATATGAATTGTGCTTCATTCACCAGCGAATGATCTTTAATTTTTGTTTGTTCATTATGTAAATGCATTATGTAACAAATTTCAGCTGTTCAATATGCAGAACATTCAATGCAACTCTACTGCTTGTTGGATCACGATTGTTAACTTTCCCTAAAAACGAAAAAAAACTTTTTCTGCTTGTAAACTGGCAGCTATCGGCTACCCTTTTTTAAGTTTGATCACCACACTGGATTCGATTTGTTTTGTAATACCTCGTCTTTAAAAATTTAGGCATGCATGAACCTGCATAGTGAACAATAATCACCCTTCACTTTAACACACATCGTTTCGTCCCACGTAAAGTATTAAGACGGAATCCACCGGGACATTGAGTATTTGCAGTGGACAAAAATCTTGTACCAGAATAATTTAAAGCATATTACATTCTTTTTTACATTTTTGAAGGGCTAAAGATATAATAAGTTATCTGTAGTAACACAAGAAAAAATTTCTTATGGGATGCCGAGAAAATGAATGTCAAATTTCACAAAGTTACATCTTACACATGAAATTGTCGGAAGTTTACCTGTGTAATCACAATTCTGGTGAAATTTGACATTCATTTTCTCTGACTTTCATGAGAAATTTTCTTTGGTGTTACTACGGATGATTTATTTCATCTTTAGCCCTTGACAAATGTAAAAAAGAATGCAATATTCCTTAAATTATTCTGGTACAAGGTTTTTGTCCACTGAAAATTAATATTACCTAGTTTCCTGGTGGATTCCGTCTTAATCAAATACAGTCTTGGATTCCAGATTCCACGCAGTGGATTCCGGATTCCAGGTATTGGAACTTCAACTTCAAGTGAGTCCCGGATTGAAATCGTTATAGGGATTCCGGATTCCCTGAGCTGAAGTCCGGGTTTTAAAGCCCACGATTCCAAATTTCCACAAGCAAACATTTCCCGGATTAAGTAATCCGAGTCGTTATACAATAAGAACGCCCACAGGCTTTTCCGCTGATATTAATCAAAAATACGGGAGTTTTTCATTTGAAGAATCCATAAAGCTTCTACTTATTAGGTTATTAAACACCCAAACTGATGTCGTAAGATGTGGTTTGTCGCTTTACGTGGCTATTAAGCTGTGTTTTATGGTGCATTAATTGTTTATTTGAAAATAGGAAACATTGCTTTAGGGTTAACGCGTACCATTTACTATGTTTTAATGAGCTCCCATAGCTCTATTGTTAGATGCGATAAGATGATTGCACAGTAAAGATTCCTTTTTCTAGAAGTTGTGTTACTCTCGGACATATGACTAATTCCCCGCCCCGGAGATGAAAATAATGAATCTATTTACCTTTGGGGCTACATTTGTAAGATACCTTCTGGATCAATTTAGAAAAAACGATTGGTCTGAGCTTTTAGTCCCCTTGCCTTGTTAAACTGGGGCTATGACACGCTATTTATTTGCTATCTTTTTCAGTTTAAAAGAAAAGCTAAAACGTGTTATCGCATCAGTTTTATTCCTAAAATAATAGCGCTTCTTCGAAAAATACCATAATATTCTCAAATTGCTGTTTGGGTAGTGCTTCGTGTAAATATCACTTCTGCATTATCATTTGTGCACGATCTGCAGGTGCATTGTGCCCGTCTGTCGCAAATTTGCATTTTCAGTGTATTTGCGTGCAAAGGCAGTTTTGCTAATGTTCAACGTTGGATAAAGCACAGTTTAGTTAGTACCTTTGTCTTTTTAATACGTTCAGGAGTTTGACAACGAGAGAAGTGAATTGGAAGGACTCTTTAATCAGAGATAAAGCTATAGGTTCTAGTGCAAGTCTTCTGTGCGTACTCTGAATTCTATTCTGCCAATGTAACAATTATGCATTACCATTGGATAGACATGGATTGAACTGAATTGAAAAAATTGGGCCAACTTCTTAGAAGCTTCTGATCATGTCTGCAAAAATCAGGGAAAAAAACTTATTTTGGATCGCTCCTTGACGAAATTTGCTTGATATCTTCTTAAATAATAACTCTAAAGGACGACTTCAGCATGCGCACAGATTAGAATGTCCTCTGACATTATTTCCTATAACTATCGTTATTGTTGAAACTGTTGATTTTCTGGTCAGCTGCGTACATTTTAAATGTCACCGAACGAGAACCTTCTTACAAAAATTAATCTATTTTTCAATGACGTAGCATATAAAACTACAAAATAAATGAGAGACATTTTGGCGTAACTTTGGTGATGATGAAATACTCGGACAATTAAGTGCCTTTCACGAAAACGCAATTCAGTTTAACTTCCTCTAGTTATTGATATCATCACTACGTCTTTTGTGCTTCTTACTTTTCGTAAAGCACATTACTTTTACGCTGTCCGTTTAAATAGATGCTTTGAAAAGTTGCGACTGTTGATGAAAATTATCTGTAAATGTGCACAATTTAAATTAATGACCATCTGGTTCAGTGGTCTACTGATTATGAGAGAGCTCTAAGACTTCTAGAAAAGGGAAGATGTGTCTAGGCTCTGTTATAATTATGCTCTAATTTGAGTCCTGGGATAGATTTTTAAAACCCTGGCCATAATCAGTTGAAAGGTGCAGAGCATTTCTTTCAAGTGGTACTATTTACTACACTGTAAAAGGTGCATCTAGTTACTAATCGAGTCTTGGGATATAATCCTTAGGTGTGAGCATTAAAATAAGCTTTTCTTAAGGCAGGACTATTTTTCTCCGTCTCTATGGCGCTGTTAATTATCATGCTTTTCAAGGTGGCCAGCAGCCAGTCTCTGAATAAACTCTTTAGGTGAAATCACTCAATTGAAAATTATCGAGCAGTATTTCTTGTGACCATCACTGATAATGGTGACTCCAATATGCCAAGTTTGTCTGACTATCATATATAATGATGTGGGGCTATTTTCAATAAAGCTGAGCATTCATGAATTTCGAAAGCTCAATTACTTACGGTGAAGAAAATTTTTGGTTGGATCGTTTTCCAAGTGTTCCAAGGGCTGACCAGAAAAAGAGTCACTTATGTTTCGCTTTATTTTCTACGAATGCAGATTTAGGTGGCTCATATTTATTTTTCGTTTCAGTGTTAAACATATTGGTTGCAAGATGCTTTGAAACAACTAGGTTTCAAATAGGTTAATGGTATCAATCACCTTTATCGCAAATGCTTTTTCACATTCAAACTCATTCTTAGTCCATTATTATCCCTTTTGTCAAAATAGGTGGTCCTCACTTGACTTAAACCAACAATTTCAAATTCTAAAATTTGCGATCATTTTTCAATTACACTAGCATCAGGTGCCGACAGCTGCTAATGGGATACTTACTTAAATGTAAGCCTTTTCCGATTTTCCTTTTTCGGTACAGCTTTGTAACCGAATACGAGCAACTAGTACATGTAAATGTTCCAAACTGAATTATTAGAGAGGATTTTATCATCTGTCCGGCTGGGAGTTTTCTAAAAGTGTATGTGAACATCATTAAGCTCATGTTCTTATTGGAAAAACGTAGAGTTTTTTTCTATAAACGTGATGTGGGTTAATATCTTCTGCTATCTTCAGTTCTATTTGAAGACTGATTGCTTTTTATGTGTTCTACAATTGTGCTTAAGACTCATTGTTATTTGAAAGTTAATGACCGTTAAAAGCCAAAAGGTTTTTAAAAGCTCAAACAAGCAATTAGTCATGTATGGTGTAGCTGATTATAAGCTACTAAAGTCACTTAAGCGTTTACTGTGGCTGTAGAAGAATAGCAGAAGTCATGGTTTTGAATGTCGTTTCTTTTATAAAATTGCCTATACACATTTCTCTGGCAGTTTAAATCTGTGAAATTTTGTATATTCACTTTCATAAAGTAAAAAATGGTTGGTTTTAAACATTGCAGGAAAATTTTCAAATATCACTGAAAGATCTAAATAAACATTAGAATTGGAATGATCCGACAATGCGATGATATAGGATCACTATATCTAAATAAATATATATTTTGAAACCATGTGTTTGAATAAGCAATAGATTACGCTATAGTCCGATCTGAAATTTCAACAACAACGTTAATTTCTGCCGGATTTTATGCAAAAAAACCCGATAATTGTTATCTTTTTTTCCTCTGCCTTATTCAGGTAAATTCAATCTTCTAATGCAACCGATTATCAAGTCTTAAGCCCTTCCCTTACTAGGCGAGCATTAGCTAATGTATTTCTTTTACATCATATCAAAAGAACTTGAACTACTTGCAAAATAAAACATCACGTTTTTACCACATTCGACACACGTATACGAAAAGTAAAATGTTAAATTAAAAATGCTCTAGAAGCTTTAAAATTCTCGAAATATATTTCGCTCTTCGAGCAATATACTTCGAAATATATATCGAAATATATTTCGAGGATTTTATAACTTCTCGAACATTTTTATTTTCACATTTCGTATACGTTCGTCGAATGTGGTAAAGACGTTATTCTCATTTTGCAAGTAGTTCAAGTTATTCGAACACATTCCTAGTCTCGGCATCTACAATTTCTCAAAAACATGTCAAAAGACAAATTTATAAGGAAATCATGCAGCGTGCATTGTTAGGAAATGTGATGAAAACCTCTCTCTGTTCGCTTCCTGAATTTCTCCTCTGAAAAAAGTTTGTTTGAGAGGTTCCCTAGAAACAATTTACGAGAAAATTCACTTAAGATATGGTCTCTACACATACAACCTTTTTTTTGTCCGTGTTTGACATGTAATGAGACACTACCTCTCGTGTTTGACATTGTACTTTCAGACTGAACAAATGTGGGATTTCTGCCCGCCAATGTTTCAAATAGTCTCAACCCACTTTTTTTTTTTTCTTATATTAAAATGGAGCCAAATTATTTCTTAGGAACTTCTTAATACACTTATTTGAGGTTTCTGGGAATATTATAAGTAATGGGCCCTTTGCACACGGTCATATGATACAAAAACACCTTGCTGGCCTGCAAACGACGCAGTAAGCTCTTGAAAAGAATGGTTATTAGCTTGTTGAATGATGTAATCTTTTTACTTTTCTTGTCCCTCTGCTTCGTTTGCCGTTCAACAAGGTGGTTTTCGTAGGTTTTAGTACCATTTGATCGTTTCCTGCAAAGCTTAATCTTACAATTACGTGGCTGGCTAGATGCACCTAGCTGGGCATAAGTATAAGTATGACGTCATCGAAGCAAGGAAAAAACAACAGAAAGAAGCAAGGAAGACAAAAACAGCAAAATTGAACTTAAAATGTCAAGCGTCCATTTAGTAAATATCTTTTTATTACCTATTTTGTACCAGTTTTCAAGCGAGAGTTAATAGGCTTTGGAGAAAAAAAGGGACGTAATGTTGGCTAAACCGTCCAAACAACACATTGTTTATATGTTGCCCTCACGACTATGTATTGAAAGTTTCTCAAGCATTAAGAAAAAGGTAAAGTCATTCTAACGAACACATGAAACTCAAAATAACGGAATTAAAAAATAAAGAATAAAATAACCTTCTTGTTCAGATGTGATGTTGCCATGCTAACGTCTTTTATACACAAAAATCTGACCTGTAGGGTCAGATTATTGTTTTTCAAACTCGTTAATTGGAGAAAAAGAAAAACACGAAATTAAATACTATTAGGTTTCGTTTTTTAAGCCTTCCTTTGGTAACGAGGCGGTGCGGTTGGGGGGGGGAATGGGAGTGGCTTCTTATGTGTAAATACTCAAGTTAGAGTAAGCTTTTGCTAGACATTAACTTACTACAAACTTAACTAATTTTGAAAAAGTAACTGCAGAAGCTTGCTAAAGATGATGAGACAAATCGAGCAAAGATCTACACCTTTATTGCATATTAAACTAATCGACCTATTTTGCATGAAAACGACTGAAGATTACCAAGAGCATTGTTTGCTTTAATTTCATTGGTTCATGATATTGTAGGTAGGGTTTAAAAATGGTTTATTTGTATCTTTTCATCACAGTGTAGTTACAATGAATGTTATGTAACATGAAAAAAATGTATCACTTAATCTTAACTATACAGTTGCACTGAAAATTTCTCTGCAGTTTGTGTTCCTTAGTAGTTTGAATTTTACAACGAACGGAACACTCGTAAATTTTGTAAAATGATTTCAGTTTTCGAGTAATGTTCAATGAAACCCTTTTTCAATATGGGGAGGTATTTTCATTTCTTTAGTGATTTTAGGCAAAAGATTTGCGGAAAATTGTGATTATTGTACTGTTATGTTAAAGCTTTCAACTTTTAAATGAAACTAACTATAAAAAGTAAGTGGTTTCATTTATTACTTAGGACATTAAGACTTTGATCCTTGAGCCGTGGTCCTGACAAAGTAACGTATTCCTCTATCTCGAGTTTAAATAGCGAGAAAATTAACCTTCGGCCATAACTGGTGGTACTCGATGAAACGGAATGCATCATATATAACTGAACTTGATCCTACTTTTGCTTCTTCCTCCTTTACGAATAAAAAAATATTCATGTTTGTTCTATCATTTACGTGTATCTGATGAAAGAAAGTTGTTTCAATAAACAGCTGAAAGAAGCTACAACTAGCGCATGTGCGCAGTGACCAGGTACATAGTTACATTATCGTAGGTGCCCTGCTACTTGTTACCTAAGGATGTTTGGGTTTGTGTCATTTTAATATATATTGTATAGTGCACAGTCATACGCGAGCGGCAGCGCCGGTAATTTTCTTGTAATTGAAACTGCCGGATAGAAATGGAGGAGGATATTAATTCGTGTGTCTTCTAGAGACAATAATATTTTAGGCCAGTCTCCACTCTTTACTCAAAAAGAGGGGAAAAAATTATCTTACCATTTTTAAAAGAAGGGTGTCCTATATTTCTAATCAACACAATTAAATATTCTGAAAGAACAGCTGAAAATATGAGACTAGGACTAGGAAAACAACACAAAAAAGAAATCTAACACAAAAGAAGTTAATGAAACGGATTAGAAAAGAAAAAGTTGAAAATTACGGCTCGAATTCTAGGATGAACGATCGAATGACGCAAAAGCGCTCCTGGAGAGCGGTGAATTATCCAGATATTTTCAGTATCACAATCACAGTACAAACAGATCTCGAATATGTAAAGGAGTAATGCATATTAAAGCATCTTGCTTAGCTTGGTAGATGGGAAGCTTGATTGTAACTGAGATTAGTCTTAACTAATTTCCGCATCTCATAAAACAACTGCTAAAAGGATTCACACTTCTGTTTTGTGTATAAGGGTTATCACAGAGCAAAGATGAAGGAAAATAACTGTTTCTCACAAGGGAGAAATTAGTAACTTCCTTGCCTTGTTCTCTCCTTTGAGAGAGACCAGCGCTTAACCTTCCACGAAAATTGACCATTTCATATCATATGCAACAGGCCACTAAACCCTGAAGGGCTCTTAATTCAAAATAACAGTTTTCCTAATTTTTATCCTTTTAAAAAATGCAAAATGCAAACGATCGGGGATAAAAAGAACATTTCGCAATGCATGAAATAACTTGTTATATCAATAATATATGGACTGACAATAACTTAGTTTAAATTGTCTCCCACGAGGTTAGAATTGGAATCAGAGACATCCACTCTCATTATATCAAAGAACATCTTTTCACCCCTTTTCGCAGATCGCTCCGAATTACTTCGTTCTGAATAAACATGTTTATATTAACACGAATGGAAAAAAAATTTCCGCCGCCGGGCGCGTGCACACAATTAAACTTTAAAACCTCGATTGCGACTAGCAACAATTTTCGCCCGGGTGTAAATTAGCAGGCTTGAGCTCTCGCGAAAGGTGCATTTCCGATATACAAACAATTTTCCTCCGTGGTTGTTGAAAAACAGGCAAAACTGCATGCAAAAATATAATCTTATTCAACTCCATGTGTTTTTAAGAACTTTTGTAGTTGATTAGTTCAAAATGTAATGGCGCATTCTTTGTCATTATTTATCACTTTTGAAAGAACGTCTTAAGTGGCTGCAATAAAATAAGTGCGGCACATAAAAACGAACACTGAAAGAGAGTCATGAGCCGCGATTATATTGGTGTTTTAAGACAAAAGAATGGAATTAATTTAGCCTCTACACTTGTTTGTGCAAGCCATAGATACGAAGCTTCAAGTGTTGTAAAAACTTGTTCTTCAAATTGTAGATGTGTAGTTCAGCTATCTCGGCCAAGATTTTGCGTCGAATCATTTTATTGTTTCTGGGAAACGAAAAAGATGAAAGTATAACTGTCTTTTAGTGTGCAAGTTTCAATATGTTTCACTACTTATTGTTAGAATATTTGTACAAATAAGAAATTTTTGACTAAATGAGTTGCATTTATTAGTCCATTTTAACTGCCACCGTAAAAATTTTGCTTAACTTTTTACTTGCGCGCTAAAGAATTTGTATGGCTCTAAGCAAAGTGGCTCTCTTTTCTTTAAATAATGCACTTTTCGCACAATCGTCAGGTTTAACGCTTCATTCAAAAAAAAAAAAACCTCCGGGAAAAATTGATTTAAATTAATTAAAATTCTTTCAAGGAACATTAAGGAAACCAAATTGACGTACGCGCCTTCATTTTCGAAAGCCTTCTTGTCTCTTAGTGATGTAGTGTCACTTTTGATAAGTCTGTCGGCTTTTTTGTTAAAGCTAAGCTTACAGAAGGCGTATCTGCATTATTGCTTATGTTGACCCAAGGCGCCAATTTTATATCAGTGTTTGTCAAGCTAGTGGCTGCTGAAACAAACGAACTTATAACGTAAATTACTCCGTCCGTCCTTTACAGATAATTGAAATACTCCTTTAAAAAAATCGCAGACGAGGCACGTCAGAGTGTTATTCCATTCTTAACATTAAAGTAGACAAGCTTTGGCGTGCATTAAATACCCATAGCGTTATCTCAGTTATATTTTACTGGACCAGTCGTAGTTCTTTTTAATCTATTTTTTCGTTCAGTTTTTGTACTGCTTCTGAAACCGTGCCATGTATTGCTCCGGAGCTTTTGACGATATTTGATGGGGCGTACATGCCATTTATTGACCAATAAATCCCTCGTTTTTGTTTTCGTTAGACGACCAAGTTGGGAAACCAGTTCAGAACAACTAACGATGAATAAATTCCCTTAAAATGCAAAAATACCCCAGTAGAATTAATGCTGATTTCCACGAATTAGATATATATTCTATGGATACTCGCTAGAGTAGCTCATTGGTAGTCAGTGATCGATGAAAAATTGAACAAATTGGCTTTTGTGATGGCCGATAATACGAGATTTTTGTACAATATGTCAATGCGCTAAATACTCGGCAAACATTTAGGTTTTCGATGAACCATGCTTTCACGTTTACAGCTTGTTACTTGAACAAAAAATTTCTTTTCTAATAAGAAAAACCCATAGTGAATTTAGTTCGATTTAGATGTTTGTAAATTAAGGCAAAATAGGCTCGTGTCAGTGGCGTCTAAATGTCCATTTAGCTTGAGTTTTATAGCGTCTATAAATGAGATAGAGAGCGCTGCAGTGTACGTAGGCGAATATCTTCGCAAATCTTCTACTGAGAAATCATCGGAAAAGCGTACATATAATATCCGACATTATTCATCGATTTGTAACAAAAAATTACTCCGTTTAAGAGGCTAGACATTTCTCATTCGTTTTGCCCGATTTGAATATTGACCCAGGGCTTCAAAAACCAAATAACCCGTCAATATAAGACATTGTTTTGATATGATATTTATAGCCTTCGTATTTTTCGTCCCGTATCACCAAGCTTTTCCTGAGTGTAATGTAAAAAAATATATATCACGCACAGAAAACGTTTCTCATTGTCTTTTTATGAATAACACCTACATTTTAAAGATTTCTTTTAGCGCACTTTACTTGTTCGTGGTTATGACGTCGTAGTAGTCACCGGACATACTATATTCACTATTAAACTGCGTTAAGGGTTTTGAGTTGGAAGTTGATATATCATAGCTAAAGGCGCTAATTTCTAGTGCTGTAGTTGATATGTGCAAGTAGGTCGATTTTACATCCTATATGCTCTTTTTAGCGAAGAAAAAGAAATAAAAAGAAGTAAATAATAGTAATATCAAAGGAACTGCAGAGCTTCGGGGGGTATTTATTTAGTAATCTGTTTTAATAAGATGTATTCTTCGTACAATTTTCTCTCCAAGCTTTGACTTTAATATGCAGACTGCATAGCATCGACTTGTCAGACGAGAATGCTTTTACGCCGCATCACTACCGAAAACAACACTTCCTTTTCAAAACATCGCTTACATGTTCTTTGAAACTATCTATAGAACTCATTGTTTAGGTAGGGAAATTGCTCAAAATTTGCGGCGTCCATATTGTCGTTATATTAGCGTTCTTCGTCGGTCTGGCAGAGAGAGATGTACATGGCTCTCGTGAACTTGTTTTGTAGTAGAAATGAAGTGCCACTAGGTATTAACAACGGAGCCAAAATCAGTTTAATTTATAGAAGACTAAATTTATCATGGTTCCGTATATTTTCTCCTTGAAAATTAATCCCTCAAAAACGAAAGACATTTCGTTAAACGATAATTACAGAGCAACTAACTTTTGTTTTGATATTTAAGGACTATATTTTATTTTCTGGGCAGACAAATTCAAAACAGGAGGTCACCTCTGATATTTTATGTTAATGAAGCGTTTGCTTCTCTCGATGGGTGAATTTATTCCTAGATATTTTAAACACGCACTCACACTGGGCGAATCACAGCGAAAAAGTAAGATCACCGAGTAAAAGCTTCGGGTTTCAAAGTTGAATTAAACTTTTTTTATTCACCAGATCGAAATTGGCGAGGGTAAATATTCACCCAAGACTAAGAGAGGTTATAACTTTTTATGTAAATTTTCTGCGACTTGTTTTGTAATTGTTTGGTAGTATTACGCTTCTTGAATGCCCAAACTTAACTGGAGCGTCCGATAAAAAATAACTAAAAATGCCTTAAAAATGTGCAGGTGCCGTTCGAATTTCATCATCAAAGAGCAAGACAGAGTTATGGTAAATTTGTAAGAGGACTGGGAATTATAATAGTAAAATGAAGAAACCTACAACTTGAAAGTTAGTAATGATCCAGAGACTATATTTCAATGTAGCCGGATTATTAGGTATTAAATTAGATCGTCAAAAAAAATAATCCTCCAGAATACTAATGAAGATCTAGTGTTCAAACGTGATCAGCGCGAAGAAATATGCCTTGTTTCTTACCGTTTTTTTTGTAGAACATAATTTCCTTTTTAAGCTCAACCTGGGTTTTTAACGCCTTTTGGATACTCGCTATGTCGTCTTGCTTGGTCTCCAGCCCGTACAAGAAACTGCAGCCACAACTCCGGCGCATCAATTCGCTCCGGGAAAAACCAGTAAGCTCACAGAAGCCATCACTGCAGTAGACTATAGGGTAATTGTTCTTTTCCTGGGCGCTGCCAAGAACGAAGTTACTGTCTGAGGAGAGCCATGCGGGAAATTCTGAGTGTATTATTACTTAAATAACCAACTGGGCAATAAACGTTAGTTATCAACCAACCGTTCAATACAAGAAATGCATTTATTACTCGTGGCAGTCGGTTGTGTGCGCTAGGCGGCTGAATTTAAAGTAAGATAGCCATGCATGAAATACTAAGAATTATTACTTGTAATCAGCTGAGCAATAAGCACTTACGATGCAATGTCAAGTTAAGAAATGTTCAGTCGGTAAAACACATTATGCACCGTAACATTACTGACTTGCTAGCGGTGTGTTACGAGCACTATTACTCATTACTAACAGAATTATTATTGTTCTCAGTACAAATGGTTACTTACTTCCTCGGTCGAATTTCTGGGCAATCGTTTCCAGAAACGTGTTCTGCGGTGCAAAGCGTCCACGACGAATAGGCATGATGTGTCCTGTTCGGTTACTAACGTCTTCCTTAGGTCGAAGTAAATTGGCCTTAAGCGCAAAGCGCTGTCGAGAAGCGCAGTAATTCTTTTGAAGCTGGCATATTTTGAGTGGATTTAAGATACATTATATTTATGTCTCGTGTAAATACTCTTCGGTAGGCGGGAGGCGTTGAGCATATAAACAAACAGCAGGTTTTTTTCAGTGTGTTGACTCCTTAAGTCCTTCCAAATTGGCACCTTACAGTTCCTCTGGCGGACCCTCTATAGTAGCTGTCAGCATGCTGCTTGCTCGCATCACGACATTACAAGCAAAAATACTCTCTTATGAGGCGCCTGGCTGAATTAAAATCAAAATCGCTTGTAATTGCCTAAAGAAACCAATCAAATTGAAGTAACTTAGTTCAGTTGTCAATCAAGCACGATCGATGGAACACCTGCCATTTGAAAGCGATTTAACTGCGAAGATTGAGTCAGGCTGTGGACGTCAGAGGAGGATTGGGCAAAGCCGTAAGCCCAGTAAATTCTTCTTAACGAACGTTCCACTTTTTAACTTGCAATATACTAATCCCGGTGGCTGCTTACGACTCAAAGTCTCGTAATCCCCAAAGTATTCGATTATGAACCAAGATAAAAATGTTTTCCACGTACTCTCCGCATTGATGCTACTTTTTGGCATCATATTTTACTATCAATAAGAACACTGTTTTGGCTTTGAAAATCCCAGTTTTGGATCGATCTTTAATTGAAATTAGTGCAAACTCAAACCAATATTCTCGTACTTGCTAATTGAAACCATTTTCAAGTTCTGATGAAATTCAAAAACATAATTTATTATCATATCACTAGCTTAACAAATTTGCACCACGTTTTTCACCTTACCGATCTAACAAAACCTAATATTTCGATCTTCGCGTTGACGAAAAATAGAGAACAATCAGATTTGAATAACTGCTTAAAAATCCGTCAACGAACGAAGGTTTGAACAGAAAATTTGTTTCTGAGCAACGAGCCTCGTGTTACTCGAGGAAGAATGTTTCATATTGTCAGTTAATGGCCCCTGTTGGAAGGCATGTTTCTAAGAACAAAAATCATAATAGCTTAGGCAAAAAAGTTGTTTAGAAAGTGGTACGAGACGATAAATTATTATGCTTTTTTTCTCAATAATCGATTATAGAGGGGAGAACTTGTGTTGTGTGCCCCATTGTAAGTCACAAAGTTAAACACGTCTTTGGCAGTCAATTTCCCGACATTGCACAGGTGAAGCTTTTACCCGCTTGGCGTCGATTGGGTGCCATTAAAAGAAAATAATAAAAAGATAATAATTAATATATAACTCTATCCATAATTTTTATCATTCGATGTTTAATTCAAATAAAGATTTCTTGAAGACTTTTTACTTCTGTTTAAAGGCATATATACGAGGAAATTCTCGGCTTCGAAGAAAAGAGCTGCACTTATATAGAAGTATAGTCCGTAAACTTTGATCAAAATTGAAGCGTTGTTTTCACTTATCACCCATGTGCCAAAAAGCAGCAGCTGAAAAAGCTTGACACAATCTCGTCATAACACCTTGCATATATTTCGCTCTTCGTTGTCACAGCTTTTATTGGTTAAGCTATTTGTACCATGCACTTTTTAAGATTACCAAACTGCCAACAAGCATCAGATGTAATAACCTTGAACTTTTAATCATTCACACACTTTATTTACAACCGGAATTGGAGAGAATTAAAAGCCTTATTTTATGGAAGCGAAGTTAACACGTACGAAAAGTTTAATTAAAAAAACTTATCCGAACACAATTTTTCTTAAATCTTAGTTGATGATAAAACTATCATGCTTTTTCCATTAAAAAAACACAGTTTCCCTCTTTCCCTTTGTAACTTTTAAAATTAACTTCCTGTTAGGAGGCCCGCGTCGCAAATGTTATCTACCTTTCTTTTACTGGCCAGCAAAACTTTGTAGCGTGGAAAAAAAGTGCTGGTAAATTTTGCACGGTTTTTTCGAGATGAGAGTTGTTGGCAATTGCTTATTCGCAGCTGTCAGAGTTCTTTCATACTGAACACAAGTAAAAAATGCTCCTTGTAAATTCGGTATTTAATTTTTCGCGTTCCGCATGCAGACCTTCAGTTTCTGGTGCCGGAATAAGTGCATTGTTTTTCTTGGCAGCGGTTTTTCTTTTGGTTTTGCTAAAAATTTAATGTTGCACTATGCCGTTTCATTTTAAGTTCTAATATCGTTTATAAAATGAGTTGTGATAATGGTTGTTTTAAGTTTCAGTTTGATGGCATACATGGTTGCCAAAGGAAGTAAGCCAAGTGGGACAGGACAGGTTGAAGGGTCCAATTTGACCGCTTTAATCTCAGATAACGGTAATTCATTTTTCCAGGGACAAATTTTGAAATATTTTATGATAAATCTTCCATTATGAAAGCCATATAGGTTTTTTTTAACAAACTGTGATCCAACAGAAAACACGAAATGTTGCCATGTAGTTGAAATTACACACTGTCTAACCGCAGAATATTGCCCGCTTTAATCTTTATGGTGCACTTGCTTTCTCTTCCTAAAAAAATATATGGCTGTCAGTGCTGTTGAAGACAAAATATAAGTCGCAATTTATATTTCCTTAAACTCTATTGCGTGTCTTCCCATGCGTATCTTGGTAATACATTTGCTTGTGTAAATAAGAATACAGCTAGATTACCACGGTTGACGAAAATTTGATATGGTGTAATTATTAGACAATTTTTGTTTGCTTACAGACACGGAAAACAAAAACGCAAGCAAGATTGGGACTTTTTTAATGGAAATTTTGTGCTATTCGGGAAATTTTTAAGTTAATTACACGGGAAAGAAGAATGAAAAATCAAATATATTTTAGAAAATGGAAGAATTTTGCAAAATATATTCAATGGCTTTTGTCCATAAGTTATTTCCTTTGTTCTGTTAGGAGGAAGCTTCACAGTCTGGCGTATTGTCTAAATTTTTCACGTTTCTTTTATGGAAATAAAGACAAACAAAAGCATCTGGATCGACCTACAGTTCCTTGAAATTTGTTCAGTAAAAACAGTAATCTCTTTTTTTTTTATCTTGTCGTGACGCCCAACCCAAAACAGTAAAATATAGTTTCCCATTTAGCTGCCAGTCAGGTGAATTATAATTGATCATTTTTAGGCCAAATGTAAACAAAATGGCAAATTTGAGCATAGTCATTGTTTAACTTAGGAAGCTTTCAGAAATCGAATTTTCTGTCTTTTGTTTCAATTACGCACCAGTTTTGATCGTTTTAAGCCTTCATTACGTCATTAGCGGAAGTGCTTGTTTCAAATTATAACTCCCACAGCAGTCACGAAAGGCAGCCATGTTTGAATATTATGCCAGCTTAGTTTTCAACATGAAACGTTATCCCTGCACGCAATTCTTTTTTCATTCAGCAGACTTGTTTGAACCGCCTCAGAATGGTATTCGGCAATCCTTTAAAGTAAAATTAAAAACAAAATTTATAACAGGGTATGGAATAAGTACAAAACCACTGTTCATAATAAATTCAATAATCTTTTTTTTGTTGAAGTGAACAAGTCTTTTTAAACTTTAAATGCGAGACAGAGCCAAGTGGATAAGGAGGCTTGATAAAACACTAAAGCCTTGTTTTGACAAGTGCCGCAAACATAAGGGTGATTATTTCTCCTTCAAAAAGGCCTGCACGCAAACATAAGAACCAGGGAGTAAATTGCCTTCCGGTTTTGCCGTACGAGAACGAAAGGCAACATAATCGCAAGGCGATCGCCAATTTAATCACTAGTCTGAATTTTCTCAAGTGAAATCGGTTTCATGGCATTTCCATATACAATATGATAAAAGAAGCCCCCAAAACTTCGACTCTTAAGTCAGGTGAAATGTTTAATCTGCTGTGAACAAGAACAAATGCTTAAGACTTTCGGTTAACCTGTGCAGTGACGGAAATTTTACAATAATTCAATTTTATATGTGTTTCTTCCCAGCTGCAAAATTAACTACACATCGCCAAAATTATTGAATGACAAAGTTCTTGTTTCAATAAAGTTTTGGAAAAAAAAAAAAAAAATCTTATAATCAACAAAGTCTGACTTAAGCGCTTTAAAGAAACAGCTAGACATAAAAATTGTATGTGGCTCGAGCCGGTTACATGGAATGAAAAAAATCTTACTCTTTCTTCACTGCTTGCAGCCGCGGCTTTGCGAACAAGGTTTTCGTAAACTGGCTACAAAAGTCTAAACTAAGAGTTTGCTTTTTCCATAACCACTTTTTCTTTCAAAATTTTATCAGAAAGGTTTTTGGTGCTTGTTCCTTTGCTTGCGTCAGCGTTCTGCGTTTTCACTTATCATGCTTCGCTTGTACTTACATGGTTCGTGAAACAGAGACTAACTGCCTATGTTTATTGTGTAGTTTCATCGATGGTCAAGAAAATTAAAACTAAAATTCACCAGTGCTTTCATTTCTCTGCATTTTCTTCACACACTTTTACTGAGTATTTTTCAACCCAATTTTGTATTAGCGTTAAGTAGTATAGTAGGGATATTTAAGACCACCTTTTTAAATGGACCCTCTGTTTTTGTTGACAAACAATTAGGCGCAAATTCGCGTTTCACTTGAAATAAATGAACCGACGCGTAATCACGCTACTTTAATTTCCTGTCGGATTTATTATTCATTAATAATAATAATAATAATACTTACCTGTTCTCCTTCACCTCCTCATTTGTTTTTCCTTCCACTCATCATCGAATTCAATTTCATTGTTTTTCAGCTTCCTCCTTTTTCGAAAGTTCCCAAAATTCCCTTCGTTATTTGTCATTTCATTATAATGTTGCTGAATAATAAAACTGGTGAATTCCTTACCGTAATATGAAGGGTTATAGTCATTTTTTCTGTTAGCTCCGCTTTTGGGCCGGTTTACATATTTGCCTAATTTGTTAACACTTTAGACGACACGAAGCAAAGTGATTTTACGATTAAGGAAAACTGTATTTGAATATAGCAGTACGTCACAATATACAGCCTATTATGACCAACTTTTCATTAGTAAATTACAGAAAACTGTTCGAAAGACAAGAAGGTTACAATTTTATTCAAAAACGGATGGGTGCAAGGCTAAATAAGCCTAACTGATATGGCGAAAGTTTAACATGTAAAATACTAAAATATTTGGTTTTCGAAACTTTTCCAAATAAAGATAAAATCAAACGCGGAAGGTTCAATTGTACAACTATGACATTAAAGAGAATTTAAAGCTTTATCTGAACCTTTCATTAACACTCGGCCTCCGTTCCATCGCGCGAAATATTTAAGTAAAGTTCTTCCTCTGTTGGTGCTGTATCCGTCGTGGCGTGCTCCTCGTACTTCCTCCTAGGATCTTTCATATAGTTTATTAAGAACTTCTTCCTTTCTTTTTCATGCTTGAGCGTCATGGCAGTCTTAATCGTGAGCATGTTCTGTATAAAATAGCCTACTATTTCGGTAAACTCCTTTGCAAGGACTTTTCTGGAATCTAATAAACGAAATGATAACAGAAGAAATACATAAATGTTCGCGCTAAAAATAGCAAAACATGAAACTCACATCAGTTAAATACAGCCACCTCTACGACAAAGTGAGCTCACTCTGTAATTACCCTTCTGCTAAAAGGGTGATCTTATGCTGAAACTTACGCTACTTAAGATCTTCTACAAAATCAGAAGTAAATTTTTGCTATGCTTATGACGCTACTGTCCTTGTTTGCTTTACCATATATGACTAGTTAAAACATTAAGGGCCGGTTATTTAAACCACGTTTAGACAGCGTTTGTGAAAGTCATCGTCTAACCCATCTTTAAACCATGAAAACCGATTATCATTCAACTTAGCTCTCAACATTTTACTGAGTTGCTCGATTCTCTGGTAGAAACTATTAATAATGACTTCCTTTTGAGGGATAAGAGTCCTCTGAGAATTGTTCTACCGACGTTCCTGCTGAGAACAGGAGGTTCTGCACCCTCAGATAATTTGGCTGAAAAATGAGATATTACACCTCCTCCTAGAGTTTACATTGTAATTTTAATTTATTTTCTTTTCTTTGGTAAACATACATTTACAAGAAAGAAAACAACTACAACAACAACAATCTTGATTTGTACTCACTCTTGCTCAAAAATAAATAACATTAAAAGTAAATATTAGGGTACTGGCTGCCTGGAATAACCATAGGGGCTAGCGGAACCAGGCAGTCAGTTGACATCAGTATTAAATAGAAATACCGTAAAATTCCAAAGATAAGCCCTGGGGCTTGTATTTTTCAAAGGCCCTTCTTGAGGGGCTTATTTTTGGATGGGCTTATCTACGGAGGGAAAGTTGCGTTTCAAAATCGATTGGGCTAGCCTTACAGTTGGACGTAAATTTACCGTTTCTGCTTTGTTTTGTTTTGTATTTGAGGGCAATTTCCAAGTACAAGCCCCTGGGAGGTTTACATTTGGAGGGGCGATTTAATGGAGGGTTTTTTGCGTTACGAGTTTGGGGGGGGGGGCTTTTATTTGGAGGGGCTTATACACAGAGGGGCTTATTTTCGGAATTTTACGGTAAATTAAAGGTCATGACCAGCAAGAAAACTGAAGCACAAATGCACACAAAAAAAGAGAGAGGAGAGGAAAAAACGCTATTACTACGCTATGCCGAAGGAAGTCTTAAATAGTTAAATTATATATGAATACAAAATATTAACATAAGAAGAGGACACAATAGCTATGGCAACTAATAACAAGTAATATATCAAACTATAGAATTAAGAGAGCAAAAAAATATAGAGAAATATATAACGGTGGTCGATGGGGGAACCGCAATAGCCCTGGCCAATTATAGCAGCTATGTAATGATGATGTTGCCAAATGATGTTCGCTGTGTTTCAAAACACCGAAATGCTGCCGTGTTTGGTGATTTTATCATTTGTTGCCATAAATCCACGTATGCAATTAGTCTTTACAGGGATTACAAAACCAGTGTATAGACAAATGTCAATTTTGTTTAATTTTGCGGTTTTCGAAAAAATTGGTGACGGAGAACAGCGGAGGTTTATAAATATGCAAAACTACAAACATTTTCAAAAAGTTAAAACAAGGAAAGAGTCTGAAAATTGTCCCAGATATGTCCAATCATGAGTAAGATGGCCATCTTTCTATTTTTTATAAGAACACTAGAGTGTAATAGCGAACTAAAGAGTACTTGACAGAAGGAATAAAAGATCTGACAAACTCACCATGTGGTTCAATCTTTCCTTTTGCTCTAAAGCGCCGTATAATTTCATAGATTGTGCCCAGGAGTAAAGCCAATAACAATAGCGTGCTGGCTATGAGCAAAGACTTTTGGAATACAACGCTGTTGCTGTCGAAAAGTCCTGTTGATTTCTCTACTGGAAGAGGCTCTGGAGGTTCCTGCAGAAGATACGTAAAGTTACGAGTCTTTGACTTTTGTTATCGTTATTGTTAAAAGCTAACTACAATATTAAACACTATTTTTAAAAGTTGTTCAAATAGTGACGAAAACATGAAATCACCGAAAAACTGTTCCCATCAAATAGAGGGGTAAAAATGACTAGCTATAATGAAAAAGCCTTTTTTTTAAATAGCATCTTAGTTTTGCATCCGAAATTTCATGTCTGCAGATTGCTAATGAATGAAAATTGTCTAGGATGTTGACCTTTTCTAGTTCTCAACTGTTCAAAGGCTGAGAGCTTCCCCAATTCGTCGTTTGCGTGACAGGGCGGTAACGTTAGTAGGTGTAATTTTAGTGAGTAGGTCTGTTTTTCTTGACCATGTTGGTTTGAATTATAAGATATTATTCAAAACGCCGTGGAAACATTTCTTAACCAATAAAAAATCAAAATTTTTATTACCTTTAACTGTTCTGTATTTTTCTGAATGTGGTGTGAAATTTCACTGGCGAAGGCTTGCTCACTGTACTCTTTGAAACATATCCTAAGCTTTCTGGCCTCCTTACCCATGACAATTCCATAAGTAGATGAGTAATCGAGAATCTTGTTGACTCTGAAATGTTGTTTAGCAAACATTTCCTTGCTGTCTCCGGCGCTGTACGTATCTATCAACGCACCAGTGACCCTTTGCTCTTGCAAAGCCGTATAGATATCGTCGAAAGTGTGATACTCATTATCTTAAACAGCAAATACAGCCAACCAATGAAATATTTATAACGCCATCAAATAGCGAAAAGCCATGTAGGCCACTTCAAGAAACCTATAATCCATTTATTTCCTTAAAAGAAATTTGTGTGCATCGTCGCACAAGCCTGAATATTCCAAACTCAGGACATCCGACTGCTATGCATTTGTGCCAACCGCCTTTAGTTAGAAAAACCAATTTAAGTCCTTATATTCCAATATTTGCCAAAACTTCAATTGTCATGATCAGCGGCAGTCTGTGTCCCAGCCAATCGAAACATTTGGCCGCGGTGTCTGCGGTGGTCTGTGGTTCGGTAGAAAGTTGAGTTGAGTTCTACTTTCCCAAATGGCTGTTTAATTAGAGTAGTATAGTAGGGATGTTTTATGTCATTTTATGGGCTGGAATCTCATGACGGTGATGTGACACGAGACGATTCGCAACGACGATTTTGAGCGCAACACAGCATTGCAACATTGTTACATTGTTTCAATGCTTCCAACATTGTTTCAACATTGCAACGCTGTGTTGCGCTAAAAATCGTCGTTGCGAATCGTCCCGTGTAATATCACCTTTAAGGACGGCAAGAAGATATTAACGCCGATGACGTCATTGCCTCTTGTCTTTATCTCCTGAATATAATGCGGGTCATGTGCTATTTTTAGGTGGAATAACAGGTATCCTAGTTGTTTTAAGGTCGATGAAACTCTTGCTCTTTGATTGGTTGACTTGAAACAAAAGTGTTCAATGGTTGCGTCATGATGTCAAAGGAATAAGCGTTAACTCGTCTGTGACTTGAAATCACTGAGTCGTAACGTAATTATGCGCGTTCTACTTCCTGCCATTTTCCTTGTCCAACAAATTCTTCTAGTACCGGTTCTCTGATTCTTGGCATACAAAGCGTGCATATTAATAAGGGCGAAGGCAAACTATCTCTTTCCAGCAAGTAAAACAATTTTTCGCGTTCCCTCCACCACCAACACCTCATGTCTATTGTTTGCCCTCCACTACCACCAAGTCTTCCCTCCGCAACCACCATCACCACCTAAATTTAATCATCACCTCCTAAATTTAAAATAGCACATGAGCTTATCTTAATGAGATTCCTGTGCATTTCATTTCTAAGATAAAGACAACAGGCAATGACGTAATCGGCGTTGCTATATTCTTACCCTTCTTAATGAGATTCCTGCTCCAAAAAAGGCCTAAAACATCCCTAACATACTACTAATTAGTTTTTAGATGTTACTGTAAAGAGCTTTCTTAGAACTTTTCATACTGTGTAATTCAGTATCTGGTTGCGAGGGCTGTATTTTAATTTAACGGGGAGAGGGTTTAGTTTCAAAGATGTGGTTTTACCATCTGACTCGATTAAAAACCGTCTTCTTGGTTAATTGTAAAAAAAGAAAAAGACAAACTGTTAAGCCAGTAGGTTTCATTGTGGCCTGTAAGGTTAAGAAATCAAAACTGGCTTGAAGTGAGCCGGTTGCCTAGGCGACCGAGGAGTTGAATTCGGGACTACGGAGAACAAACCCAGCTAACAGTTGGAGCGTGGAATGAACTCGGGACCTCGGGATTACAATTCCAGCGCTATTAAAATCGCTCAGCTACGCTGCCTCCTGTTAAATGCAAGCCATGAGACAAGTGATGAAAGCGAGACATTGCGGCATACATTTGACCTAAAAGTGACATTTATATAATTACCTTCGTCCATCTTTGCATTCTTTCTAATTCCCACCCGATATTCGGGGGTTTCTGCAATCGCTGCTACCTGCGAGAAAAAGAAACCCATTTTTTTCTTTGGCCTCCTAATGAATAACTAATTACTAATTAAAGGACAATGATAATTAACTGATGATGAGAATAACAGTGATTATGATGACGATGAAAACGGTGATATTAGCCATGAACCTGACCAAGTTATTATAATGAAAACAAGATTCTAATAACACTTTTGCTGAGCTCATTGCAGTCTGGTGTTGAAATATAAAATATGTATTTGAGACCAATCTAGTTGCCTTTAATACGACGTCACGTTACCTTTGCACCGTAAATTTTGTAGTCTGTTTCCAAGGCGACACTTGTTATGGATGTAGCTAAAATTCCATTCACCAGACTAAAGAGAACCAGTCCAGTCAGAATTACAACTATTGCAAGAAGTCTTCCTGTAACAGTGATCGGCGCCCGGTCACCATATCTGTGAACAACACAAGACTTTTAATTCTCGTATCAGCAATTGTTAATTCCAGGAAGCACATACCTCTTTAAAGCAAAGTAACGAGGAGATTGATTAGTTAAGCGAGCGTTTTACGCTGTTAAATACTTTTTCCTGTAAATATGTATTTTATATTAATAGAAGTAGATTCAACAAAATATATATTCCAATTAACTATCAAGGAATGTTAATAAAAAATAGAAGGTGTGGGGCGGTGGGAGTGACGACGCATGCCAAAATTCTGATTGCTTCTTGATTTAGTCACTTTTGACTGGCATACAAATCTTCTCGGATTTCCTTTGTCAGTCATACTGGTCGGCGATTAAAACTAGCTACAGCCCTTAAAGGCTATCTCGCAGTTTCTGTAAAAAAAATGTTTTCCATCTTGCCAAATATCAGTTTTTTAGTGCGCAGTCGTCGTGGAAGAATACTAGCAGTTCTCTGGCATACATATGCACGTAGATGGGACGGAATTTGAAAGAAAACGTTCTCTGGGGTAACATTGCATGGTCTGAAATACGAAAACAACACATACATGCTAAAAAGGTCTATAGATGGTTTGTTTTTATAAATAGATGGTTTGTTCCGATCCATTTACTGCTTAAAGCTAGAGTTGAGTTGGTTCAGGCGGGCTAATGTATCTCCAGTAGTTTTTTTGCAATTTTAATTTTCATATAACAGCGATATAACTGTTAACTGAGGTTTCAGTGAAAAAAAAAATAAGACTAACCCAACGGTTGTCGTGGAAACAAAAGCCCAGTAAAATCCTTCAGGTACTCCTTTAGTAAATGATGAGGGGAAATCTTGTGGGTTGGTTGGAGACTCCTATGTAAGAAGTAAAAGAAAACAAAAAAGTGGAAAGAAAGAAAAGGGACAACACAGAGGAACAGACAACGAGTTGCCAACAATCTGTACATTTCACTTGCCTTAAGTTTGTAATATAAGGTTGTTTAACGTTGTTTTAATCGTGTACTACAGTACTCTCCTCAAGCAATCGAATTTCGCAGCCACTTACAAGAATATTTTCCAAAAACATTGTCTGTCAATCAGATTAAACTGTTAAATAGCCACTTTTCTCTTCCCCAATGGCAAGATGTCCTCGAAAAATATTGCTTGTACTACAGCTAATGCTACTACTGCTGGTATTGCAACTCAGTGCTAGTAGTAGTGTTACTACACCACAAACAGTATTAACAGTTAAAGACCAGCCTCGTACCCAGACGACTCTCTCGATGATGATGATTTGCGCGCTACGGAAGGCGGCACTCGCGTGTCACTCGCGCTTCGCGTTTGCCTCTGTGCGAGAAACGAAGCGCCTGAGGGGGAGGAGGCAAGTTAACAAATTATCTCCATTAGCTTACTGATACCACTACTAGCACCATCACACCACTGCTGCTATATACAAATTTTTGTATTTGAAACCCTGTGCGGAAATAACTTACCACTACCCACACAGCCAGTCCTGACAAATAGGTGATAACCATAAACAGTGTCACGATTGACCAACAGGAAATGATATTATTTAACACTGCATTGGGTACGTCATCCTGGGAGTTAGTATTGATAATGTACGCCATTCCAGGTGACTCCACCAGACCATGGTAACCAAACTCTTTAGCAAAGTGAGTCTGATCTTTAAATCCGTACACCGGAAAGAAAAAATCTGTGGGGTTACCAATGCTCGACTTGAACGTGCGCAAATCACGAAGTCTTGCTGATGTATTTAAGCCATTGGAATTGAAATCCACGTAAGACGTTCCATGAGATTGACAGGTTTGACAACACGTGACTGCTAGCTTGCTTAAGATTGGTGGAATTAGCCCGCCTGGAATATTGTTTTCTGGTACTTGGACATATGGTCGAAACTCGTACCAACTTGTGGTGAGGCGCTTATGACAACGACACGTCTCTGAAAAACGATAAAACCAAACTAGTCATTAAAGAAAAAGTTTTGTGTAAAATGACAAATTAATAGCACGTCATCAAGAATATTGTGTAAAAGGGGATCTAGAATGTAAAGCGAAAGTAGTATCATGATAACTGTCGTGCTATGACGGTGTACCCATTATTTTGGATTAAAAGTTTTTTGTACTGTATAAGTGAATATACCAAGTCATTTCATTAGGTGGATTGGCCACTGTAAAGAGTGGGGGAGGACAGGTCGGCGGAAGCTCGGAGGAATAGGGGAAGGGAGAGGCATACTTACGGGACGTGGAGTTCTTCTAATAGGGTGGGAAGCAGGAGAAATAGCGAGGAATCACGCAACAGTTAATACTCTAGTCTTAATATTTCGCAATCGAAAACGGTCTAAAGGGAGAAAGTCAACAAAAAAGGAGCGGGAGCCAGGAAAACAAGGTACAGAAGGCGGGAGATTGGACCCCGTCCCACACCACGTCAGTAAAGGAATCAAACTCTTCACGCTGGAACTGATGTCACCTTCCTTTGGAGCTCCTTATTTACTTAATCGTTTAGCCCGCCACTGACGCACAAATATGATTTCTTTGAAACTAACTCTCTATTACTCTTGAAGAAATTCATTGAAGATAGGACTCCAAAAACAGCGTCATTAGAAAAAAAAAAAAAAAAAACAAACAACAACACACTAAAAAGGAACCTTCCACGAGGATCCAAGAAAGGAACCAGAACGTCTGTCAGAACGGGACGGACAGTCAATTATTGTTTTTGACGGAGGTGGAGGGGGGTTGGAAAATTTTGATTTAAATTGTTTGCAGAGGCTGTAAACACTGAAATAAATTGTATGCAAGTACAACGGAAAAGTGTTTGCAGGAAGACGGAGACGCACAAAAAATTGTTTGCAGCTGGAGGCGCTTAAATGTTTACATGTTAAAATTTTCCAAACCCCCACTCCCTCCGTCAAAAAAATAATGGTCCGTCCCTTACTGAAGATCATGAAGCGGCCATAACAAACAATTGGTGCTAGGGCGGAATGAGAAGCATTCAAGCAGAGAGCGTAACAAGCCAAAATAGTGGCAAAGGAAAGCATACAAACCAACACGAACACTTCAACAAAGAAAAGGATTAAAGAACAAACCAGTTATCCTCATCCCCAACCAGGGAGGGGGAATACTAAACACTTGGAATTTGCAGGCGTGAGTGTCTTAACACTTAATGAAGACACTGCTGGATTTGAGAAAGATGATTGACCGCAATCGAAACTGTCCCAAACGAATTTTAAATATGTATTGGTTATAACCTTCTATTTTCTATGACCAATGTCATTGAAATTCTGCTAGCTATAACAGGCTGCATTTTGTAATAGAGAAGTTACTGTATAGACTGCAAAAAGAAACAAACCTGCATAATCCGTAGTTACTGGTCCATCTCCTACAACTGTGTACCCCAACACATCCACACGATATAAAGTAAATATTTCAAGATGTTTTAATACAAAAGAGAATGTGGTTGGGTCAACCCTCTCTTCTTGGATTGGCTGATCTTCAATTTGTTCCTCGCCTGATGCGACGGCCTGGTACCTAATTTTGAAACCAAGCAAAACTCCGTGGATGTGATGTGGATCAATAGGTAGCCAGGTGACAGGAATAGTTGTCAAGGTAACGTGGCTTTCAGCGCGGACGTCATTTGGTGGTTTGCTAGGAACTAAAAGAATGCGGTACAAAAAGATTAGGCGATAAAAATCGAACTATACATGTTTTTGTTCACGGTATTCCCGAGTCCAAATCCTCGACCACGCCTGTAAATAGCCAGCTGGTTTGCCTCCGGCCAGTTGGGATTCTTAACCCTGTTAAGTTTGATTTGAATTATTTGTTTCAGTCATTTGCTGGGTCCCACTAGCATTAATGCTATAAATACTGCCCAGAGTAAACAATGGAATTATAATTACTATCATCATTGTTGTTTTAAAGTTACTTGATGTTCATAAGTTTTAAGTTACCTCCAAATATGAGTCCTTCCACTGCAAAACCTTAAGGCTAATAAGCGGTGGATACTTGTGCAAAATTGCTCTCAAAATCGTGCTCAACCAACTATGTTCCACCTCAGTAGTATAGAAGGTAACGAATTGACCCATTTGCTGGGCAAACGTATCTGCATACACATCGTCAAATATTATAGTCTTCTCTCATTATCATTACTAACATTCGCGCCAATGAAGGTCGCTGAATTGCACCATAATTAGACAGTTTTTTGTTTTGAATTCATAGTGTGACCACGCAGGGATTGTGGTGGTTTAGGTCTTCCCCTACAAACGGTGCATTTGAGGTTCGCGTCGAAGTTGGCGATGGTGAATAATGAAGATTGTAATCGAGCGGAAATAAGGTGCAAAACGTTTAGAACTGGGGAAGAGTGTCACTAAAGTATGATTGCTCATGCGCTGAAATTCAGTTACGTACGCCAGCGAAGGAATATTTTAAAGGAAAAAGCTTCTTTGACCAAGAACCCATAAGCAAACAGTGTATCAAAGCCAAAACAATATAACATTGGAGTCATTACAGTGCTTATGGTATTACTGCTTCCAATAATGAAAAGGTATTTTGGTACGTATCGTCTATTTGGCGGCACTACGGAGCCATTCTGTTTCTTCCTAAGATAACTAACTCTCAGATAAATGTGCACGCGATATTCCTGATAAGTGAGAAGTCTGCGACAGTTTAAAGCTTGATGTTTGGCCCCATTTGAAAGCGCCAGAGTTAAGTATAACTAAACAAAAACACACTACAACTAAGAGCCATACCATCTTGTGGTGTTAACACTGAAATGTTGTTTTCTGGACCGTATCCTATTGAGGTAAAGGCGCTCACTCGAACGGAATATTCTGTAAACTTTTTAAGACCATCCAGTAAGACCCAGTTAACCAAAAAGCGTTCTCTAACAGCCAATTCGGTATTCGGCTTGTTTTCCTGATATCCAACGTTGAAGCCTCTTATAATGCCATTTTCAAACTGCGGAGGTACTGGGTCCCAGTAAAGGAATATCGAGGTAGAGCTTGGTGAAGAGTATCTGATGGAAAGAGGAGGACGATCGGGGACTGGGGAGAAAAAATGTTGACTTCTGTTAAAAAAAAATAAGTAACTGAATGCAACTGCAGTGGACTAGCAAGGATTAGTAAAGCTGCGTCAAATGACGAAATGACCATCACTTACAATTGGTAATTTGAGAGATTTATGTCTCTGAAGGATATACTGTTGCTTCGAACACATGGAAAAATATATACGTTAGTTATCATACATCATATATATCCGATACCCTTTGCACTTACGTGCTATAACATGAGCGTCAAGTAAACTGTAGCCACCTTACTTCTTTCCTTGTTTTCTTGCTCTTTTTAGTATGTATGTGTGTGTGTGTGTGGGAGGGGGGCAGGTGATGATATTTATGCAAATAACACTGGACGAACTTTAGTATTCAGTGGAGCGACACTTTGTCCTTCGCAGAGGGTAAAGACGAAGGCTAAAATTATTTGGACTTACCGTCCTCGTGCGTCTGTACAAATAAGGGGCTGCTTTGTGATCCCTGTCTCGTAGTAAATGCTGTCACCCAAATATGGTAGTAGGTATACTTGTGTAAGTTAACAAGTTGAGCATTTGTCACTGATATATCTACAGATACGTTTCTTAAAATGCTCGGGTGGACTGAGCTCGAGTCCTCTTTATAATAAACGGTATAACCACGCAGAATGCCTCGGATGGTTGGTAAATAAACTGGATCCCATTTGACGAAAACTGAAGTCGAATTTGTGGCCATTCCTGTTAAGTTAGTTGGCCCTTTGAAGGGAACTGTCGAAAAACCACAGCAAAGGTATTTTAGTTCATAGTTCATTGCGTTCAGTGTAAAGCGGAAGTGCCCGCGTGAAATTGCACCGAGTTTCTAGAAGGGTAACGACAATCCTGCGCTGTGGAAAGGATATCAGTTTCCTAATCAAATATAAAAGGATATCATTCTTAGCGTTGAACGTCCATCTGATGCTAACAAAATTCTTTCCAAGACTGTTAAAAAAACAGCATTTCAAGCAGCCATTTTGGATCATGCATGAACTTATTTCATCCGCTGTGAAATTGGCGGAAAGTTTATTTGTGGTAATGGTGGAGACCAGGTTATTTTGGTGGTGGTGAGGTTTCGTTGAGAATCTGGCGAACGCGAGACAATGGTTGTGTGGCAGTGGTTGCGATGGTGGATGGATGTGAAATAATAAATATTTGGTGGACGTCATTAATATGCACTATTTGCGCGCCGTAGAATCAACGAACCGAAACCATGAAGATTACATGTAACAGGAAAAACATTACGTAATTAAGTTACGAAAATTTTTTATTAAGCATGAGTTTCCATCTTTGAACCTTTCAAATTACTTTTTCAAAACAGTTTAACCAATAAACGCCTCTTTTCAAATCATTCAACCAGTCAAAAAAAAAAAAAAAAAAAAAAAACTATCAGATCGCCATACCAAATACGAGCATACTATAGCTAATGGTGACGGATTGGATATTGAACAAATGCGGTAGTTAACATTAAACACCACGTTACGTTATGCGAGGACAATCAGTCAGTAAATCAACTGAAATGAGCTCATGAACAAATTCTCAGAAGGGGTCATTTAAGAACACAAACGGCGCAAACGCGGGTAACCACTTCGATGGATCTCTGAAATGGGTGCAAATGTACCTAAACAACGCATAGACAAATAAGTCATCCTGTATATTACCTTCTTCATCGGTGTCTTCGAATATTAATTCACTCCATGGACCTTCTCCAACAACGGTGAATGCTGCCATCTTGATGCTATAGTTGGTCCATATATTAAGCCCAGTGATCTCTAACGACAACTTAGAAATGTTTAAAGTGTAATCCCTGATTCTTGTCCCAGTAATGGTGAATAAAGCCAGTTTGTAGCCCAGTGCAATGCCGTTTATGGTTTCGTTGGATACCGGGAGCCAATGAGCTTTTAGAACCGTTGGTTCAATTCCGATAGCTCGTATGTTTCCTGGTGGGTCGTCAGGAACTGAGACAAGCAAAAAAAAGCTAGATAAAAATTACAGTCCTACCGATCCATATAGACCGCCTTTGGTGCATAGATTTATCGGCAGTTGTACAATCTAAACTTCCCCCGACACGTGACTGGGACAGACGCCAGTTGGGTCTGCATTATTTCCCGTATTAAGAGTAGACGTCTAAGATGTGTGAAAGACGACTTAGACATACCCTGGCGTTAATAGGATACGGGCCATTTTCTGTGAAGTTTGATTACTTAGGTCTAGTGAAAAATTATATAAAAAAAAAATTACTTGGGCTGAAAAAGAGGTGAGTGTGGGGTATAAATAAGTATAATATTAGGCCTTTACAACTTGGAAAGTACGTACCATCTTCGTCTGTGCGAACATTAACTGGATCAGAAACATTACCCAAGCCGAGGAGGGTTCGTCCAGCAACTTGGATAGAATATAACTTATATTTTCCTAATCCGGTTAGTTCAGTGTGCAAAACGGTGCTGTTTACCGTTACCATAGAAATGTTATCGCCAAACTTATTAATTCTTCGATATATCACGTGATATCCCAGGAGTATTCCATTCACATGATCAGGTGGAATAGGCTGCCATGTGACGTTAATACTTGTGGAGCTTGTGTTATATGCTGTAACGTTTATTGGCGCGTGATCAGGCACTAAAACGGCGAAAATAAAAACAAGAACAAATAATCTCAATTAGAGCAAATCAAGACCCAAATGGATTCTTTTGTAGTAAGTCTGGAAAGATGATTCAACTCACGTACGAAAATTTAAACCTTTTGGGCAATCTCGACTTATAAACTTCAGGAATTTTAATTTGTACACACAAAGATATCTAGGGTCTGACGTCAGACATGTCTAAGTTTTGTTTTCAATTTTAACTCCTTCATTCGTTTAGCACTTCATGCATGTAATGCTTTGTCCGGTAATGCATTTAAGCCACCTATTTTATAATGTTTTAAGCGAGGACGTCGTAGTTAAGCACTGGTGGCTTCCACCAATGTGGCCCGGGTCAAATCTCGGGGAACGCCATACGCGGGCCTTTCAAGTCTGTGGTTGCTTCCCTTTATTGCTCTGGGCTCGAGTATCCCGGTTTTTTCTCTCCTCAAAAACCAAAAACCCATACGCTTTGTACATTCCAATTTGCTGTACAAATCACGCTGATACAACAACACATCACACAGAGTCCTTAGGTCAGTAAGTGGGCAAAAAAAAAACATTTCCTTTTCCGCAACATCTTGCGGGAGCTTAAAAGAAGTGAAAGTCTTTTTTGAGTCAACCTAGTCAATCACTGATTCGGTACCGTCATAGGGTTATTTATTAAAACTCAACGAACAAACAAAGACACAAACCGTACCATCTTCTGCTGTGGTGAAGTTTGTCGCCAACGTTGGTACGCCATCTTTGATGGTGAAAGCTAAGACTATGACAGTATAAGAAGTGTAGGTCTTCAGTCCTTTGAGATCAAAGCTGACTGTTTCCTCCTCTACACTTCGTTTCTTTCGCCCCTCTCGAGTTCCATTTGCATTAAGAACAATACTCGTCCAGTTACTCGTTGGTGAATTCGTTTGTTTGTATAGGACTTTATATCCTTTGAGTCTGCCGTTAATAAAATATTTGTGTACTGGCTTCCATTGCAGAGTTGCTGCTGATGTCGCCGACTGCTCAACAGTCAGGTTTCTTGGAGGCTCGCTTGGAGCTACGAGTTAAAACAAGAAAGGGATAATGTGTGTCTTAGTTTTGGTTTTGACATAGGTACTAAATGGAAATTTTTGTTGTTTTCACTACAACGAAGCTGATTTAATTAATTAACAGTAATAATGATAATAATAATGATAATAATAAACACTACCAAAACCTGTCAGTGGCAACGCGAGTGGAAGGCAAGTAATGATGACTGTAGAAATCGCCATTTTTCGTGAAACGGTTCGAGAAATGTTGCTATAACTCGCGCTTCTTATGTTTTCAAGTCACAGGCAAATTAACAAGAGTTCACTTAGTTTCTCTTCAGCAATGACTACATTTGACTTTAACACGTAATTTAAAAATTCTTGCATCCAATACAGTGAAAACCCGCGAGTAAGACACTGAAATTTCCTAAGTTAGCCTAGACAGGTTCTGAAATAAACGGTGAGTAGAATAAATTTAGGCTATTTAGGTTATTAAATAGGTTCTTTTTTTCTAAGAACATAAAATACATTGTAGCTAAGAACATTGCGTGGTATTCTGATTTGAAATAAAGGGTTGACATGCCCAACACGACTCTTAGACTCGTGATAGTCTGAAACGTGGCCTCAACGTTTTCTTGAGCAACATGTTTTTATAGATTTTAGAAAATAGGAAACTGTTTCAAATTTTAGACTAAACAGGTTCTTGTACAGACGAGGCTTAACTGGCAAAAGCTATCAGCCCAACAGGTTCTTAAAAACCAGGTTCGCACCCGCTGGTTTTTACTGTATTGAAAGATCTTGCCTACTATTGAAACCATTTAAGAAGCCTTTGAATTAGTTACAAATATCAGCCTACCGTCTTCCTCTGTTTTTAAAGTGATTGTGTCAGTGATATTTCCCTCCCAGGAACTCGTTGACCCGTATACTTTGAATTCGTAGCTCGTAAACGGTTTTAAAAAGTCCAGTTGTATGCTTGTGCTTGATGGATTGACAGTGACATTGATTCTCTCGCCTCTGAGTAGATCGACAATTTCGACTCGATATTCAGAGACAACTTCACCTAATTTGAACGAGTCTGGCGCTACCCAGCTCAGACCTATGCTTGTCGAGTTCCGGAAATCACCTGTGATGTTTACTGGATCAATCTTCACTTCTAGAAAAAGACAGAATTAAAGAAATTCACTGCTGTAGAACGAAGAAGGGTACGGGACACTGACCCTCTCAAAAGGAAAAAGGAGCTAACTTTTAAGGATTCAAACCAACCTTAAAATTTCACTGAGATATTTCAGTGATATTCCCTCCCAGAAATTCATTGAACCGTATACTTTGAATTAATTTGATAGGTCGTAAACGATTCTATAAAGTCCAGTTGTATTCTTGTGCTGGATGATTTCACAGTGACATTAATTCCCCACCGCTGTAAGCCGAAGAAGAGTATGGGACACCGACCCTCTCAAAAAGAAGACGGAGCTTTTAAGGATTCAAATCAACCTAAACATTTCACTGAGAGTTACTCGTTACTACTACAATCATGGACAAAAGTGTTAGGACAGTATCCGCGTACTACTAACACTGCACCTCCTACCCCCTCCCCCCACCCCACGGACAGTGTTGAAACCGTCAAGGCACAATTCCTTTGATCTTTTAACACTGTATCGGGTGCGGAAGGGGGAGGGGACATGGATTTGTAAAATGACAGCACTGCTTTTTACGACATTTCTTGTGAAACGCATAGAATTGAAGTTATGTTCTGACTGTCCCAAGGAGTTTTGTCCATGATTGTAGCTCGATTTCAGGCCCTGCAATTAATCATGAAAGTCCAGTTCTTTCTCCCTAGGCGTGTTTGCTATTGATTATTTAAAAGCTGGTAGTAAATGTTGATCCTTGAGAGCACAAATGGAACAGGTAATCATTAATAGTAAATAAATATACAGGAAAAAAGATGACATGCGGAGGAAAGCGTATTTTGTTCACCAGGCAATACCTGAGGAAAATAATAAGGGTCCCACTTGTGGTGTAAATGACAACACTTAATACTACAGGCAACTACACAACATTAGCTGGTGTTCACGAAAAACTACCTTGAAGGCACTGCAGAGTTGGCACTTCACTGGACTAGAAAGTGTCGTTAAGTTTTTGCCAATCGCAAAGCTCAGAAACCGAGAAGAAATTTAACGTACGTAGTATTTGATAATAACTACCATATTCGCACGATGTACATAGTATTTAATAATAATTTTCATATTCCCACAATGCACATAGTATTTGATAGTCATTACCATATTTGCACAATGTACGCAGTATTTGATACCAATTTCCATATTTGCACAATGTACATAGTATTTTATAATAATTACCATATTCGCAGGAGTAGAACTCCGTCCTTAAAGATGGGTAGCTAAACCAAGTCTCGGGTAAAACCCTTATAAAGCACGCAGTGATAGCTGGAGTCAGGGCATTGTGAACGACAGTGTTTCTGTCCCAGTTAGCTTGAAAAATCTACAAACAAAACAAAATATGAAAATGAACTTCTTCCACCAGAATGTTTTCCCAAAATGTCAAGAAAACAAGTCCATAATTTTATAGGAAAAGCTGTTTATAATTAACTGCATACCATCGTAGTACCAGTAACCTGGTTTAAAATGCTATGTTCTCCACGTTCCTCGTTATGTTACAAAATCAAATGGCATACATCACACCCCACGTAAAGTATCTCCCTCTCTAGCAGCTAAATAACGTATGCGCGCTTACTAACAAGCGTTATACAAAAGCACCTCACCTTAATTTCACCGAATTGTTTATACAGCTCAAAATGTACACTATTGTAAGCGGAGCTTAAAGAATAACTTTTAACCCATTGGTCTTGATCAAATCGTCCTTGAGTCGCCACTTTTAGAAGAGTAACCTTTCCTTGGAAGTCAACTTGAAGCCAAGGTTTCGTGTCACTGTACGCTTTAGTCCACGCACCCGGTACTCCCTTATAATACAGTCGAGCGTTTCTGGCAGAGTGTGTGTTAATCAACTCACTGGAGGCAGTGATCTGCAAATCGGAAATGTTACGGTCTTCCATGCCTAGAGCACGACAATCTGCGGTTGAAATTACGAATAGCCCTTATTACTCTGAATGTCCTGTTGTCCCAATGTAGAGCTTGTGAAAATGTGAAAAAAGTATCCCCTTTCAAAATGGAAGGCAGATCCTCGCAAGTGAAAGTATTCAAATGGAGCTAAATAAGGATAACATTTTTTTCAATCTTGTTACCACAATTCTTTCATATCATTTGTTTTGATTGTTTGTCCTCGTTAATTTAACATTTCTCAAAAGTAGTAAAATAGCATCTAACACAAGTACTACGTTCACATCATACAAAATAGACTGCGAACTGTCTGATTCTTTGTTCAACATTAGCGGACTGGCAATATTGGAAATGAGTAATTGAGCTCTAAAACCACACCAAAAACAGGGACTGTGAAGGTATGCCCTTCCACCCATCTTGCAACTTCCGATGCAAGCTTGGCTATTTTTTCTCCTAAGTGTTCTGCATGGGAAAAAGGGGTTGCCCTTAATCCAGATGCAAAAGCTCCATACCGTTAATATTTGTGTTTACTATGACAAAATCACTGAAGTTTCCTCGCCCTTTAGAAGTGAAGCCAGCCACTCGTAATTTGTAGACCTTGGATTTCTCCAGTTGCATAATGTTCATGTTCAAAGCACATCCATATATCAAGTCATCGTCCATTCCACCCAATTGTACCATGTAGCCCCTCAGAAGACCATTTTCATGTTCTGTTGGAATGGCTTTCCATGACATCATCACACTGGTATAGCTGGTGGCATGAGCTACCACGACGGGTGGCGGAGCACTAGGGACTGAAGGAAATAATAACGCGATGAGTGGGTAGTCGCGGGATGTAAGCACGCGGAAAGAAAAATTTCAGAAATTATTATACATTGTAGTGCGTAGTATTGTACTAACTATTTCACGGATTAAGTAAAATCACTCCAGTAATAGGACTTAATAGGGTACAATTCAATATAATATATAATCAAGCGAATGCTTTGTAACTGTCGAGATTAATAGACTAGGAGATTTTCTATTTTCTTACCGTCCTCCGCAGATCGAACTGTTAATGTCAGACTAGTAGGACTTTCGCCTGCGCTGTTAAAAGCCAAAACCTGTATGTTATACAGCGTGTATATAAGTAAGTTGGGTAGTTCCGTTGATAAGACGTGCCTGTTGACGGTGAGGACCTTTTGTTGGCCAGTACTCTGTGCAGTGTATATGACTTTGTAACCCTGAATGGCACCCAAACGATGCTCCACGGGAACTGGTTCCCACGTAACAATGATACTTCCAGAGTTATTAAGGAACGCAATGACATTTAATGGCGCCGACGTGGGAGCTGTGTAAACAAACAAGGCAAGATCAAGTAATGAACAACGGCGTATTAATTGGTTAACATACATACATACATACATACATAGGACAATGCCTAACGGGCGAGGTATTTTAAAATAATTACCGAGCGCGTAGCTCAAGGTTTTCTATTTTAAGAAGGGTGATTTAATACACCTTTCCATTGTTTTAAAACCGGCAGATCATTATTGTGACCGCTAAAGTGGAACAGTGGGCTATTATCCATAACAATGACTTCCTGTTCCACCTCAGTGACCTGTTCTCCCATTTATTGAGAATAATAACTTGTTTAAAACAATGGAAAGGTGACAAACAATAAGTCATGCACAAACCTTATGAAAATAAATGCCCCTGTTAGCTCACTAAATGTCACGCATGCTCACCCCCTCCCCCTCAGGGCATTTTCCGGGCGTTTTTCAGGTCGCGAGTACCCACAACGGGGAATTTTTTATCAAAGTTCTGTTGAAGACACAAGCGTAATTACTGGAAATAATCTTTAAAAGGGTCCGATTCGTAATAACAATTGGACACAAGTGGAGAAACCTTTTCATGCCAACTTCGAATATATCCTCATCCATGCCAAACGTGTCTGGAGGCAATGATAACACTGGGATTATAAGATTTCTAGTAAAAAACCCTAACATCTGAACATAGGTAATAGATTGGAATGGTCATGAAACCCGTTCGACTCCTTTGTTATATGTTTTTGTGGACCTGAAGGTGCACAAAATTCAAAAGCATTCCTATCATTTTCATGTTATTGACCAATAAAAACGTTTCATTAATTTATTCCGTCACAGTTTTCCCAACAGAAAACAGGTTTGTGCACCTTCGGGGAGCTTTCAACATAAACAACAGCACCGTTTTTTTTATATTTGATGTTTATTGTCTTTCATAACCAGTCTCCTAACTATGATCTGAACTTGAGGATTTGAGAAATTAAAGATTAACTGTCAATCAACACGCACGGCGTCATAGGTTAGGTGGAGAAGCGAAATATTTCTTTCATGTTGGTGATTATTTGACTAATCTCTTTGTTAAGCTCCTCCGGGGAAGTTTTTCAAGGCCTTTTTGAAGGAGAGGGGAGAGTGGGTTTTCATGAAGAGTGCAAAAAGGAAAAAAACACATGAATTGCACTCATTTATGAAATTTTACGAATTTAAAAGTTCTCGGATTTTTTGTTAAAGTGGAATCGTAATGGTTAATCAGCCCTAGAGAGTGTTTTCACCATGACGTCATCAAATTCTAAAATAAAAATAGCGAGGCTCTCTGAATTCGTATGTACCCAGGGTGAAGGAGACCGAAAAAATAAATCTTTGTTGGGGTTTTAAGCCCCGTAGCGTCTTTCAGTTTGGAAAATACAGCATTTTGAATTTCGGAATTTTCACTGTGCGTGACACCACAGTTATAGCCTTGGCAGAGATGTCTTGTTAAAGGAAAGCTATCTCCTTACGATTTTCAGCAGTTAATACATTTTACGCGGTAAAAAACGTGTTAATGCGAATGCTAATCTGCTTACAAGCAAAAAGAAGATGATGATGATGACCTGATGTCTTTGTTGATTTCTGGTCGCCATATTGGTGCCCCATCTGGGCACACCAGTATGGCGTCCCATACAAAGTTCCATAAACCTGCGCGAAACGTTTCGGTAAACAACTAAAAAACGGTGCGCCGTACAGATTTGAGACTTGGATATGTTGTGTATATATGAGTATTCTGTAAAATTTAATTTTCTTGGCTTCTTTCGTTCAATAGTTTCAAAGTTATTTTTTCATTGCGTGACAGTGAAAACACTCTATTTTCAATTCTGTATTCTAGCGGTTTTACTAACCATCCTCTCCTGTCCTTGCCACAACCTCGTCACTTTTCTTTCCTTCACCTTCCAGCGTGTGAGGCGTGACACTTACGACATACCATGTGTACGATTCCAGGTTTGTCAACTCGTAATTTGGTATTCCAGATGCGACCATGACTCTTTCCGTCTGCGATGAACCATTTACACGATAGGAGATCTCAACTCCGCAAAATATCCCATGAAGTAATTCTCCAGGTTCATTCCACTCTAAGGCCAGAGACGTGGAACTCGTGTTGTACGCTAAAACCTGAAGAGGTCGTATGTACACTGTAAGATAGAGAAAAAAGAAAACATAATTAAGCCAGTTTCCCATTACCATCGCGATGATAGCTTCTGTTATCATTTAACGACTAGCGCCATAAGAACCCTTTACCTAAATGAAGATATCCATAGATATCCATTCAAATCACGTGAAATCGCAGAAGACTTCACTTTCGCTGTAGCTGGTCTACATCTGCGCTCATAATTTTAGGCCTAGTTTTTTGACAGTTTTTTTTCTTAGTAATGCTTAATTTTCCTTTTCCCACTTTTAAATTATTCACAATTGTAAATAGCTTTTCTATCGTGGACATAAAATTTAGTTTTTAATTTGTAAACAATAAGATATAGTTTAAAATTGTAATTATTACTTATTTTTCTGATACTTTGATAATTTGATGTGATAATGATAATAATAATAATAATAACAACAACAATAATAATAATAATAATAACAACAACAACAATAATAATAATAATAATAGTTTAAATAATGTCTTTATTTCGCCCATTACAGAAAATAATAGACAATTTTATTAAAAAAACTATTAAAATCCTATTTACAATTAATTCGCTTAAAAAAAAGAAAAAACTATTCATTCAAAAACACTATTTACAATTTCTGTCGATTTAAAAAGCACTTAATTTAGCTTTAAAAAAAAGTTAATTAAAACTAAGAAAAATTTTTTTCGAATTAAAAAACATTTCATTTCAATAAAAAGAAAACTGTCAACCTCTAAGATTCAAAAGTTTCTTTCAACTGCTAAAAAAAACAAAAAAAAAAAATAGTAATAATAATAATGAAATAAAAAGATATATATGAAGTAAGGAAACACATCAATAGTCCGATTTAATGGCTCCTTCAGCAACTTCGACGTCGATATCAACATTCTTAATGTCACATGGCACTCTTCTGGTCCTAGAGCCTCGAAGACAAACCAACGCAGATCTCAATAGCGCGAATGAGGTTCTGGTTCTGATCCATGAGATGGTTTTGGCATACTGCTCCCCTTTTTTGATGGCAATCAGCTGTGCTAAACGGCTATGATACTTCAAGCACTCCTTTCCCATTCCGCCAGTTGTGGTGAAGACCAAGGGTGTAAATGTTCCATGCTCGATGTCCAGGACTCTCTCTGAGTAGAGACGCTTTTTCTCGTTCCATTGATACGATAGATTTGTTGTGGCTCTAGGTCCCTATACGATACAGCATTAGGGTGACAGACCCTCACATCGAAGAATGCTGAACGATGTCGCTCCCAGAAACCACGCGCGTGGATATCTAACCTCGCATCCTGAGCTTTGTTAGATCCTCTGTTTAAATGTTCGCCGGAGATGTCTTGAAGTACTGGTTCGATCTCGACATCGCTACACACCATACTCGCCCATTACAGTGAGTGAAGTATACAAGTCATGAAAATCTCATAGATTATTTACAATTATCATATAAAACCTGATATCTATATTTGTTAATTGCTAAGTTGTATTTAAACCTTAATCTATTAAAGCAACAATTCTTAAAACGTTCTGCATTAACCCCGTGGTAATTGACTTGCTTGTGATCTTAACCTCTTGGATGAGCATTTGACTTTCGGCAAAAAGGCATGTAATGGATTGTTAACATTGTTCTCAATTTTGATGAACAACCTGTGGTCACACTTTCCTAAAAGGTCATAGATATTAATATATTAATAAACTCAGAAGTATAGCTGTTCCTTCTATTATTAGGAACGGCAAACGGCGAACTCAAAAACCTTTAAAATTGCTCAAAAAACCGCTTTTGAGACAAAAGGACGACAACATACCACAGGAAAGGTAATTCAACGTTTATTTAACATTGATTTATAAACATACTTAGCAATATATCGCTATAAGTCAAGCAAACAGTATATCTAGTACATTTACTATGAAATAACAATCGTTTACACGGCAGATTGTGTGGGCTCCCTGTGGCTTCACGAAGTTTTTTTCTCTTAACATGAGATGAAAACTTACAGTCTTTTGTAATGTGACACCTAAAAGAGTAAGACTGTCATTCTGTTCTATGCTACACAGCGGGGGAAAGTTGGGTGTGGCACCTTTTTTAGCCATAAGGACGCGTCAAGAAGAAAGTTCTCCTAGAAGTATGGTCTTGTATTGTTGAAAGAACCTTCACGACCGACAGTAATAATAAGGGTAAAATGCATGGCAAATGAGGTAACTTAGGCAAGCTAAAGAGTTTTACCTGTATGGATCTTTCTTATCTAGTCTTTAATTCATTCGGTTCATGTAGCAGCTGCTCGAAAGAGAAATCACCAATGGTGCCTAACCCCTGACCCCCAACAACACTGAAACAATTGAATGAATAACATGTCATTGTTTTCTGCGACCAATGAAGAGAGACCTTATAAGCAGTACCTACACAGCTGATTTATTCACTTTTCAGCCCTTGTTTTTACCGCAAATTATTACAGATAACACAGCAGGTTGTCGTCCTTCGATCTGTATGCTTATTAAGTGGAAAGTGCAATCATGATAATATATAACGCTCGACTGGAATTGCATATTTTTTTCTATTAAACCTTTAGAACAGAAACAAGTGGTGAATGAAAATATTTTAGTATCTGCACGGGTAATCCATTAAATCATAAAATGACGGATATAAAACATTTTAACATTGCTGTTATTCCTTTCATTAAACTTATAAATTTGAATACTAACGTGTGTAATCGACAATAATTCGTGCAATACGCTGGGATAATTCCGTGTTCTATTTCCATATAAAAAGAAATTAATTAGTCTGGAAATTTCAGTTTACGAGCAACATTCGACAAAGAGTTATAAATTTTCCTTAACAGGTATTCTAAAAGATTTCTTTTGAAATTCACGTTAGTCTTTCCACCAAAAGCATCTACAGTTTTGCCTTTTTTGATGTTTTATTTTTCTTTTCGAAGCCTGTTTTAATTAAAATTCAATTCTGCAGGTCAGATGACAAGGAAATTAAAAAAGGTAATATTTTGTTTGACGCATGAGAATCTCCAAGTCACAGCGACCATTATCGTTAATAAAAATGAAGCAAAGTTTCGATTAGTATATAGAAGACTAACTGTTTACGTTGGACATGCCCTTATTACTATTAAAAAGCTAATATGTATATTTTCGAAAGCAATTGTTAAAATGCCAAAAGCGAAAATTGATTTGCTGCGTTATCAGCAGGAAATGAGTGAAAATCCTCTTCATTATGCATTTTCTTAATTTTACTAGAGCTCTTTTTTGTATAGGAAAAGAAACGTGGAAAACAACAACTTGCACATACAAAGAGAAAACATATCCTGTTGACGAAATGGGACAACAGTCCTTTACAGATATCACCATCATTAATTGTGCGCTAAATGTGCCACTGATGATTATATCTATCTCTGCAAACTCGTTGGTTTTGGCGGCCATGTTGACGACACCATCTCTTCGTTCGCCCTCTACCGTTTTCTTGTGTTGCCTTACCATCTCAGACATTCTTGTTGGATTCATTGCTCAGCCTGTCTACATTGCAACGGAACTTGAACGTGCTCCACTTTTATACGGCCCAATGTTTGCGTTGACTTCGTTAGCTTGTGGTGTTTCAGTCTGTACAATGGCGGTCATAAGCGTAGACAGGTACTTGGCTCTTCATTATCACATGACCTATCCACATATAATGACTGAAAAAAGAGCTCTATATATTACACTAACTGTTTGGCTCACTGGTGCTCTTGTTTCGTGCATAAATCTTTGGAATAAAAGTCTATTTTTCTATGTCACGGCTGTTGGCATAGGTGTTTGCATCACAATTTCCACGATTTCGTATGTTAAAATTTTTCTTATCGTTCGTCAGCATCAACTACAAATTCAAGTCCAACATCAGGCTGTACAGAACCTAAGTACTGCAAATCGTACTCTGCATCTCAACAAAAGTGCCATAAACACTTTTATATACTTCATGTTTATGATTCTGTGTTATTCTCCACTATTCGCTTCCATGTTGATTTTAGCTGTTAATCAAAAACACGAAACAGAGGCATGGAATTTTGCAGATACGATTTCTTTTATGAACTCGTCTATAAATCCAGTCTTGTACTGTTGGCGTCTTAGGGAGCTACGGACGGCAGTTTTGAAAATACTGAGAAAAATGTCGTGTAGCCAAATCGGTGAATCTTAAACAAGGACATGCGTGCGTACTTTCTGGCAATTGTACAAAACAGTGAACGTGAAACAGGACTTATTAATGCTCAAGTTCTAATAATGCAGCAAAACGTGTTCGACAAAGGTAAGCTAAAAGCTATAATAATAGCTGTGTACCACCCGTTTACTTTCTTTGCGGTTTTATGTGCTGATAAACAAGCTTTCCTGTACACAAACACACAAACAGTTGATAACAAATATGACGAAAAGAGCAACCAAGAGATTCATTGATGGCTTTTAAAACGTCAAATCACATCAACAACAAAAACAACCTTACATCTCTACCATTTGATTAAAGGCAAACACACTTATGTATTTATTAGTAAAGGTAATGTCTGACGTAAAATAACTACAGAGGGAAACTTCATAAACTCAATACGAGTGGTCAAGTATTTTTAAAAATCAAGAAAATTGTAAATAGAATGCATGTAGTTTATGACGGTGAAGTGAAAGAACAATATCTTTCACTCTCTTCACATGGCACTTTGAGGGGCTTAGGTAATTAAGGACACGAAAAAGAAAACATTTTGGCTCCACTGCGTTGTACAACATGAATGGAGAACCATTAGGTTTATTTTGGCTGTTCCGGGCGGGTACCGAGAGGTATAACAATACGTTATAATAGCGGAGCTCTGGCGCGCTCGCGCGCCTGCGGAGCACCATGGGTAAAGAAAACTACCCATCCCAGAAAATTTGGTAATCACGTGACCGTACATCGCCCGCCCGCCCGCCCGCTGCCCGTCCGTCCATACTACCCATGACTTATTTGGCCTAGATGGGTATGTGCTGCTGATTGAGGGTGGTTACCATTTCACCTTTTAGAGTTTTGAACAGGGTGCCTGGGCTGTAAAGGTTGATGAAGAGCAGTCCATAGTTACATGTTTTGTACCACCATTTTTTCCCCAAGTTTTTTCCATGTTTCTAAGTTTAAAAGCTAACTGAAATATGTATGCTAAAATGAAATGAATCAGATTATAAAATAAGGTCTCTTGGCTTAAAAAGGGTAGGAAAATGAACAATGTGTCATACTACCCACTTTCAGTGCAAACCCACGGAGGTGATCTCACATTTTAATACTCTTTTACCACTTGTTGTAAGAGCAAAGTCAGTGAAGGTTTATGGTCCAAAGAAATGTTTTTGCCCGCCTCAACACAAGCTTCCAACTGTTATTGCTGACTAAAAATAATACTATCTTAATAATCATTTTAAATTTTTTTTCCAAGGCATCCTATGGTGTTTTTCACATCCACTAGTACAAGGGAATTTTTAAGTTGAGGAGGGTTTGATTTCATTAACTGCATTTTTATACAGACACAAACTAACCTGGCACGTTAGTGCCCAAAGATGTAAAAAATTACATGCAACTGTATGGCAAAAACTGATCACAGTGGCCAGAGGGAAGGCAAAAATAGAAATGTAACCATTTTCCTGATTTGAAGCATATTTAACCAGATGTGGTCCTTGTCAAAACATGCAAACTTGAACATTTATTTCCTGAACTTAGCTAATACTTTTTAAACCATAATCTTGTTCCAAGGGGTAGTGTAGTTTTTGGAATTTATAATTTTTCTCTCTGTTGGCCAGCAACAAAACACACTTGAATGAAGACTCAAACTAAAGGTAGTGTAATAACTACTGTCATGAAAAGAGAATTCCAAACGCACAAAATAGTTACCCTTTCATTTACCTAAGCGTCATTTATTGGAAACTACGGTAAAGTTTAAATTAAATCACAGGAAAATAAGAACTTAAGCATATCAACATGTGCAAAATAAAGAGAGAATGATCTCTTGGCAAAATTTTATTTAGCTTCTAGTACATAAAGAAATACATGAAATACGAGATTTGACCATGCCACTCAATCATCCAACGCAACTCTTCCAGGATAAGTTCACAATCAAGTATGAAGAATTAAGACTCTCAATCATCATTTCTTGTCGTCTTAAAGGTGTAGTAAAACCGTAAACAACTCTGACAATTCTTCTACTCGACCACAGCCACAGCACTTTTGTTCATATCACGAAGAATTAATTTTGGGCCTTTCACTTGAAAATATAAACTCTTCTACATCCGTATTTGAGGGTTGGCCCTTCTCTAGTCTGGTGGGTTTTCTAAACAGAAACACATCTTGAAAGCCTGCATCTAGAGAGGTGAACTGAGTGAAAAGGTCGGGCATCGAGGAACAATCTGTTTACGATCAATGTCCACTGGTCTTAGTGTAGTAAACCGCATGTAATGACAAATCCAAGACCAGAAGAAAGGAAAACGTAAGCTCCACATTACCGAGGACAAGAATTGGTTACAGCAAAGAAAGCAAAGACCAACGGGACCAAAAGCGAATTCACTTCACATTGTCGAATCGCTGCGAAAAACGAACTTCTTCTTGTTGTTGTTCCTAGTCCGTTCTGCGCATGCTCGCTACTATTCTCGAATGATTGACAGATTTCTTAACTGGGGCGATCATGGAAAGCCAAAAAGCGGCAAGATCAAAGGCCGTTGCCAGCCCCCCCTGTTCTAGCTACTTTGGAAGCCCAGGAGAAAGCTGATTGTACATCAATGTCGTCATTAATTGACAGCTGTCAAAACAGGGTATCCGCTGACCAGTATCACCTGATCGTATCGCGGGCTCAGGTGTCGACCCATTAAGGTCGAGTATTTTTGAAGTTATGCGCTGACAATTTACTCGTTTTTAAATGATCGCAGGCTCACGTTTACTTATTTTTTAAATTCATATCAAATATGTTCTGTTTATGTCAGTATCGCCCCGCACTATTACGATTTTGATTTCAAACTGACCTCAGACGCAAAAATTCAGCCAGTTTTTTTAAAATACAGGCGGGTAAGACCTTTTCTAACCATGGTCACGTGTTGGTCACGCTCCACGTTCAATTTTTATGCTCTGATTGGTTAAAATTTGACAGGTGAGTTCATGCGTAAAATTTATACAGCATCTCGAAAGTTGTTTACTTTGACAGCTGAAGCTAACAGAGTTTTGAGTCAACTTGTGATGTTTTTAACTGTCTTTTTCCACTGGATGTAAAAAATGAAATACAGCTGCTGTCAAGAGTGTTCTCTTATTCATGGCTGGTTTGTTTATTGGGTTTTTGGTTGAGAAATGCGTCGCTTGTCAAAGCCGATAATCCGATTTCGGATGGCATCGTTTTTGTTTTTCACCTTGCTGGATGCGTACGAGAATTATAAAGGTTCAAGCGATCCTTGCCTTACTTGATAGCTTTCAGGAGCTGCATCTCGAAATATGGTAAGCCTGAGTAATTATTGTATTTATATCTAATTTCATGAAGTCCAGCGGCGCAGTTTATGAAGCTAGTTTATGCACGTTTGTATAAGATTTGACTGAGACACTGATCTGACCTAGTATGAGGTTTGATATAAGCTTAAGCTTACAAAACTTTAAAAAGCCTTTAGCCGATATTTATTCACCGTAAATAAAGAAAAAACTTTCCGAAGAATATTTAGTTATAATTTTGGCTTTAGAAAGAAAGCTTTGAGCGATTTTCTTGAGTTCATGAGTTCATCTTTAAAAAAGCAAACACCGGGAAACCGGCGGCTTAAAACATAAACTTAATCTTCAAGCTTACTAGTAAAGACTTGAGGATTTTTAGAGACACTTAAATACTCATTTGTTTTCGTGAATGAAAATTGTTGTCTCTGTAAATGTTCTACCGAATTATATTTCTTTATTGATTGTTAGTAATCTCAAAAGTGTAAATTTTCTTTATTGATTGTTAGTAATCTCAAAAGTGTAATTTTCATCGCTTTGCCGTTTGTTTTCAGGCGGTCATAAACATCGCTTGCAGGAGTAATCAAAATGCCGAGCGTATCAAACGCTTTTTAAGATTACACATCGTTATAAAACCATTAAGAAACAATAGACTCAATGAATTCTTTATCACGTTGAAGCGTAACTCTTTTAAAATTTCTTCGCAAATTTGGCGCTTGTCAAAAGTTAGAACCGGCTGGCCGTATAGGTGATTTTGGAAATTTTTTGAACGGTTTCGCTGATTAAAAGTCCACGCGTGCTTCGATAATCCTGAGTATTGAATGAATGCAATTTGTCTTGAAAAATTGTGTAATACTGCATTTTGTACCGGGTCTGTAGGATAGAAAAAGCGCCTCATAGCACTCTTTCTCCTCAGATGTGGTGTATAAAAAAAATAAATAAATAAATAAAAGAATGGTTTGCAAGCACCCAGATTTATTGGCAAGAATTTGTAAACTTGTCGAACGCAAAAAATTCGGCCTGATGTGTTTTCCAAGAACTTGTTTTCCACGCCTTATCTACTGTGATCAAGAGCCATTATTGCTCATAAATGTGACCGGACTATTTTTTGTCTGTACATATAAGGCTATGTCAACTCGATACAAGGTTTGTTTCACTCCAAAATCACTTAGCTTTTCCCTCAGAAGTCACATGAATGTGCCCTTAAGTTAACTGATTTGTGGAATACAAAATTATTGTTTGATTTAAGTTATAAATTTATCAGTGGGAGCTTCGCTTTTAGCTGTGGCTAAATCTATATTTTACAACTTTTATTTCATTCAAACATGTGGTAGATAACCTAGAGCAGAGCTGAGCGACAGTTTACAAAAACTACTGTCAGAACGGAGGCCAGAAAAAACTTGCCGAAAAAAAAAAAAATAGGGAAAAAACTCGGCAGGAAATCTGGGTAGGATCCATTGCTCATGCTCTGAAAAGCTCATCCCTACTAGGCTACAAGGCTCGAAGGTCTCTGTGGCCACATTTACTAAGCATGCATTCCAACAAAGCACGGTAAAATCAAAATAATTATTCGAAAACAAAAGAAAACACAACGAACACAAGATGCTACGGAACGTACACCTCGGCGTCGCGGTTGTGAATTTGATTAATTGTAACCGCCGAGGAATAGTAAGAAATGAAATATGGTAAGAGTAAGGTGTTAATTTGTAAAATTATAAGATTTGTCAGAATATTCTGAAAAGAGCAACATCCAAGAGCCCTACTTGCCAAAAACTAACATTTCGGGGCAAATTGTCTCTGAGATATTAGCTCAGTTATGCTGTGATGATTCCATACAAATCCTTCTAAATTTGACTAAACGTTTAGACCTAAGTCAAATATGAAGTTACTGGCGGTGAATAACAAGTCTAACAAAACAAACAGTGAAATGAAGAATTCTCTATTTTTCTTAAATCAGGCTTCAAAAACAGCATAGCAATCTCACGTATTGAGTCAATTACGCTGAAATGGAATTGGCTAAAACTCAATGTTACGTGTTCGAATGTTTTGAGGATAATTATTCACTGACTATCAGCACGAAGGGATGTTGGGTTAAAAACAAGCAAGTTTAATACCGAAGGAACATAGTCTTTACACAGCATCCGCCAACACAAACTTAACTTGAACTTAAGTAAAACTAACAGCCTCTGCGAATAATAACAAACTCTCAGTTGAACTTAACTCGAATATCTTAACTAGAATAACTTATGGCTTCCGCCAACGTGTAAACATAGAACTTGAACATCGACCTTCGTCACACTTGACTAAACACAGCACTCCAGCTCGTGGGAAAAACTTAGGCCCGGTTCAGACGTCGATCTTTTCATGAACCCAACCTAATTCGAATCCTGTAGCACGGCACTTTATCGCACTTTTACGATCTCAAAAGTTAATCTGAATCTTCAGTATTTTTGCCTCATCGAAATTTGGATGTCTGAAGTCCAGGGATGAAATCTATCAAAAATATTTGGAATATCAACGTCGGGTTTTAGTCACAATAAGATCACAAGCAACGAACCTTGAAACACAGAAACTCACAAAACGGATCGAAATCCACCAATCACAAAACACAAACAATGACCCTTTGAGCCCGTTGAAGTAAACTTTCGTTTTCTAAGAGGTCCGCTAAGATGATTGGCGTCTGGCATTTTTTTGACGAGAGGATCGAAATGCACCTATCATAGAAAGACAGTTTTAATTGTATGTTTCCTAAGAGGTCATCTGATTTTCCTGCTTTCTTTATTTTATATCCATTTTCTGTTCCTTATCTTGTGATTGGTCGATTTTGTTAGGTCGAGTGGATAATCCAATGACGGACGATTTGGATATCGTTTGATCCGAAATTTTTCGAAGCAGCAGGCAGTAAGAAGCAGTTTGGAGAACATTTGACCTTTGGCCGCGACGTTTCGAGGAACGTGTTAATATATTTGTTCAATTATGTTATCCCGGGTTAAACTTACAAATGCACACACTGTTCGCGGCAGGCCCCCACTAGAAATTAACACTGAGTGTTTTCGGAATGGGCTGGTCCGCGAACTTAACGAAAAACAAAGGAAATTATCAAGACACTCAATGACATCGATGACTAATGGACCCCATAGACGCAATGACAAATTGGAATATCAGGAGTGTACGTGTAAAATAGATAAGAGTTTGAACAGAGGAATGATTAACAAGTTTGAGAGTCGGAAGATTTGTGTAGCTGGTTATCAGTGTGACAATAGTGATTTTCATTTTTGCATTGCGGAACACAACGAGTTGCCTGTGTTAAAAATCTGTTCCGATGAAGGGAGAGACGATTGTCAACAATTGAAACCAAAAGGGACTGACCCTTCTTTTGGAACTACTGTGATAACTGCAACAATTCTTTTTATTATTTCAATGTTGTTTAGCAGGGTGACGGTTAATGTACTTGTTTTTGTATTGCGTGTTGTGTTTTTTCATGTAGTTGTGTATATTTTGATCGCGTACATTTGCGTCTGGACTTTGCATTATCAGCAAGTTTTGTTAGAGTGTTTTGATGGCCACGAGGTGACGTCAAGAGAAGGTAATGAGCTTGTTGTACAGAAGGAAAATTGTGTTGTAGAGGAAATAAAAGAAGTTAAATTGAGATCTCGTCGTGGGAAATTTATTTATAACAGAACTTACAATTCCATTCCAATTCCAATTCCATTTGCCCCTCTGTACATGCATGCAATTATCCAATTTATGGTGCTTATAACAGTTTGAATCACCGGGTTAATTTTGGCCAATTTAAGCTTTGTACTTATATCGAGAGGAATCCAAGACCTTCAGTTTATGTAGATGCTACAAAAACAATTCATGCTCCATACTGTCAAGGAAACGTTACAGTATTTAGGGAAAATGCTGGACAACAGTGTGTCGCAATGAGTCTGTGCGCTTTAATATACAGTAAGATAACAAATATTACTTCAGTTGATGATATGACTCAAATAATGATTGTTGGTATTCAATTATAATCTAGTCTGTCACTGCTTGCAAGACAATCTCTGTTAATCTTAACAGAACTGCCAGGAATGGTTACAGTGTTTGAGAAGTTTTTCCACCTTGAATACAGTGACAGTTATACTTGTAACATCCATGATGATCCCAGAATTGAGGGGTATCACTACTGTTTAATTCCACTCACAGGGTACAGCATTTGAAACACACACGGCACTGAACTACAACTCATTCATTTTAACGGTGGCAGTTATTGGTGTTGGTATCTACAACATTGAGGTTGGGGGATATAATGTATTTGATTCTCATGCTAGAGATATGTATTATAACAGTCATAGTGAAGGGGTATGTGTATTGTTGGAAACACCATCCATGCATAAATTAGTACAATATTTTCAGACTCTACATAGGAATGTGGATATATATGAACTTAAAGGTGTACATATTGCCACCTTTGAACTTTGAAAATTGTAGTATATCAAATGTTAATAGTTACCAATGTTCCTGTAAACAGTGCTGCCCTATAGCAGTTTATGCAATGTGTTACTCTTTTATTAATCCCTGAGGATACTGGACTTAAGGAACTTTATTTGCTCTTGTTAGTAACCGGAATACACTGTACAATGTGATGGTTGTGAAAACACATCTGTCAGTCAATCTTCCTCAAAGTGTCAGTATCAGTGGAGCTGAGATAAACCTTACTTATGCCCTATGTTGCAATTTGGCTCCAAGCATGTCTGCATTGAAGATGTGCATATTTTCAAACATTGTCATGAAATGACACAATTTTTGTTGGGGATTGGGACATACTGTATAAGCTGTGTGGTGCAGCAAACAAGTGGAGTAAAGGATTTATCTTCTCTGGTAGGATATGATGACAGTTGTTTAGCTGCAATAAGGCATATTCAAAGTATCGTACCTGTAGTACGACCACGCCCAAATATACGCTCCCACAGCGTCTTGTTGCTTTGGCTTTCCCGGGGTTTAAACCGACTCACCTGTGTGACCCGTCAAGATCAAAGGAGACTCTAAGTTGAGGGATTAGCCGATTCCGCTACTGCGACAAAAGGTAGTTCGGGATATGAAAAATAGTTATGAAATGATGCACTAGTTTCGGTACTAGCTTGGGCGTGCAAGTTCGTAACTTTTCGGCTTGTTTCGTCTATTTCACGAAATGAGATCGGACTACTTCGTGATATCTTGAGATCACTTCGAGTTTAGTCTTTAATTTACTCGAGGAATAAATAGAGGATATTACTTGGCCGCGCAGAGACAGGAAATTTCTCTTCGAGTGTTGAAAAACATTTCACGAGTGAGCGCTCCTTTCGAACTGTTTTATGATGAAGTTACAAGATGCTGCACAAAGACATTTTGTCGTTATTGAGTGTTACGTAGTAAAATTGCTTTCATGCGTTGCGTGACTTTCTCGAACGATATCTACGTTTTTGGATTATTCGTGAATAATTTATTAGGGCATGTTTACATTTCAGCATGAGTCAGCAGATTTTCGTCAGTTACTGAAAGCATAAAATATGTCGAAAGGCTACTACTATTAGCCTGTTTAGTATTTTCTAGAACCTTATGTGAAACGGTATACAAGTTCCAAGCGAGTTCTTTTGACGAACTAAGTTTTTTCCCACGAGCTGGACAGCTGTGTTTAGTCAAGTGTGAACTTCCTTGTGTAAATCCGACATCCCTGAGTGCGGATAGACAGTGAATAATTATCCTCAAAACATTCGAACTCGTAACATTAAGTTTTAGCTAATTCAATGCTCAACGTAACTGACTCCTTACCTATGCCTTACATATCTTTAATCAGTACATGAGACTATGCTGTTTTTGAAGCCTGATATGACTACGAAAAAAATACTGGAGTTCATTTCACTGTTTGTTTTGTTAGACTTGTTGATCACCACCACTAACCTCGTATTTGACTTAGGTCTAAACGTTTACTCCCAAGTCAAATTTAGAAGGATTTGTAGGGAGTCATCAGAGCATAACTGGGCTAATATCTCAGAGACAATTTGCCCCGAAATGCTAGTTTTTGGCAAGTAGGCCTCTTGGATGTTGCTCTTTTTAGAATATCCTGACGCTTTACATGGTCAAAATTTGCCTACGATCTTTTGTCGTTTAGACCATTGGCTGATCTCAAATTCTTACATGATCTAGTTAAAGCAGCAGATAATCCCGGCAATTAGAACAGACCATGCAGCTATTACTCTTGAACTTGTATACAAATCTGATGACATCAAAGGTCCAGGTATCTGGAATGAATTGCTCCCTTTTTAGATGATGAAGACTACGTTAATGGCATCACGGGAGGATACCTATCTGGTTAGCTGAAGGTCGTAGGACCGAAGTATTTTGGGACTGGTTAAAATACAACATAGAGCGCACACTATACAGTATTCAAAAGAAAAGCTCGAGAAAGAAGTGAAAAGAGAAAAAGGAACTCCAAGAACAAACTCGCTAATGCAAAGTGTGCTTTGAAACAGATCCCAGTATTTTGAATGCAAATTTAACTGTGCTAAGGTATGCTGAATTATTTTATGAAGAAAAGGTTAGCGAATAATTATTCGAGCGAGCCCGCTGGCACGAGCATGGCGAGAAAAGCACCAAATACTTTTAAACCTAGAAAAAGAAATCATGTCAAAAAACATAAGGAGAAAATTAAATATCAACGGCTCGTCTACCACGGATCCGTCAAAAGATCTTGTCCGAACAACAACGTTTTTATCAAGAATTGTACTGAGTAAGAACACATGAATAATGAAAATTTGCACGAAATTAAATCCTTTTTAAAGATTTGTCATCTTTAAACTGTGAAGAACAAAAATGTCTTGTGGTGAAATTACTCAGAAGAATGCGCACTTATCTTGGATAGTTTCAAAACAATAAAACTCCAGGGAACGATGGAATTTATCGAATTCTATAAAAATTTTGGCCTTTACTTTGTGAGCCTTTCGTTCTCTGTTGCTAACGAATGCTTCCGAGAAAAAGGTGAAATGTCGCGCCTCAAAAGCAAAGTAATTACGCTCATCGAAAAGAAAAGGGAAAATCGATCCTTTCTGGAAAACTGAGGCCGATATCTTTGGTAAATGTGGATGCGAAAATTATATTTAAAGTTATAGCTGCTAGAATACAAAATGTTCTACTCATCATCCATTACAATCAAACTGGATTTATAAAAGAGCCGCTATATCGGCATAAAAAAAGTACGATCGATTTTTGACATAATGAACTTCACTGTTGAAGAAAACATTCCTGGTTTGTTGATCTTTATCCCGATTTTCAGAAGGCTTTGATAGTTTAGAACGCAGCTTTTACAAAGTTGTCTAGAATCTTTAATTTTGGCCAGAGCTTTATTAGATGGGTTGCTTCTTTTTTACAAAATATACAAAGTTGTGTTATCAACAATGGCATAATCTCCTGATTACAGTCGAACGAGGAGTTGAGGGGCAAGGTGATCCTCTTTCTCCTTATCTCTTTGTAGTAGCTGTTGAAACCTTGGCTGTCGCAATAAGACAAACTAATGATAAAAGGTATTACTATTGACAAGAAGGAAACAAAATTGCTTCAATACGCAGATGACACAACTGTGGTTCTGTCAGACATCGACTCAGCCCAAACCCTTTTCAGGTTTGTTAGACGATTTAAAGAGAGGATTTCAGGTTTGTTGTTAATCCCTCAAAAACTGAAGCAATGTGGATCGGATCATTAAGGAAAATAAATCAAACCTTTTTGGTGATAAATGGCAAATAGACCACCCAAAGCTCTCGGAGTCTATTACACCTATGATCAAAATTACTACTCGAGAAAAATTTTTTATAGAAAGACTGAACAGCGTGAAAAAAATTGGTACACACATATGGTCTGCGCGAGGTCTTTTCCTTTATGGAAAGGTTACTGTTATCAAATCGTTGATTGTTCCAAAATTTGTTTACGTGGCATCATTATTAACAATTTCCAAAGTGGGCTGGTTCAAAATTGAACGATTGATATTAAATTCTATGGAGAGGTGTTGACAAGGTCACACGTTTGTCAACAACAAATGACCAAAAAAAAGTGGTTTGAAAATGATTGACCCTAGAAAACGATGGTCAAAATCCCATAATTTCACAAATTAGCACCTTACTCTTACCATATTTCATTTCTTCCTATTCCTCCTCATTTGCAATTAATCAGTTCCAAAACCACGACGCCGAAGTGTACGCTCCGTAGCGTCTTGTTCAATGTACTAGCTCATGAAAAGTTTGGCGTCTGAACCAGCCTTAGTTCGTCAAAAGAACTCGCTTGTAACTTGTATATCGCTTGACATAAGGTTCTAGAAAATACTAAACAGGCGAATAATAGTAGCTTTTCGACATATTTTATGATTTCAGTGACTGATGCAAAGCTACTGATTCACGCTGAACTGCATGTAAACATGTCCTAATTAATTATTCATGAATAATCCAAAAGCGTAGAGATTGATCGAGAAAGTCAAGCAACGCATGAAAGCAATTTTACGACGCAACACTCTACAACGACAAAACGCCTTTGTGCAGCATTTTAGAAACTTTAAATTCATCATAAAAAAGTTCGAAAGGAGCGCTCACTCGTGAAATGTTTTTCAACACTCGAAGAGAAATTTCCTGTCTCTGCGCGGCCAAGTAATCTCCTCTATTTATTCCTCGAGTAAATTAAAGACTAAACTCGAAGTGATCTCAAGATATCACGAAGTAGTCCGGTCTCATTTCGTGAAATAGCCGAAACAAGCCAAAAAGTCACGAACTATCGCGCCCAATCTTGTCGCGAAAAGAGTGCATAATTTCATAGCTATTTTTCATACCCTGAACTACCTTAGGTCGCAGTAGCGCAATCGGCTAATCCCTCAACTTAGAGTCACCTCTGATCTAACGGGTCACACAGGTGAGTCGGTTCAAATCCCCGGAAAGCCAAAATAATAATTCTTTCTTCCTCGAATATATTAAAGAATAAATCAAAGAAATCGAAGTGATCGCGAGATATCTCGAACTAATTCGGCTCTCACTTCGTTAAAAAGCAGAATAAAACCGAAAACCTACAGGCTTTGCGTGCCCAATCTTGTCCCAGAAATGTCAACTTTGATATATACATTCCTGAACGTCGCGAATCCTTTACTTCGCGCTCCGCCGAAGTAACTAGCTAAAGCCCTCGCGAAACTCAATCTGTCACTTAATAAGTAAGTAAATAAATAAATAAAAAATAGTTAATAGTGTGAGCTAAACGAGGAGTCGGCCTAGAATGCTTTCGCACGTGATAAGCATTCCTTTTGTAGCACTCCATTCTACCTATACTGCACTTCAAATGCAGCTGCCCCAGTCCTCACTGCTTCCGTGCTGCAGAAATGTTTCATTTCCGGCTAATTCGTATCCACTCAAACGCCCGAATACCATAATTATTTTCATGAGCAAAACAAGTAACATGCACTGGCCGGGCATGACGCTTTTGAAAGTCATGTTAGTTTTTCGACCAGAAGCATTTACAGTTTTGCCTTTTTTGATGATTTAATTTTCTTTCGAAGCCGATTTTAATTAAAATTCAATTCTGCAGGTCAGGTGTCAGGGAAATTAAAAAAGGTATATATTTTGTTAGAATGTTTACGTTGAACATGCCATTTATTACTATTAAAAGACTAAGATGTTTATTTTTGAAACCAATTGTTAAGATGCCAAAAGAAAAAAATGATTTGGTGCGTTATCAGCAGGAAATGGATGAAAGCCCTCTTCATCATGCATTTTATTAAATTTTACTAACACTCTATTTTGTAAAGGAAAAGAAACGTAGAAAATAACAACTAGCACATTCAAAGAGAAAACATTCCCTGTTGATGAAATGGGACTACAACAGTCGTTTTCAGATATCACCATTATTAATTGTGCGCTAAATCTGCCACTGATGATTACATCTATCTTTACAAACTCGTTGGTTTTGGCGGCCATGTGGACGGCAACTTCACTTCGCTCGCCCTCTACCGTTTTCTTGTGTTGCCTTATCGTCTCAGACATTCTTGTTGGATTCATTGCTCAGCCTGTTTACATTGCCACAGAACTTACACGTGCTCCATTCTTATACGGCGCAATGTTTGGGTTGACTACGTTAGCTTGCGGTGTTTCAGTCTGTACAATGGCGGTCATAAGCGTAGACAGGTACTTAGCTCTTCATTATCACATGACCTATCCACATATAATGACTGCAAAAAGAGCTCTATATATCACACTAACTGTTTGGCTCACTGGTGCTTTTGTTTCGTGCATCAAACTGTGGAATACAAGTTTCTTCTTCTACGTCACGGCTGTTGGCATAGGTGTTTGCATTACAATTTCGACGTTTTCATATGTTAAAATTTTTCTGATCGTTCGTCAGCATCAACTACAAATTCAAGCCCAACATCAGGCGGTACAGAACCTAAATACTGCAAACCGTACTCTGCATCTAAAAAAAAGTGCCATAAACACTTTTATATACTTCATGTTTATGATTCTGTGTTATTCTCCACTATTCGCTTCCATGTTGATTTTAGCTATTTATCAAAAACACGAAACGGAGGCATGGAATTTTGCAGATACGATTTCTTTTATGAACTCGTCTATAAATCCAGTCTTGTACTGTTGGCGTCTTAGGGAGCTACGGACGGCAGTTTTGAAAGTACTGAGAAAAATGTCGTGTAGCCATATTGGTAAATCTTAATCTACGACAGTGGGAGTACTTTCTGGCAATTGCAGAAAACAGTGAACGTGAAACAGGACTTATGAATATTCAAGTTCTAATAATGCTACAAAACGTGTTCGACAAAGGTAAGCTAAAAGCTATAACAATAGCTGTGTACCATCCGTTTACTTTCTTTGCGGTTTTATGAGCTGATAAACGAGCTTTCCTGTACACAAACACACAAACAGTTGATAAAAAACATTACGAAAAGGGCAAACAAGAGATTCATTGATGGCTTTTGAAACGTTACTCAAATCACATCAACAACAAAAACAACCTTGCATCTCTACCATTTGATTAAAAGCAAACACACTTATGTATTTATTAGAAAAGGTAATGTCTGACGTAAAACAACTACAATGGGAAACTTCATAAACTCAAATAGAAGTGGTGTAGTATTTTTAAAAATCATAGAAAATTGTAAATAGAATGCATGTAGTTTATGACGGTGAGTGAAAGAACAATGTAAATTATAAATAATAAATATCTTTTTATCCACTCTCTTCACAGGGCATTTTGAGGGGCTTAGGTAATTACGAAAACGAAAAAGAAAACATTTCGGCTCCACTGCACTGTACAACATGAATCGAGAACCATTAGGTTTGTTCTGGCTGTTCAGGGCGGGTACCGAGAGGTATAACAATACGTTATAATCAAGAGAGGATAAAGGGGACAGAGAAGGCATCCCCCATACACACCCTATTCCATAGGTAATTCGTCTCGAGTTATTTTTAGAATCGGGATAAAGTTACCTCGCGCGCTGTGTGGAGGATGTAAACGCCGAGCAAAACATGTCGGGTGAAAGGCAATGAAAGCGTAAAGAGATCGAGAGCATTTCTGAAGATTGAAGCGAAATGAGTCGGCGCTCACCTGGGAGAAGGGAATCGCTGGACTCTTTGACAACCCGTGAAATCAGTTTAACAGGAACTTTTCGTGACCTCAGTGCTTTAATAAAATGAGAAATTTCGCCGGTCTATTGAAACCGGTCGTTTGTACAATGAAGCAAGTAGGACGCCAAGTGTTATTTTTGTCGAATAATAAAAGACTAATAAAAGAATGAATATCAAATCAGAAATTGCTCTCATCAAACTGTAAATTATAAATGATCCTGAGAGAATATTCAGTGTGTTAAGGATTTCCCTGCTGTACTGCTAGCTCTATACAAGAGAGGAAGAGCGATTAATTTCCATTTCGCTGACACCGCTTTAGTAGAACTCTCTCTTTAGTCGTTTTCGTCGACAAAACGAATAGCAATATCGCTCTCTGCGTCCTTCGCCATTTTTTTCAGCACGAATTCGTAAAGGACGCGTGGCTCTGAGCGTGGGTCATCCACGCGGAACACATTCGCGCTATGTAATTGGCTGTTGTCTAATCCCCCTTGGGATCTGTGGTCTTAAAAATAGCTCGAGACGAATTACCTATGGAACAGGGTGTGTATGGGGGATGCCTTCTTTGTCCCCTTTATCCTCTCTTGGTTATAATACAACTTCTATTTCATTTAAACTTGTGGTAGATAACCTCGAACAGAGCTGAGCGACACTGAGGTTACAAAATATACTGTCAGAATGGAGTCCAGAACAAACCTGCCAAAAACAACAATAGGGAGAAAACTCGGCAGGAAATCTGGGTAGGATCCATAGCTCATGCTCTGAAAAGCCCATCCCTAAGAAGGTTACACGGCTCGAAGGTCTCTGTGGCCACATTCACTAAGCAAAAAAATGTTCCAACAAAGCACGGTAAATTTAAAATAATTATTCGAAAACAAACGAAAGCACAACGAAAACTAGCTAATTCCCTCGCGAAACTCAATCTATCACTTAATAAATAAGTAAATAAATAAACAAATAAGTAATTAATAATGTGAGCTAAACGAGAAGTCGGCCTAGAATGCTTTCCCACGTGATAAGCATCCCTTTTATAGCACTCCATTCTACCCATACTGCACTTCAACTGAAGCCGCCCCAGTCCCCACTGCTTCCGTGCCGCAGAAATGTTTCATTTCAGGCTAAATCGTATCCACTCAAACGCCGGAAATGCCATAATTATTTTCCTGAGCAAAACAACTAGCACTGCCCGGGCATAACACCAATGAATACATTTATCTGAAGTTTACTGGACGACCACAAGGTAAAATTTGAAAAGAAAAAAAAACAAAACCAAAAAAACAAACAAACAAAAAACACGAACTTTTATGAAGAACGTGAGCACACGATGACGAATTCATCTTTTTTTTTTTTTTGGAACTTGGAAAATGTCCCAAAGAATTCAACTCCAGCAAACTCCCCTATAATTGAAAATTAAATTGAGTGAGGCTAATTAAATATAAGTGTAGTTGTATTTTCACTGCCGTTGTCGTCGCTGTTGCTTAACCTCTCTAAACGTGGATTTCCACTGCCGCGTAATTTTTACTTGCGTACGCGTGTAAAATTTACGTGCGTAAATAAAATAAAGGCAATGTACGAAAGACTGCGCGTAAACGTAATTGTTTATCGAGGTTCAACTTTTAAAGTTACGCGCGACCTTTTTACAAACATTGCCTCTATTATATTTACTTACTTCTTACTTCCGATCGACGCCTAAAAGACGACTGGAGCTCGAACGTTCTCCAGCCCTGTATCCCTCAGTAGTGTGTTAATATATGAAGGACATCCTCTTTTTGCCATCCCATGTGCAGAAAGCAGCCATGTTAAAATGTATCAGCTGCTGCGCCGGAGAGCTCTCATCACGAAAAACATGTCCAGAAAGAGAAACTCTTCTATTTTGAATGGTAGAGGTCAGCTTTTCTAGACTATCATAAAGCTCACTATTGTTATTCTTGCCCCTCCAAAATATGTTTTTCACTATTCGAAGCATTCTTGTATAAGTTCCATGCAGGCTTTTTTTTTCGTTTGGCTTTTGCGAAAGACCAACAGGTAATCCCGTCAAGGAGAATTGTCTCCTTAGGTTGTTCTTAATAACCTCTCATACGACAGTGGAAATCCACCTTAATTTACAACACTAACTGGGAGACGCTTAGCCAGACTGCTTAGGATTCAGCTAACAATTAACAAAGCAATGAATTACGGTGAATGCCCCGCTAATGTGACCCTTTTCCTGACGAACAGTGTTTGGGTTCTGAGTGTTTGTCCCTCCGGGGTTTGAACCGGCGACATTTCACTTGACAGACCGGCGCTTATCCCTTTGAGCTATACGCGCGGCGGTTAGCTCAGTAGGAGGCCACAAAATATTGCCAATAAGATAAATCCACCGGCAAGCAGCTAAGCCTGCGAAAACATCCGTTTCTCCTCGCTCTTCGCCGCTCGGCACGTTTCGCGCGGAGGAACGTCTGCGACTCAGCGGCAGAAATCCCATACTGATGACGCAAATCAATTTTTACTTAATAAATCCGGTAGTCATGGGGTTCCAAATGCAAATTTAGTCAATTTTAGGTTTCTCCTGGTAGATTTTGGTAAAGAGTTGTGTTTCATCTGCGAACGAGTTCCAGCAAAACTCAAATGCTGGTTCTAGAGAAGACTATATTGCACAAATATTGACTGTTTTGTTAGAGATTCATCGCGTTTAGATTTGACCTTTGTGGCCTTTTGTCTTTTGTCTGTCATTCGTAAACAATAGCTAAAACAATGTAACTACTTCTTCGACCAATCAGGGCTTCTGACCGGATTCCGGACATATTTACGTCATCAGTATGGAATTTCTGTCGAAACGTCCCCAGCGACGAAGAGCGTGGAGAAACGGATGTTTTTGGAGGCTACAAGCAGCTGTGGTATTAAAACAGCTCTGTTGCCCATAAAAAAGTATCACTGACCGTCATTTCCTTCTATGGCAACAAATTTGATAGGCCTGTTTCCAAGCATGCCTTCTGTCGCGAGAGTCCTTTCCAGTGGCTCTATTGCCTGGTACCCAACACCAACAAATCGCACAGTAAAATTGACCGCGACATGTGTCATATTCCTGAAAAGATCGTAAAGGATGCATTTTTTAGTCTGATTTTGACGTGAGGCCGCTTTCCATTTACCCAAAATTTTCGGAAACATCGATGGAAAGGTCCATCAGGTGGAGAATGTGTTCTACTCGATACAAGTTTCATTCGCTATCCTCTCTCGCCAAAATTTAAAATAAGGGCACAGCCTTGGACTGGTGAGTCCTTGTGAAAGAATATGCATTTCCATCGGAATAACGTGACAATCTTTCCAAAATTACACTAATTCCCGGAAATTTTCCAGTGGAACGCCCATTTCATTTAAAATATTTATAATAGGCAAAAATTTTTCATCTTTTGCCGAGAAGATATATGTTTAAGGGCCAAATATTCGATTCTGGCCGGGCATTTCAACATAATTCTGTTTTGTCAAAAAAAAAAAATGCAATGAACAATTCTTACCAAAATTTGAAGTTGTCCACTTTTGAAATAAAATTTTCACCCATGAGTTTGATCACCTGCAAAAAGACGGTGAGGTGGTGTTACAGTCAACTTGCTCTAAGACGGACACCTTTGGGACCGGCACTAAGTGTCCTTCTTAGAGAGGTGTCCATCTTATAGAGAGTCAAATAAAGGGAATAAGCAAAGGCAGGGGCCAACTCTAGGTGTCCGTTTTACAGAGGTGTCTGTCTTACAGAGGTAGTCGACTGTATTATGCAGTATACTGCCAAACGAGAGTTATGAGTTTGGTACCTTATGCAAAATTGATCAAAGATTCGAGGGCCTTAATTAGTGTAATGGCCAAATATTAATGCCGGTCCAAACGTCTTTTGGAAAGTACTTGAGCGTTAATATGCGCTAGGGTTGTATTGCACGGACCAAAGGGAGAGGGGAGGGGGCACGAAAGGGGGTGGGGGCAGGGTGGGGAGTCAGTTTTTTGCTCACTCTAGTGACCGTATTATTTCCAGTTCTATTCGCCCTAATCCTGCTTTCTGTTTGAAATCAAAGATGACCAGAACACACAGGAATCAGTACTTAAAGCAACCAGTCTTTCCAAATACAGCCCAGCAAATGTAACTTAGAGTTTAAAGAATCTTACCTCTGGCGTAAGCTATTATCCTTTTGCAACAATTATGGTCACATTCCACATTTAAATTTCATACAAACCTCTTTCTCGATCCAGAACGTTCTGTTGCTAAACATTTCCGACCCTGGTTTCGCCAACTCCGAATCAAATATCTCATCAGTCAACTCTAAATTTAGTTCCACACGAAGGTTAGCACCACCTATGGGCAAAGCATAAAAAATAATAAAAATTTCAGCTTTTTATTAATAAAAAAACATTTCTTTCTTTTCTTCCTTTTGCCGTCTTTCTCATTTATGGTTTGGCGCTTCAATTTTTCAAAGTAAGGGGTAGCCATTTCAGGCAGGAGGTTTTACAAATTCATCCTCCTCAAGCAAGTCATGTAGAATAGAGTGGATTTAACGGCGGGAAATTACGATAATCTTATGACTTGTAATATATTAGCTTTTCTGACTTCTTTTAGCAATTTGAAACTCTCTGTTATCTCGAAATCCTGTAAGTTTTTTCTTCTTTAGATGTCGACTGCTTTACCAGAAAAGTTTTACATGTTAACAATATCAGTTTTCATGCAACAATAACATGCCAGAAATTTTTATTTCTCACAGTTTTCTGAGTTTCATGATAAAATACATAACGTTTTGGAATTTGAATTTCCCACAATTTTTCATCACGGTACATGTAATCAGGGGAAGATGGCGGGAAATTCAAAGTTTTGTACTGGAATTCAAAGACCAGTTAATTCTTTCCGAATTATTGAATTATTGAAATGCAAGAAATAATACAATAAATCCTTAATGAGGGAAGTCTATGATCAATATTCAGAAAACCTGATTTTCCCAATGCATTTTTTCAATAATTCGACATTACCGACATATCAGTTTAAGTTTTTAAAGAAAAACTGTCAAATATAGGTACCCAGGAAGAATTAGCTGGGTTTGAACTCCAGCTAGTTCCAATCTGACAGACTTGTAACTAGTCGCTTCTCTGAATGCGCTGTCATTAATGGGAAGGATTTAGTGAGTTTGCGGTGCATCAAGGGAAGGAAGGATGAAAAACGCGATTTCTCCCTCCTTCCCAAGCGCCTTAGCGCGCGTCAAATTGCCTTTCCATATAATTTCTTTGCGCGAATAAATATTAGTGGCGACTGGGTACGAGTCTACCAATCTGACAAACCTTTAAATTTCCCCCAATTTGGCATCTGATTACCCATGAACTAAGAGCGTGAACTCTTCAATAAAAGGATTTTAAGGTAAAAAGCCTACAAAGGGGGCGGCGGCGGGGTCCTCTCCCATGCTATTATCGTCAATTTTATTCAATGAATAAACGTTTCAATGAGGTTTGAAAGTCTTTTGGCTTCTTCAACTATAAATGAATCGCTTCTGCTATTCTCTCAATAAATTACACTTAACTCAGGGAAGGGAAGATGAGGGTACTTACCTTTGTAAAATTGAAATAATTGAGCCACCTCCGCCGCTGACAGCTCCTTTGCCCACAAAATAATATCATCAAATGAAGCTAAAGGAAGCTGGCTCAAGCCTATTTTAATGTCATGATCTGAAAGATCATTGGTACTCAAACTAGCACACTGGTGCTCCAAAGGAGTAGCCTCGTTGCCATTAAGATACACCTTGAGTTTGTTAATCTCACTAGAGTTACCCCAGCTAAACACCAAATGTGACCAGACTCGCTGAAAAGCACTGAATCGTATAGAACACCACGTTGTTGCAGCCGTTATCTTGAAAGTCAGCTCTTCTTTGCTGCCATCCTCCTGATAAAGACGCACACCCCGGTCTCCGTTTTCTTGATCACCAGCAGCAAAAAAGGTTTGCACGACATTTGGAATTTGGATTTCATACGAAAGCCAGAGGCTTAACGTAACGCATGAATGGGGCAGCGGATTCGCCAATAATAACGCAGCATCTTTGATCAGTTCAATAAACCCCGCGCCACCTAAAGCTTTGACTGCCCGTCCCCGAACCCCGGTGGTAGATTGCAGCGAGCCACTTATCTGAGCCCACGATTCTCCCTGGAGGTCCTTAATGTCATTCAAGTCATCAAACGTCCAGAGGTACTTCGAGACTGACAGAAGCTGGTCAACTTCTAAGACTTTATAACCTGTCGACACATTACACATTTATGTAAGTTCCTGAGAATTTTTATAAAGGAAACCTTTTTTAAAGAACACTTGCTGCTTTGCACGTCCAACTCGTTAATTCTTCATCTCGCTAAAACCTGGTCAGTTTCACTTGTGTAAAAGATATGTTTGAAGAAGCAAATCATGTACAGTTTTCGAAGCTTAGCTAAAAAATGCCCTACTATTTTTACCCCAAATTTTTGGACTCGGAAATGTGACGGAAAGAAAAAGCAGAAAATTTCACCTTCGTGAAGTCTTAAATTACCTCTAAAATTTTGGGAAAATGATACTGAAGCCATTGTGAATTCGAAAAGACTCTTGTTGCCCTAGGATAACCGAACAGATACAACTTTTATAGCACCACTTATATTCAATCTAGAAATCTGAAAGTACTCTGGATTGCCTAAAATGTTTTTCTTTACTGGAGGAAAGCGTCGTGCACCTCCTTCAAGTGTAAGAGTGTGTCACAACCATAAATAAATAAATAAATAAATCAAAGCGTCAACTTTACTCTCTAGTAATAAATACCTCTTACTAACTGCGTTAGAGGTCCGTACTGTAACTTACGCATCGATTTTTTTCATTCTGAATTTTATGGCCCAAGCGCCAAGTGCGTTGGCACAAAAAAATAATGATCCGTTATGTTGTTAATAATTTGGATCCCACCCCCCGAAAAAAAAAAGATGATGACGATAATAGTAATAATAATGATGATGATGATGATGATGATGATAAGAATAACAATAATAATAATAATAATAATAATAATAATAACAATAATGATAGACAACGCTCCATAAATAAAAATGCTGTATTGTACTGTATGATTGAAATACCGCTAAGTACATGAAAAATAAAACAGAAACTGAAATAAGCATACCATGACATTCATAGAACTCCGCTCTCATAGATAAATGCCCGTGCCAATTCTTTGGTAAAATTCGTATGAAGCGGGTGAAGATAACTGGGCTGATTACATGGGAAACAATTGTGTCCCGATCTGAGTTACCCTCGAAAATCTAAAAAAGAAATCAATTAATCAATCAATTTTTTCTTTATATTACTTTTATGTTACTTTTAATACTCCTTCCATCCTGATTAGGAATTAATCGACAAGGGCTTTTTTAACAGGCAAATCATGGCGCGTACTCAAACCCTGGTACAAAGGTGGGGCTCCCCAATAAGAATTTTGGGGTTGTTTCACAGACGAATTTAAACAAAGCTTAGTTTCGTCTATGGCGCAGGCTAGGGTACGTAAGTAAGTACGGACGGACGCACGGATGATTTTCTCACAACCTCAATATACCTTGGATGTGTAGATAACCAAATTTTATGCACTTCGCTTTTCGCTACAAAAGTGTTAATCCTTTCTAACCTTAATTTCCCCACACAGCTTGTACATTGGGAAGTAATTTCCGTCCACGCTGTAAGATAATGAATAACCAGTAACCCACTGATCATAGTCTGATCTTCCCTGAGTCGCTATTTTAGCCAATGCAACTATCCTAGTAAAATCCACTTGAAGCCATGGGCTTGAATCAGGTGAAAGAGCTGACCAGGCACCAGTCCTTCCGCTACCAGCTCGAAAGTTCAGTCGTGCATTCCCTGCTCCATGGGAAGGGTCGTGTTCAGACGAGGCAGTAATCTGTGAATCAGATATTGACTGACTTTCCATGCCCAGAGCATTACAATCTGTTTTTAAAAATTGGCAAAGAACAACTAAATTACTTCGAATGTTGGGAATTAGGTTTATTACCGCCATCAGAAGGACTTTTACATGGTAAGTTTCCATCCACGCCGATCCGGATATTTTTGAAAACGGAGACCATTTTCAAAGAATAAAGGTTCACGTTGCGTATTTGAATGCTTGCGTTATGTCTAGCTGAGTTCGAGGAGAAATTAAGCTAACGGGAATTATAGTAACTTCTGCCAGTTGCTTTGTTGTTCTAATTGATTCTTAGATTTTACAGTTTCATATGATGAATTATTGAATATTTTTTTAGTTTTTAATTTTTAATTTTTAGAATATATATATTTTCTAGTTTTTAGAAAATATTAGGGCAGTGGATTACCTGTAAACCAGCTGATAAGCAAAGCGTAATATCTACGTTAAATAAAGTATCGTATCCTAAAATATCTCGATAACGCTCTATAGATTTCCCAAAAATTTAACGAACATCGAGACGGCTACTGGAGGAAAAAGCTCCTGTGAACGATTTTGGAAGAACTGTTAAGTTCCCAATGACGAGAAATACGGCTGCAAGTAAAATAGCTAACGGCGTCATTTCGTTGCTAAGACAACTCCGATGTCAATGTAACTCTGATCATAACAATTTTCATCTTTATCTAATACAGCTGTGGTGGTAATTTTTCCAAATCTTTGTTAACGGCGACGTAGTTTATGCTTAAACTTGGGAGGTATTAAACCTTAAGTGAGCCACCTTAAGTGAGGCTCCAGCAACCAGATAATAAAATACTGTTTTTCCTTAGTCCGAAGAATGCATTTGGCCCTCTAACCAACTGCCTGTAGTTGAATTACGTCTACCTCTAATGGTGAATATTGAAAGTTAATAGTGAAAAACCAATGGCCCTGTTTCGCAAAGTGGGTTAATGTACCTTCACTTGAAAAGCTCTTGATTTCGCTATCCTTCGTGTAATAGCAAGGTGAACTCTTCGTTTTATCAAAGCGCCAGCGGTCCATAGTTAGCGCCTCTTCATAGTAACACCTCCATTTAAAAGTGTTAGGCTGTCGGTTCGAAAAGTCAAACCGTGCAAACAAATTTCCAGCACAGTTGTTTGAAGGACCCAAGATTTCATTGCAGTACTTGTCCCTTTTGTCCTGCAACTCTACAATTAAGAAAAACAGATTTATCAGTACTCCATGCATTTAAAAGCATCTAACCATAGTCACCACAATTAAAATTTTCTTCTTAATTCTTAGGCTGCTGAACATTCAATTTCAACGCAAAACAAAATAGAAGCCTCATAGTGTAATAAAGTGTATGACATGGAGTTTATTCGAAAACAAGTATCGAAAATCCCATGAAAACGCATCAAAGCTATCTTGAACAGCTAAGATAAAAATATTTAATTTTATCTTGCTACTAGTCTTCGCTATACGTGTACATGGCCTTATCACCATTTCGACGCTGTTACACGTGATGGGACATGTCCCCGCAACATGCACGTCGTGTTATCAACCACGAGCCTTGCTTACGTATAGTTTGAAGCGTTTTGGAGTGGTCTGCTACACAATTGGAATCTTTCTATCTCAGAGACATCTCAGACGCTGCCGGAGGACAAATGAACAGCCATAAACAAACGAACAAACAGACAAACAATCAAAGTCACAGGCGCTTGTTTTTTCGGTTGTATTATGGGACATTGGACAACTCTTATAAATAGGAGAATTTTCTTGATTTAAAAAACAAATGAATTAAGGCATTTTAATGGGACTGAAGTTGGCACTGAGTGTTTGTTACCATTAAGTGGGCGGTGAGTTAATAAGCACTTATTAGGGAGAAGCAGCATGGACGAGTGGTTATCTTCCAGGACCCGCAATTTTGCCTGCGGTCCGGCCTGGCTTCGTGTTCCGTATCGACCACTTGCTTTTGTTTCATTCTGGGTCGTTCTGAGTCCAAAAACAAGGTCGTTCGTAAATGGACAACTGGCAAGTTACATCTTGTCAGCAGAGGTTTTTTTGTCTTGTTATATTCTGTCTGTTCATTTTTTTTTTGTTTACGCAAGATGAAAGGGAATCCTTCGTTCTGATTAGCCACCTGAGGGTAGATTATTGACCAAGCTCGTTCGGTCAAGATGGCTGTATATTGGTCTATTTTTTTGCGTTTTTTATTGACCTCCACTTTGTCTCGGTAAATAAGAAACAAAAAAGAACTTGGCCAAAACCCAGCCATCTTGACCTCACGCTTGGTCAATAACGCATATTTATCACTTTCACTTTCGCGGAAGGTTGTCGAAAAAAAATGTGGACGCGACAGTCCCGAAAGGCAATATGGGATATGATCAATACACTGTTCCCGGCACACAGGAGGCAAACATGCTTCTATGGTCTCTCGTACCATTCTCCAAAAATTCCTTTAGGAACTTGATTGAACGCAAAACCACACAAAATCTTTCGGGATTGTCGCATGCACCTTTTCCGACCTTTCCACCGTTTGAAAAAGAGCTGTTTGAAAGGCATGACCATACCTCGCCTCAGCCTGCAAATTTCTTCGTGTCTCAAAGCTGGATCACAGATGCACCTTCCGTTGATTTCGTCGCACGTTTCACCTTCACCGCATGGTGGATCACACAAAGAATCTATATAGCAGTTAAATTCATGAAAAAATTCTTGAAAGCAATTACTTCAGAAATAGCATTTTAATTAGTTTATATCTGCTCTAGCTACAACATTAACACTGACATTAACACTTGCCACTCATTACATATGCACACTTTGCGCATCGAAAGTGGGCGAACTGGAACGGGAAAATAAAAGCTGCATAGATTTTGTAAAAGAAGGCTTAAAAGTATAACTTGACATCACACTTCATTAAATAACTAAGATAATACGCGCGCTCTGATTGGCCGAGGGGCGTGTATGCATAAGAGTATGTAAACATGGTTGTGACGTCAAGATGTTTTGCTTTTCGCGCGCTAATCACGCAAGCACGAATTTGAAAAAGGCTTTGAGTTGAAAAATTCGACAAGTTCATTTTATTTACACATTTCCTCGTCGTCTGAAACTTGGAAAATCTTTAGAATCATGCTCCGCCTGTAAATTGTTTTTCGCTTGAGGTGACATTTTAAGCGAGAAAAGCCCGTATTTCGGAAAGCATCGACGAGGGGTTGAGAGAATTCTCGACAGTTATGCAAACTAACTGTCTCGAATTCTCCCAACCCCTCGAGTGTTTATATCAGGCTATGCAAACACGGAAAACGTTTCCTATTGCTCAAATCGTTACGAAAAATTTGCTTAATATGTCGTTCACATTTTCAGTCAATTCACAAGAGGGAGAGACGGCTAACTAATATATTACGTGTTTAAATTGACTAGTATCGCTAAAAAATCACATTTCCCCATTGCAATTAGAGAACAAATTAGAAATTAAAAGGATTCACTTCTCTTATTAGATCTTATACTGCAAGCCTGGTTGCAATCATGGGTCCATACAATTAGATCAGTCGAGTTGATCGTCGCTCACTTAAAAGTGTGAACTCGTAGGAACAAATGTCCACACCCGAGCACGTGACTTCGCCGCTGGCGCGTGCTGCCATGGTAAATGTCTCTGCAATCTAAATACAGACTTGTTTGCGTCCGACGTACCCCAGGAAATGCTAGACACAGGTGCCAATTACTCATATTCGATCGGAAGCTGCCTGCATTAAAAATATTCAAAAGGTACAAGAATGCCAAAAAAAGGTTCATAATTATTTTAGAGATGGCGGTTTTAATTTGTTACTTGATTTTTCTGGGAAAACTTTGGAACCGGAGACGTAGGCAGGTCACCGGCTAGATCATTATGGAAAACATCGCACATTCAGATTTTAGGCAGAATATTGAAACTTAGATAAGCGTTATTTTATGGAACGAAAATCATTATTACAAGTTACATGTATAAGAAAAGTCTTTTATGGAATGCACGGATTTCTTATGAATTTGCTGCAACATGGAATGTTACCTCTATCCTACCTGACGTAATAAAAACTTCAATCTCGTCTGCCTCAAAATCCGAAGAACCAGTGAAAAATACGTTGGGGTCAGAGATTCCGGAATAGTCGAAAACGCCATTAGGGACAATTTCGACAGCATTATTGGTAAAACACAACTCGGAAGTAGAATATCCCCAGCAAGGCCCTGAGAATTTCTTCATGCGAATAGCTTCGGATCTGTTCTCAGGAATGACGTCAATCTTCTTATTCGGTCCTTGACTCTGATCAAAAGGTTTCAGACTGAATAGGAAAGCTTTACTTGATGGGATGGCTTGTGCTGTAGTATAGCCTGCGACATAAATGACAGGAAAAAGTGCACGTTTTACGTACCATTTTCGATTGTTAAACGATGATTATGAAAACACAATTGTGGATGCTTAAAATAAATGACTGAAAGTGAACCTTATTGCGTAATTATTGGTGTGAATAGAATACGTTTGCTGACTGTCTCATCCACTTGCAAAGTTTCGGAAGCAAGGGCTGTCAAGATGATAAAAACTCACCTTTCCAGCTTCTATCAGCAAATCCTCCAAATAGATAAGAACCTTTTCTCGCTAGTGTTAGAGACGGGCCTTTGCTGTCACATTTACTGTGAAAGGTTTTTGAGTGCCATCCATCCACACTCCCCTTGTAGCATGGAGCCCAGTAGCGCTCGCCAAATCCTACCGCAGATAACCATGCCATTAATGTCGCCTGGTAGCTAATAACGTGGCTGATCATCGTCGAGTAAAATCCTGCAAAAAAAAAAAAAGAAGCAAAACACTCCATCAAATAAATTTTATATGATTGCCTTTTATAAGGTTTTATACGCTTCGACGTCATCAAACAGACTCAGCCGACGTTCGATAATTGATCTTTTCCACCATTTTACCATAGCAGCGCTATAACAAAACAAAACAAGGAAGGTCCAGCTGCCGTTTTACGGCCGTGAACGGATTGACCCACCAAGGCCACCAGAAAAACCCTGAATATTCTTTATTTAGAGACTGCTTGGGTACAAAGAGCGTCGTTGTTTGCGCCGGTTCACTCAGCCCGACGTTTAAATTTTAGCTTTTTGACTTCCGAAGGTCGAGGGTAGTTTCCATAACATGTAACCGACGGAGCTTTTACTATTCTCTATCACACTATTTCGAGTTGAAATGTCGTCTAGTAAGTGTTACTCCACTTTTCAAAAAACGATCAGAAGCCAATGGACGTTTGCGTTTTTGGCTGTCGTCAATCATCTTAAGGGAACTCTTAGGAAACAGTTTTTTACTTAAACGGGTTCAAACGGTCATGGTTTGTGATCTGTGATTGGTGGATTTAGATCCGTTTTGTGTGTTTCTGCGTTCTGAGGTTTGTTGCTTGTAATCGTAATTATGATTGACGGAAGGCGGCTTTTGAACTTTAGAGTTCGCGTTTTTGTGAAAAGCGCAGTAATGAACGAGGAATAAAGCATAAAAACCAGACAGCTTTCTCGTAGATGTATGCAGTAATGACCAAGAAAGATTTTTTCCGGTCACATTGTACTTTTACCCTAACCTGTCAGCTGCCTGCACGCCTGAGGTGGAGCACATGCACATGTTAAATTGCTCCCTAGTTTGATGTCCCTGATGCTGATGTCACCATCATCACCACCGCCACTGACACTTTCAACCTGAATCTACGGTTAACAAAAATACGACTATTACAACTGCATTGATACGACTAAAGAGGAAGTTTTCTTTAATGAACATTGTAGCCCGCACAAGGTATAATGCTTAGCTAAACTCACTGGTTGTGTAAAACAACTAAGTCATTTTCTTGTCAAGCTTTTCTTAAATTTATACACTACAGAGGATTGAACGTCTGAAAAGTACAATATCCCTCACAAACAACAACAACGACAAGATCCCTGTCACTTGCTTTACATGCGTCACTAACAGCGGCGGATCCAGACCTTGAAAACAAAATGCCAAAGCGAAGTATCAGTTTTACCTCAGCCATGTGGGCCTCGACTTTCTTCCGAAAATAAGGAGGGGGAGGGAGGGGGTGCCCACATTCACCCCCGATTTTAACAATAATATTTCTACCAGTCTGCCAGGTTACCTTAAACCCTAGAGCAACATCAATCGGTACTTGAGCAGTTTTCCACTCATTTCCTTCGCTACCACTTATTCGCCATAACAACGATGCAGAGTCATCCTGGGACACGATGTAAACATTTAATCTTCCAACGTCGTCTCCTGATATTTTGTAAGAAAATCTCAAACATTTCGCCGTCCCAACAACATGCTGACTTTCAAGTATTGAAAGATCGCCTTTGGAACGAGGATAAGCCATGTTTGTTTGAACATATTCCAGAGCTGAAAAAAATAAGAGTGGCACACGTCACGAATATTTGCTTTGCAGCAAGATAATTTTATAATAATAATAATAACAATAATATTAATAATAATAATAATTTTTTAAGAAGAAGAAAAAGAAGAAGAAGAAGAAGAATTTTTTGTAGTAGTGAGTAATAATAATTTTATTGATAACAATGCTAACTAATTCAGAATTAATTCGCCTACAAAAACTATTCCGTAAAAAAAAAAACATATTTACGCTTCCTTTCTATTAAAAAAAACAACACTTAGTTTTGATTAGGAAAAAAAAAACAGTTCAAAAAAAATATTATCGCGAAATAAAAACATTTCATTTCTATAAAAACAATCCATTTCGATTAAAACAAACTATTCTCAAGGTTAAACGCCTTCTTACTCTAAACTGAAAAAGTTTCTTTAAAAGTTCCTGAAAATAAAGAAAGATATTAAAAAAAATAATAATACGGGCAAGCTCTTTCTTTTTTTTTGTTAAAAAATCTGAGTAATAATAATAATAATAATAATAACAATTTGAAGTGCTGCATATTCATGGATAGAAATAATGTTGATCACAACATGTATAAATACTAAACTAAAATCGGTATAAACTAAATGGTAATATTTATATCATACACATTATTACTGACAGTAATTAAAACGAAATGCTCGCGAAATAAGTAAGTATTTGTAGCACTCTTAAAATTTGCCAGATCATCATGATAGCGGGCAGGTTTTGGCAATGAGTTCCATAGTTTTGGTGCGGCAAATGAAAACGACCGACAGCATAACCCTTCAACTTAGCTGATGGTAACATCAGGAATTTATTAAGGTAAATGAGTGTTTTTAATTTAAGATATAATCTCAATTTTTGTTGTTAACACCACCCAATCAGTTATTTTCCTTGGAAAAACTGGACCTTTTACAGAGATAATGAAATGTCTATAATTTGTAAATTTATAGACTTTTTATAAAGGTGCAAATGTTCCGCTATTTCTAGTTCTTTGCAACTTACTCTCTTCTCGGACTTCAACTTCACATAGCATCAAGGCTCCATTATCTACAATCCGCGTTACTGACACATATCTTCCAAGACGAGGTGTAGGGCAGCGAATTCGTCGCCAGGATTCCAGCTTGAAACCAAACACGCCACCACAAAGAGGATTGCTCCCTAAAGCTGGTACATCGTTAATGCCAATTCTTATCTCTAACAGGTACTTCACAGAAGAATCAGAGTACATAAAAATGTAAACGTCGCGAATCATAATCTCCCTCTCTAGGTCAACTCTCCACCATGGGTCTTTTTGCACCGTTGTTAAGCTACACATTTCGTTCTTTGAATCCATTCGACTGCCGTCCGTTGCCAATGATGAATCCTTCACTGTCCCCGATTGACTGGTAGGTTTCTTGTAGGCTACGTTATAATTATCTGAATAGAGTTTGTGAAAAGAAAGAAATGTGTTCACGGACAGGACTCATTATTTCTATTGGCTGGAACAGGAGTTTAATTAAGAAATAGAGCTGAATTATCTAAATAGAGTTTGTGAAAAGAAAGAAATGTGTTCACGTCACCAGGACTCATTGGCTGGAACAGGAAAGTAATTAAGAAACAGAGCTGAATTATGGATGTTTCAGCTACCGACATCTTGTTCAACTGGGCCAGAAATTGTCATGTAAATAAAAAACAGAAGACGTAAACATCGGATCTAAATAGAAGGCTGAGTTAATTACCTTGCCCGTAAATTCAATGCTCATTATCTATTTAAGGAGTAACAAATTCATTTTAAAGAATAATAAATAGAATCTATGGTTGCAAGCTTGACCTGGCTTGACTGTTAACGTAATGTTGTTACATGGGCCTTCTTAGCAAGCACGGCTTAAATTGGAGCAGAGCTTGTGATTAATTGCAAACCACTTATAACTAGTCAACTTTGAAAAAAAAAAAAAGAAAAAAACACGCCACCTCACAAGAAATTCACCTGAGCCCGCGATGCAGTTAAGTGACACTTGAATACCGTTTTTCCACCAACTTTTATCACCCTTGGCGTTACCCTAAAATCGATCACCTTTTTAATTCTGATTTAAACCAGGCTTGTTAAGTCAGTCCGCCTAATCCCGGTAACCTCACTCGTATGAACAATGCCTTAGTCTTAAACAATAATTATGATGAAATATCTTACTTTTTATGACGTAGATATTCATGGCACTGGCGCTCCCTTTGCTATCCGTGCAGTCGTTAGACTCTTCATAAATTTTGCTTACATCGAGTTCACTCACTGAGAGGGTTAAGCATTCCCCGCCATTTTTGAACGCGAATATTCTATTGCCTATTCTACGAGCGGCATTAAGACATTTAATTACGGCATCGGCACGAGCATCGTAGCTGCCACCTAAAATAGGATCCGTATTCTCTAGACTCTGCATCAGAGGCCCTGAATCGATTCCAAAACAGCCAACCTGCGTGTACTCTGTAAAAACCAAAAAAACCAAAACAAAACAAAAACATAGATGCATGGTGTTATGTTGATCGTAGTGCATGAAATTTTGTAGGGTCATAACAGGGCCATTTATACGAAGAAAGAAAAGTCGCTTGTTATAGGGGCCGGTTAATTAAGACGCCAATCTCTTGTATAAGTGACGCACAAAATGTGTTCAGGTTTTAAAAAAGACGCGACTTGGCTAAGACACCGCTGTTGAGCGTGGAGTAAGATGCTGCGTCTTTTTTTCCCCTCATATAAAGCAGAGAGTAGTTTTGGGCGCACAGAATTATTCGGATTTTTTGCAGAGGAATACATAAAATGCTGATGACGTTATGGCCTTGTGTCTTTTATCTCATGAATAAAATTTAAGTTATAGGCGAGTAAGCACTTACCCTTTCGACAACATGAATCAATTAATGAATGCTTTAATTTTCTAGCTGTTGGTCAACCAATCAAAATACCAGACTTTCTCTGACCTTGAAATAATAACTAGACCACACGCCAAACCGGTTAAACAACCATTTTATTCATGAGATGAGGACACAAACGGTTAAGAGGTCAACGACGATAATGTAACTGTATTCCTCCGCAAGTTAATGAGACGCCTCCGCAAAAATTCGGATAATTTGTTGCACCATCTACTACTGTCAGGACACCAAGAAGGGCGAGTTATACCTTTATCGTCCCTTAAATAATTTTCCCCAGCACACGAATCATGACTGTGATTGGCTTGGCAGTCATGTTTCAGCTTCCACTGAAAAGAGGGGGGACCTATGTTCTTCCACATAAACCACGGCATGGCTAGAAAAAAGAGAAAAAATAATATCAGAATATACGTTTATGATGAATTTGCATAAAGTAATGCGACAAGTGAGCCTAACATTCTCCGACTCCCGGAAAAAATATTCGAGCCATATCCAAGGCTTTGTTATCTGCTTATTAGGAAATAATCGTAATATTAATTTTGATTGAGTGACCAAACACAACCATTTAACGCAAGCGTACAATTAACTACTATACAAAATAAAACTGAACATCAAATTGAACTTAAGTTACCTGCATTAGTATATACGTCTCTCACTTTTTGTTCTGGAAGGACCGCTTCCCAGATTCTCAGATCAGCCATCTGAAAGTTATGGCCCCATACCGCCCAGGAATTCGCGTCCCGTCCAATCGTAAATTTGGTGATTTTATCTTCAGATGGATAAGGTAGAGTAATTGGCTTGGTTGACTCAGCCAATAGCATTCCATTGTGATACAAACGAAGCCCCCACTGCTGACTCCATGTGATCCCCACGTGATCCCAAGCCAAAGACGACTTTGCGATTCGGAGTTCCCAGTTCTCCTTAGAGGTAGATACTGACAGAAGGTACGATCTTGAAAACTCATGGTAGCCGCAGAAAATACCGGGATCGTTCTCGTTAATTCCTCGACTTGTTAAAATAACGTCGATGCTGTCTGCTCAAAAATGAAATGAAACAAAATGAGCGTTAATAAAGAGGAGCAGTCGTTACGTCACGTTGCCATGGTAGCAAAAATACTGGATCTCAACAAACCATAATCCTGCAAATAATTTTGTTACAGTGCATTTGCAGTGGTTTTGTTACCTCTGCATCCTGCGTCCCTGACGCATAAAAATCCCCCAACCACGCAAAATAATTTATCACCTGAGTCCCGATCCGTCGATTTCAAGATTTTCTGTACCATATCCTTTTCGTGTGATTTCTGTGGCTGTTGTTTAAAGATGCATATTTGTTTTAGTCTTTAAATGCACTAAAACGTCCAGATTAATTGTCTGGTTAGATATATGTTACTGTTTCAGGATGCAACATGGTAAAATGTGCTGTAGTATTGAAAACACGGTTCGCACAGATTTTGAATCCAAAATTCAAGATTTTTGTCAGACTTTTTTCCCAAAACAATAACGTATTTTTCCAGACTTACGGTTATCAAATGGTTGATCAATAGAGACCTTAATTAAAAAACGCAGACACAAAGTATAAGTGAAATCACTTGTCAAGCACTTGTAACTTGAAAAAAGTACTTAAGACTTTTTACTATTTTTCCAGTCTTCATTTCCATTTTCCAGACTTTTTCAAGGACTGAAAAATTGCTGGGAAAATTTCAAGCTTTTTCAAGAATTCAAGACTGACTGTGCGGACCCTGTGAAAAGAGGAATCGATCCCGGCGGGAGCTTTTTTCTGGCACCGCCCTATTTCCCAGATCACGCGTGTTTTATTTTCGCTTTGCTTGTTTTATTTCGCGACGTCCTAACTATCCGTGAGCCTGACACAGCCGGGCTAGATTAACGCATGATAAAAGAAAAGATAACACGCCTTAACCTGGACCAGCATAGTAAAGTTCCAATGTCCTTAACCATTCAGCCATGCAGTATAACCCAGGGCCGGGTTGTTCAAAGCTGGGTTAAGATAACCCAGGGTTAGTGGGAAATCTGAATTCACATTTGAAAGCCTAAAAAGTAAATACATTATAATTCTTTCTGTCAACAAGTAAATGATTGAATGCTCTTCAAAATAACAACAGAATATTATCAGAGAAAAAATGCTTTTGAACAGAAGAAAAAGAAACCCGGGTTAAATTTAACCCTGGGTTAAGCGCTAATCAGCCTTCAAACAACTGGGCTCAGAACTAAAAACTACCTTTTTCGCAAGCCACATTAACTAGGCTTTCGCAATACACATCGTTCCAAAGTCGAGTATCATCACGGAACTGGCCACAGTGTTCGTTGTTTCCATGATTGCTAGGTTCTCCTGTTGCCCAGAAGTTTGTGTCAGAAAGAATAGAACCATCATTCCACTTCCAAACACCAGTATTTCTAGCATCTCGGCGCAAAGCCAACCACCAGTTTTTACCATTTCTTTTCACAAACTGGTTCTCCTCCGCTGAAGATATTTTTAGTAGGTCCGCGCCATAATTGCGGCAAAACGCCAACGCATCTGACCAGGTTTCAAGATTATCCCTGAATTGGTAACAGGATCCTTGGAAATACTCCCAACCCGATGGACATGTTGCTATTTTGGATAAAAAAAATTGGTTATTGTACAAATTAGTGTAATAACAAGACAGTGTAACACACTTGGCCCTATGAGCGTGTTTTTATAAGATAAGTAGGCCGCCCTGGTTTTTACGATGAAGGGAAAACATTCGTAGCATCGCAAAAAGCGCGCGCAGCAGAGCGACATGGGTAAGAAAATGTGGTTATCTAATGCATTCGAGAAGTTTGATAGTGACATGTAGTCGCGTGACCGCATATGCATGTCTGTCCGTCCGCACCACAGCAATACCAAGGTAAAATAACTCAGTCAACAGGTACGGCAACTCGAATGCAACTCGAGGTTTCCTTGGCCGGAATTCGCATGGGCACCCGTCTCTTGTGAAGCAGAAACAAAAAAACCAAAATGATTCTCTGAAATTTTGTTTGCCGAGGCCAAGAAAGTGTTACTTTAATAACATTATTACAGTAAACAAAAGAAAACCCTAATTTGTTTCCACTTTCAACACACTATTAAATTTATTTGGTGATTCACAAAACTAGTTTCGTCTAACGACCTTTTCAGTTGGTCGCCACGGTATTAAAAATATCAGACACTTTACGTAGCGATGCATGAAAAATAACCCCTAGTAATGAGGCTATTCGGTTACAACAGTCCTTGGGATTTCGGACGTTGTTCCATTCACTTCCATGAGCTCAAAAAGTGAGTTCCTATCCTGTGGATAACGTTATTGAACTTCTGAACAACCGGGGCCTGATTTCAGTCACTCAATCAAACTTCCTGACGCTGTAGGCAAATAATTGATCGCTCACCACTGACAAATAACGATATTTTGCTCAATCTGGTCCAATAACTGTTAATTGTTAGTGAGACCCTTTAACAATTACCTGCTTCTAATAAGTCTACCCTCATACAGCAGCGTTTAGATGCCAAACATTCTGTCGGGTGAAATCGTATTAAATGTGCCGTTACTGGAGGCACAAGAATATGCCTTACAGATTTTTTACCATTCCAATTACCTGAAAACACCTGAAAAATAAGCAGACATATGAAATCAAATCGATCACGAAAAATAATAATGTAAAAACTGTTTATCGAAAACTTTGCCACCACTGACCATTTACTTTGATTCAAAGCAAAAGCACTATTTTGATAGGGCAAGTTCGATTCTAGTTTGATTTACTGGCTCACTCATTACACATTACAGGCTGAATAATGTTTTACTTTTCAGTTATTTGTAAATTAGGATGATCGTTTTATATACTTTTTCGAATTCATCAGATTTCTGTATTCATTTTTATTACCATACTTCAGTCATTCCACCCCGTATTGCCCATGAGGCTGATTTGAAAACGCTTCCGAAACTTTTCAGAAAGATGAATTAAAGCGGGAATAAAGGTCACTGAAAGTGATTAAATCAATGCATACAACTGAAAAATATGCCTAAAGAATATTTATGAGTTTTTGAAGCATTATTACAACAAATTGATATTGTGACCACCCATACCCTAGCGTTTGATTCGTCGAGTTCTTTGTACTCCTCCCACGATCTCACTGACGAATTTTGATAACTCAATGTGAATTTCTTGACAAAACCAAAGTCATCTGGAGCACCCTGAGTATCTATGGAGCTTATACTCCTTTCCTGACCTAAGTCAAGTTGAAGCCAGTCGCCAACCTGACCACACCATGACGAGTGACAGTCCTTGATTAACCCTAAACGAGCTAACTGGGGAGTAGTCATACATTTCCAGCTTGAGGAGGACCACTGTGTGACACTGTAAGTTTGGAGAGCTTGGAAAGAGAAATGAATTGACAAGCTTGAGCAACTGAAATTACATTTGTCAAAGTCAAACACTACTTGAAAAAGGCCCACTACACATGTCGTGCTTCCACTGAGCCAAAATTAAGAAGCAGGACAGAGGCACGACTTCAATTCAGAAGTGTGCCGGAGTCAAACCTAATAATAGGGACTTGGGATTCAAGGACGCAGCGGCAATGAGAACGTCGCTTAAAAAGTGCATTTGCATTCTTTTCAGTCTTTATCGCAATTATGCGTACCCATTTACTTTGTCAAATGAAGGCGAACCCTCCTAGAGTTGAATTCTTTGGGACCAAATCCAAGTTCAGAAAGAGAAAATTTCGTCGTTGCTTGTTTACGTCCTCCATAGAGCGTGAAATTAGGCATTTTCACGTCGTCGTCGTGCAAAAACGGGCAAAGAAATGTACAAAAAAGCGTGATGCACGTGCAAAGGTGTTGTTTTGCTTGTAAAACCTATTGCTTTTTTGATGATCTCATTGCCGTCCGAGTAGTGGATCTTAAAGTCCCTGGCCCGGTTGCATAAAACCTACACTTAAGTGCCCACTTAAGTAGGTCACTTACGAATCCGTTATGGGTACACTTACGGGTGTTGCATGAAACGCACTTAGCACTCTCGTAAGTTACTGTTTTACGTGGTAACTTACGGGCTCACTTAAAGGCACACGTAACTTTGAAATAGTACTTTATTAATGACTCACTCTTTTTTTTTAATCTAGCCATCGGTGAGTGTAAAGAAAGTTTTAAGTCGTCTCGAACACTTTTAGGCCTCTCAAAAAAATGAAATTTGCATGCAATCGTTATTTTTCTTCAATGTCTACTGAAAATGATAATTTTTCTTCTTTGTTCACAACGTCGGCTTTTTTAAAGTGTACATCAGAGGTTAACAAAGCGCATTAAAACGAATTACGTGAAGAAAAATTAATTCTTTTCACTTCTCAGTAAAAGATCTCGTTAACTTTAGTAAAAATAGTAACCGTACGGGACCTACATAGGTCCCGTAAATTTACGTGCTATTTTTCCCGTAAAAAAAGTTTTATTCAACACCCGCAATTTCTGTTGCATAAACGACAATTAAGTGAACACTTATGGAAATCGTAAGTGCAACCACTTAAGTGAATTCCCTAAGTGGACCACTTAAGTGATTTAATGCAACTCACTTAAGTTACGAGTGCACGTACGTATACCCTTAGTTTTTACAGGCGTTTTATGCAACCGGGCCCCTAGTAGCGGCACTGGAAACAAAGAAATATTCATTTCGCGCGACGTTTGAATCACTGCAGTGCTAGGGTCGTGTAGCACAGCAGACCTTGTAGAGCTTAATTGCACTGCTGAGCCACATACAAAACTTTGATACTTTGATTCAGACGTTGTGTTTTTGCCGTGCCATCGGGGGTGTTAACAGTTATTATCATGTTTAAATACCTGCATCAACCTGAATTTTAAACACAGAGCCCGCTCCTCGATAACATTATAATAACAAATGTCATGATTATGTTGTTTGCAATTGAGTTTAGCCTCAAGTGAATTCTTATTATGCAAGCTCTTGGAAAAACAAAAAATTAACACGATCTTTCGGAGATTAGCACGCGAAATTTACAGTTTTTATTTACAGCGGATTATCAAATAAATACTGGTCTTTCAAACAACGTCAGCTATCTTCCGAGTTGTAGATCTTCATCGTAATACACATGGTATTGCGTAACCATTTTGTTGAAAGATCGGAAAAAGCAAGCCCCATGAGACAGTCCAAGGTTGTGATTTGTGATCGACTTCCCAAGTGAATAAATAATGGATTTTTTCCGATTAGAGACGGGTTGTCCATCCGAGACGTATAATCCATTTTTAAAATCAAAGCAAATGGATAAAGTCAGGCAGATTGTCCATCCAAAATTAAGACCGTTCCACTTTCAAATTAAGACGTACTATCTATCTGACGCGAATTGTCCAACGGATAACCCGTCTCAGGGGGATAATCCGTCTCTAGTGTGAATACGGCCAATGTAACTATAACCTAAAACGTGAGACAAACAATAAGTATTTTTTATCGTTGATTCTGGTACATTTATACTTGAGCGATGACTCAAAACTAACCTTTTTCACAAACAAACTGAATGCTTTGGCCACAGTCGTCTAAACGCCAACTCCCAGACTGCACGTACACACAGTCATTCCTCCCATCTTGATAAACAGGTTGACCCGCGATCCAGTTTACATAGTCAGGCGCGTTTTCGTCGTCTACCCAGTTAAGCTGGTTATCTGCAACTTCTCTTAGACCAGACCAATACCGTTCACTTATTTTGCTCCTAATAAATTCATTTTCCATCGGTGAACCTATGTTGACAAGGTTTGCTGACTCTCCAAGGCAGTGAGCTTTAGAGTCGGTCCATGATTTTGCACTGGACGAGATTGAATAACAAGATCCTTGATAGTAACGCCAACCAGGAAGGCAGTTCTCTAAAAATGAGACAAGTAACATATTCCAGGATTTGATAAAGAATAAGCAAGTTCTGATGTTATCGTATACAGTAGAAGCTCTCCTTTGAGACACTTTATCCAAGGTACACCTCCATAATTCGGTCCTGGAAAAATGTTTACATAATCTATGTATTCGTTACCGCCATTCAAGGAACACCTCTATTCTGGGGAAAGGGACTATTTCTGGTTTCCCAAACCCAGGTTTAAAATTGCACTAGTCAAAATGATAACAGTTTCACAAAATGAACTATCTCACTTAAATCGATGCACTGCTCTTGTGGGAATTCAACACACAATACCGCAGAGATAAGTTAATCACGATTTTCCTATACGTTATCTAGCTGCTTGAAATAATAACTGCGGCAGACGCCGAGGCAGAATAAAAAAAGCGTTTTATTCGTTGATTAATTATTAACACATTCCAGCACAACCTCTATTCAGGGTTCATTTCCCTTCCCCTGAACAGCCATTCCACTGCACCTTAAAATCCAGAGATTGATTTATCACAAAATCAGTACTAGCTAGTATGAAAAAATGTTTGTCTATATCAATCAAGTCGTCGCTTTCCACTTTTTTTATGGAACTCTTATGTACAAAGGGAAATGCGAGAAAATTGTGCTTACGTTTTTACGAGTGTCGGCTTATACACTCGTCTCTCCTCGGTCCTCTACATTAGAGGCCTTTCGCTGGAGAGACGTCTGCGATTCGGGCCAAAAACAATTAAACCTTTACCAAAATAGACTAGGGAAAGCATAAACACACTTGAAAAAAGATACGTGTGGAACCTCATGACTAACAAGTTTATTATGTAAACATCAGCATGAAACCTCCCTTGCGGAGAGAGGATCGAGATACGGCTGTATTCGCAAACTACGTTTCACAATATACACCAATGAAACTGAAAAAGACTCACTGACTATCCCCTGGTATTTTGCGTAGACCGCTGATAGCTATTACCTTTCAATATTCCAACTCGCATGCAGGGCTCGATCTGAAATGTGTTCACTGTAAATCGTACATAACGTGCTGAATATATTGTCGGGTAGAAATAGTCTACTGAAGACTGAAAGCAAACAAACAAAATAATGAAATGAATTGCGAGTTTGTTATCTCCTTCTGACGCACGCAGTCGTTCGTTTTGGAATCACCAGGAAAAGCGTTGCGCGACCAACCTCGACCTTGGGAACGAAAATGTTGTGTGACGACGCAAAAAAGGGCTGTTAAATGATTGAACGCGGTTTCGGACAGAAGACACTGAGCAATATTAAATCATATCTCATATGTATAGTGGAGATGCTTTAGGCCCTTTTGCGGGGGCGTGGGGAATCTCATTAACATGCTCGGAAACACATTAACACCGATGACATCACCAATTTTAAGACAGAGATGAGCAGTTTCACAGAGTCTTTGTGATATTACTAAAACAATAATGCGATCAATTCTGTGATCATTTCTACCAAAGACAATCATGACCGATTTTATTATGGTATGATGTATAGAAAAATTTAAAATGAAGACATTTCATTTAAAATTTGGGTGAGTTGAGTTTAATGGGGTCATTACTATCGAAAGCCGGGGCACTAAGCACACAACTGTAAAAAGGCGTATTTGTGGAATTCAGTCATAAGTTATTCTTTAATAGTTAAAGACCAACCGTTTCAAGCAGCCACGTTCCTTCCGTAGCACCATTAGCGCGGAGCCCCACAGTATAATTAGTTACTATACTTGTGGAGTCATTGGACCCTTGCACAGCGACACCATATATGTCTTGATTTAACCCCAGATCTACTTGAAGCCACTCGGCTTGTCTTTTGTAAAATGAGCACCAAGATCCTTGTTTATTGTTTAATACAGCGTGCTCTGGTCTCCCCTCAGCGTTCAAATCATCTAACGATGAACTTGCACTTAGTCGAGAGTCCGGAAATTGTGAAACGCTCTTCACATTTACAAGATTAGATGGCACTGGAAAGATAAAAAAAAAGGCTTGATAAATAATAACTCATTTTTACTACTTCAAGCAGAATGACCTTCAGAGTTTTGCATTTTGGGCAATTTATAGGGTTTACATAATCAAAACTCGTTGCAATAAACAAAAATAAATACATGAATCAAGTACTAGTGGGGTTGGTAGTAATGAACTGAATCGCTAATAGACCTTTCCCGCATTCCTGTAAACAAAGGCATCAAGTCGAGGCTCGGAACTGTCCAACCGAGCTTCGACCTCATCTTTTCTATGTTTGCGTATGACTGGAGCGGAATGCGAAAAAAATCTATTTAGTCATTCAGATATTTCTATTGAAAGTTTAGCTTTTTTCCATGTCATTAGAAAAGGAATCTCTCACGGAGCCTCCTTGTCACCCTTGCTGTTTATTATAGTAATGTAGCCACTGATACTAAGGTTGTACGATATAAACCGCAAAGGACATGAAGCCCATTTACCATCTACTTGACCTATTCCAGCGGTGAGTAGTTTGGGCTAGACGGGTGGGCACTCTTGAAAAGAAGAGGAAAGAAAAACAAATACCTTGCCATTTTACAATTAATACCAAGATAAAAGGTAAGATAACAGCAGAATTGGGTATGACCTGTGTTGATCCAAATTGAGTTAGGGAAGTCTTATTAGTGGCATCAATACCTGAGCTGTAGGTGTAGTAAGCTACGGTGCAAGTATCGCGGATTAGATAGTGGGAGAACTGTTGAACATGTAAAACTAGGAAAACATGGAAAACTAGGAAGATATTGACAATGAAAGGCTGTTTACACAAACGGAGTAATGTTGCCAGACTGCACCTACTGTGGAAGGAAGGGAAGGAGTGGGGGGGGAGGAGAGGGTTGACTGACATGCGAGCACTCCATGTTACCGGTTACGCGACAACTTTTCCTACCAAAAAGCAGACATACCATCCCTTACTAACAGCAAAATTCTCACAGCAACTACAACTCATTATTCTTCGGCAGCATGAAAAAATTGGTAGAAATTACTGGCACAAAGATCACGACTAGTATTTCGCTGCCTGTTCAAGGGGACGTTTTAATTCAAACCATTATCAGACAAAACTGTAACTGATTATATTTTTTAATGTATAGCCGCTTATTAAACTTTCTGGTAAGGAAAACTCAAGGGACCTCAAATTTTTATCCAAACTACTGCCTGTAAGAAAAAACAATCCAAGTGAACCACTAAGACGAAAACATGACCTTGTGAGTCAATGTAAAACTATAATCTGGTCGCGGAAAATTTTTAACAAATATACGTAACGCGAAGGGTATGGGTCCACGATATGGTCACGTGCTCCTCCTAAGAGGATACCCTGCTTTAGTACTGCCACTTGTCCAAAGTATGGAATCCAATGTCAACCTTAAGATGTAGGCTGACGTTGGTTTATGCGATTTTTGCAAGGATAAGCTTACATTACAAGCCTGGAACTCTTTCCAGAGTCTCCACTGCCCTACTATGTGGACGCTGACTTGACGTTCACACAGACGTACAGTACGTGACCCTCGAGTAACGTCCAAACAGAAAAAAGGTCCATTTTCAACCCCCCCCCCCCTACCTAAAATTACCAGCGAGTAGTGGGCGTCACCCACACTCTTTCACTACTTAAGTCTTGAATAACTAATGTGACACAAAACTAAATGAAACAATACAAATGATATATACGGCAGCACTTTCACATAGCAACGTGATTATTCCTGAAAAAACATATTTGGGACTAAACCGCGGGAGTCTTACCATTGTAGTAAAATACTTCCATGTAATCCACCACAAACTTGTCGCTGCCGGCTAACAGCCTGAGTTTCTCATCTGAACTTAGGGTAATTCCAGATGGAACTTCGTACGATTCGCCAAGATTCGTAGTTGAAGAAGCTTGGTAAGGAAAATGACCGATAGCAATGTCACCATCTCCAAAAATGGGGCCACGTGTCGAGTCCTGCGTTGCAGCATTGTCCCACTTGTTGATTTTTAACTCCATTTTGAAAGGAGAGAAACCTTTCAAGTTTGTTAAACTGAAGATAAATGCCTTTTTGCCTGTTATATTTCCATCGTTACCTGTAAATGATAGTATCTGCTTAAAATATTTTTGCGTGTGTGTTTTTGCCTAGCAGTAGTTTCCATTTTGTTCAAGCCAAGAGGGAAGCTAAACGCGCCGGAGACGCACGCGAAGCAGAAGCACAGAGACGCACGAGGGCAAGCAAAACAAACAAACAAACAAACAAACAAACAAAAAACCATACACATACACCCCGGCAGTGGGAGGGGTGGTGAGGGTATTGGTCAAGTTCCTTGTCCTCTCCGGTAGCTAATCAGAACATAGGATTCGCTCCTTGTGTGCGCCCGCAGAAGCAGCCAAAAACAAACAGTATATGGGTAATTAAGATAGCATATTATAGGCTAATAGAAAGTTTAAGCCATAAGGACGGCGACGGCAAGGGGGACATCGTTTATCAAATGCATTCGCATCTCTTTAAAAATTATGTGGTTTTTCAGCTGCATCTGAATTGGTTAAATGTAGGCGAGTTGTCCTAAAGCTGAATTTTTAGAGCACTTTAAATTAAAAATAGGAAGAAAAAATTGTCGTCGAGAGTTTACGTCCTCCTTAGCAGGTCACAATGGACAGTTTCACGTCGTATTCGCGCAGTTACGGCGAATAAATGTGCAAAATAGCATGATGCATGATGCTGCTTAATTGGTTATTCAACCTATTACCTTTTTGAAGTTCTCGTTGCCGTTGCTGTTGCCGTCTTTAGATTCGATTGTACTCAGCTATATACATCGGAATGAATTATTTATGAAAGCAGGCAAGAGATAGTCCTCCTAACGTGTAGCAAATGGATGCATGATGTTTCTGTAAATGCGTTAGTAAGTCACTTTTAACAAACGAACGGGAGCTCTGGAATCTTACCTCCCCACTGACTATCAAGAAAGCCACCGAATATGTTTTGCTGAACTTGAATTAGCACAACAGTGGGACCTTTTCCATCGCAAGCGTGATGAAACTGATTCCCTCTCCAATTAGCACTAGTCGACCTAAAACAGTGAAGCCACTTTCCATGACTCGGAAGGACGTCGTCAAGCCAGGAACCCAATATAGTATCGTGCTCATCAGTATAACCTTGGATGTTCGATATCAAGCGCGCTACAATGAAAATGGCACAGAAATGAATTCATAAGCTACTCAAGTGTCATACAGCTTGAGAAAACACGGCATTTTGCGACTCCACCACTACTTATTCCGCTAAATGACGTCTGACGAACACACAGGCGAAGAAATTCCATAGTTATGACGCGACACTAACCAAATCTGGTTAGTGCTTCTGATCGATTGGTTGAAAATTTTCTTCCCCAATCAAAAGCACTACCCAGATCTGGGTAGTGACACGTCATCAATATGGAGTTTCTCCGCTGGTTTCTCGGACCTCATTTCGCGGGGAGAACTAGTGGTGGCGTCGCGAAATGCATTTGGCTGTTATTGTTACCAAAAGGCACTAATAAAGGCAAAAAGTCAACCGTAAGTCCTTCTATAAACACACAATAGTACTCTTTTCATTCAATTTTTAAACTGCAGGTTTGGCCTTACCTCGCCTCGATGAAATTAGTCCAATGTCCTTTGCTAGAATAACAGGATAGAAATAACAACACTGGAACTGAACCACATTACCTTTCCCATTTGTTTCAAAATGAGCATATCATATGAGATAAAACAAAAACGAAATGAATTATGGTCGAAGTGACGTCACAGCTTTTTAGATATTACTCGCGGTATTATTGCCAAATACTCTGCCAGTGAGCGCTCACTTGTGTGGCCTTTTACACCAATGATAGCACTTCTTGACTGATAGGAAGCCTTGAGTTAGTTCTTCACAAGCGTTTTCCTTACCGAATGGTTGGTTACCTGTCTTCCGTCTGCGTTCAATTCTGTTTCCAAGGCCATATTTTTCATGAAGGAGTCGATCTTATTGACACCCATTCTCTGTTTTTTGTACCAGACCACGGATTTCGGGTTTTCAATAAAGGCGACACAAAAAGGACCATTTCTTCGCATTTATTCAGGTCCGCAGGCAATCAACGTTTTGAAGAAGGAGACTGGACAACGGCGACCACCAGTGGCAAACATTTTTGGCTGAATAGATCTGCTTTTCCTTCTTAGACCGCCTTGCGGGTCTTAGTTGGGTTTCCTTCAAGTGTTGTTTACTCAGTACCTTGATCGTCCTTGTTCAAGTTAAAACCTTGGACAAACATCTCATGGTGCTCTTGGAAACCGCGAAGGCCAAAATGAAGGGTGAGCAGATATCACAGGGTGTAAAGGAGTGATTTTGGATTGTGGTCTCCCAGTACTTGGTTGTTCCATAGCTGCTCTTCATCTTGCTATGTTGTATTTGGTCGTTTCCCGTAGCCTCTCTCACGAAGAGATCTTGCTCTTCCCTCCAGGACTTGTCTGGACACCATAAATTCTTTGTCCTTTGCTATGGAGATTTTACTTTCATTTTGTCTCAGGTGTCTGTCGAGAACAGCCAGCATGACTCTTAGAGTATCAGGCTCATGCTCGGAGCCGTCACTTTTGCGAATTTCGGCGAAGAATCGCGAGAAATGACTGCTCAGTTCTTTGGCATTGTATTTTAAAATGTCGTCGTTAAGACCCTTGGTTGTCGCCCACATCTTCCAAACATTGTTCCAAGTCTTAGTAGTGTTGATTGTACTTTTTTTTTTTTACCGTGTCTCTTTTCGGCGAGCTGTTGTATTTCGTGCCCGGAAATTTCCGGGAACCTAGCCGCCACTTTTTTGAAAACAAAAAACAAACAAACAACAAAAATGCGCGCCTATGCTGTTGTCATGGTTACCTCATTATACCATCTGTTTTTCTGTTATACCTCTATTACGCAGAAATACCACCATCATCAACGAATCAAATCTCTGAAATTTCTTGGCTTATATTATAACCTGCTAAATAGCAACCAAATGACACCTTCATTCTGTCCTTAAAACTGCCCTCAGAATTAGAGTACTACAATGCTTATTCTTTGTTCAGTACTTACGCTTGAAACGCAACCAGAAACTCATCGATAGACCTTGAGAACAAGCACTAGGATCACTTATGCATTCCCATTCATAGCTTTGAAGGTCAACGTAATCCCACAAATTTTTGCTGGCCACACCCTTTTGCACGTACCACCACCATTGTTTCCAAACTCCTCTTCGGCCAGAAAAGCCGTCATACGTCCTTTTCCAATTGGAGTCTTTTTTAAAGTTCCAATGAAAAGTCTCTAAGAAAAATGGAAACGTCGAATGTTAGTTAACTTGATTATAACAAACATGTCACCTTAATTCGCCCACCTTACGAAGCATATCTACCAGACTAAGTTAGGGCGGGGGTCGTGAATAAGGACACTTGTTTCGTTCAAATCGAATTTTAATCATGGAAATCGTTTCAAGAATCATGTATCTGCACTCCTATCGGGACATGAAAGTGGAAGAAGTCTCAAAACGCATGCACAGTACCCAACAGAATGCGCCCTCCACACAAGATCAGTCTTCTCGTAAAGAAGCCCTTTAGTTATGGAGCAGCTGTGCTTTGTTTTATTTTATGTTATTAAAACATATAAAATAATGAATTAGTGACCAGCTTCGTGATACTTTCCTACAGAATGAAGAATCACCAGGGTCAAAACAAGGAGTCAGCATGGAGTGTCATGCAATTAACACCTTAAATAAGAGGATAACTGTAACACATAAGCTCTAGCCGTCATGTTTCAAGGCTTACCTTTGCTACAATTAAGGCTCACGCATCGTCCCTTTACAGACTTTTGTTGAATATGTCCTGCGAGTCACTGTTCTCATATTTCGAGACTAGTTTCTTGCAGTTGGTAAATGATTTAATGGATTCGGAACCAATTCTAGAATTGCACTTATTTCAGGCATCGATAAAAGTTGTTAGTGAGAGCAACAACTATTTACAACGTATCCCTTTAGAGTCCTTTTATTAGTTTTTCGAGAAAAAAATAATATCAAACTTACTGATCACTGGTCTCAGTTGTATCTATTTTTCACTTCCGTATTTTGATCTTTATTTACCTGAGAACTGGCAGAGTGAAGAGTCCTTCTTCTGAACATTTCCAACGCGCCAGACTTGTACTTCAGGCCATGGAACAACATTCCCAATGAGAGAGGAACACGCATGCGCCAGCTTCTCGATCCTAGAAGAATCGTCGATATACTCATCCCACAAATTAAAGAGAGTTAAGCTTCCTTTAAATCCTCCTATGACCAGGTAACCAACACTAGAGTGGTAATCGGCACCCAAGTCGATCCCTTCCTTCTTCTTCACGCCATCAATGTAAAACGTCCAGTTTCCGTATTCGGAAAGCCATGTGATACACAAATGATGCCAAAGATTGTTCGTCATGTTATTTTCCTCAACGTCAAATGTCCTAAAAAGATCAACAATAGCAACGGTTTGAGCCTATCAGTTTTGCAGTAACTTTCTAGCCAAAATAGTGTTAGCAAAATTTTCTTTATCCTAGGCTATAAATATTTTTACAATACATGGCGGCTCATAAAAGACGAAATTCAAATATCACTGCACCGAAAGTCTACGCGCATGTGCGTGGCTGTGGCGATGGACTGAACACACATCTCTTACCTAAAGTCGTTGCTCACATGTAGCAGGAAGCTGCCATTTCCACTGAAGAAAAAGCTCAAAAGGCTTAAGTTGTCAAAATTGTAAAGCGAGAAAACCCACTGCCAGTCTAGACGTCCCTCCGTCTTCATCCACCAGCATGACGTCATATCCCTGAGATCAGTGATCCGAGGAAGCAGAACGTAGTCAGAGGGTGCGCCACTAAAAATCAGCTCATAAAACCATTCACGTTCTTCAAATTGAGAGAAGAAGACATTCAGGCTTATTATAATAAATGAACTTCGTCCCAAGAGGTTATTCCATAGAAAATGGGAGTCCCCCCTTCCATTTTCTAACGGAAAAGCACTGGTGACGAAGTTGACAGAAAGAAAGAATTAAGATGTTCGATTAATTCGCCATTGCCATCTCTCTCATAATACACCTTGTTCCTCACCCCGCAAGGTGTATTATTGGAGATGTGCAAATGGCGATTAAGAACACATTCACTCACATTTTTCCTCTTCCTTGGTTACAGGTCAATGAAATGCCCGAATTAAAACGTTGGGTAAGCTTTGCAAGCTTCATGCACCTTGAAGTAGACTTTTTAGAGGTCCCTTTTTGACCCACTGGTTTTGAGGTTGGCGGGGTATTCGGGGTGTGGTTGTATTATCTCCAATCAAAAAGCGGCATTTTAGTGCCCTTAAGCGAGGACGACGACGGCAGGGAACGTCGCTTAAAAAGTGAATTTCTGGTTTTTCAATCTTCATCGCGATTATTAATCCAACTCGCTTATTTTGTCAAATGTGGAGATGAACTGCTAATAGCCTTGCCCAAGTTCGCAAAGAGAAGTGAATTTCGTCGTTCCTTGTTTACTTCCTCCATAAAGCATGAAATTAGGTATTTTCACTTTGTTGTCCTGCCAAAACGGCAAAAATGTACAAAAAAGTGTGATGAACGTGCAAAGCTTATCAAACCTATTGCAGTTTTGACATTCTCCTGCCGTTGACGTCGCCGATCGTAAGGCCCTGATTAAAGACATCATTTCGAGGAAAATTGACCCTTTGTTCGCATCATTAGGTGATAACTATGGGATAAGCTTTATACATCGAGAACCTGCAGCAGTGCAAGGTCATTGTATTTAAGGTCCTTTTTCTTTTCGTCACCCTTCGGTTTTCGATATTCAACCAACGTATCAAAGAGGCTATTCGGATTTGGTGTTTACACCCATTCCTCGTTTTTGGCAAAAAGTAGATTATTTCCGAATAAAGGGATTGTTTTGGTCTTCCCATGCGGTTTTGCTGTTTCTAATGGGCCCCATTACAGCGGCATTGCTATTTAAACCCTCTTTAGCTAAACATTAGAGTAACGCAGATCTGTTACCTCGACGGGGCCTGAGTTTCATGCTAGTTTCCTTGAGGGAGTAGAGATGCCCTCTCCAACTAAACCAGTTTATACCAACGCCAGAGGTATCATCGCCATATCTCCCATTTAAATTGGCAAGATGACAATCCCTATACCACCAAGAACCTGAATAGTTCTGGGCACAAGAACGGCCAGCACCAATGTCATTATCGTGATCGTGGGTGCTAAACATCATGCCGTTATGACTTGCCATGGAATCACCCGCTGTTCCAGAAAACTCGCTAAAACATACTTTTCCGCTTCTTTGCCGACATGAAATAAGCCATAATACGCATGTGCCGTTTGATTATCACGGTCTTTGAGTTCAATCAACATCTGCGACCCTTGTGTTGTAGTTTTGTGGATTTTATCGTTGCCAAGCCAGGACTCCCACAAAAGGTTTCCAAATCCCTCCTTATAACTATTCCAGTCTCTATAGAAATCGACAGAACCGTTTAATCTTCGCTGGACAACCGTCCAACCTCCTCCGTTAGTTTTCTGATCGCAGTATGCTTGAAAATAGCCGTTTCCGTCTGGGTTGATGAGATAGATGCCGTCATTCGTGTAACCCTGGTGAAGCAAGTCCAAGCAGTCGATCCATGATGCTGGAAAGCACGAAAAGTGAGTAATTCAGTAGGATTTAATAACGATTCTTTTAATGGAGGATGTGCGTTATGGGGAAGAAAATCTCGCCACCCACTAACGCCAGAAAATTTGGTCATTGCGCATGCGTGATCATTCGCACGCCAGACAGTTCGTCCTTGAAGGTCTGGGGAAAGGAAAGGGAATTCCTAAGGTAAGCCGAAGGAGGGGGGGAAGGGTGGAAAAGATTGCCATCCTCGCCTGATGTGTAATGCGTTGTGGTAAAAAGTGTTCGTGTAAATGACTGAAAATCCTGATATTTGCCCAGTAAGAATTTGTTTAAAAAGACGGCAAAAAAGGGATCATAGTTTCGGGCATGCGATTAGAAATACCGCCAATTAAATTTTGCAGAAAATAACCGCACTTTAAAATATTAACTTGGCCCTACTACCTGTGTATCTCTCTCTGCTGTAAGCAACGTACAGTAACTAAGAGTCTTAATAGCTGCATACTTACTGGATTTTATTTCCATTTCTATGTTTCAAAATAGTTTTGACCTTACGAGAAGTACATGAACAAACACAGGCAAAAAATCAAGCGCGCGTGACATTCGCGATATAGATGCTTTGTTTTACACACTCTTTTTTTTGTTGTTGTTGTTTTATAAGAATGCTGTTTTTCTTTCGGCCCGGCTAAATATTCGAATTTTTGTGCCGAATTATTTTTTTTTATCATTCATGTATTATTCTTAAATTATAGCTTATGACATTTCCGTTTTAGAATATACTGGGGTATCAATTATAGCTAGTGCAGGTCTTTTCGTCTTGATGGCGAGTTTTGCCGTTTAGAGAACGGAATATTAATTATAAAATATATTCTTCATGTATTATTCTTAAATTATAGCTTATGACATTTCCGTTTTAGAATATACTGGGGTATCAATGATAGTTAGTGCAGGTTTTTTCGACTTGATGGCGAGTTTTGCCGTTTAGAGAACGGAATAAGTTGAAAACATAAAATTGTATTGTATTTAAAGTTTTTCAACACACAAAATTATATCCCTTTCAAAACCTCAGCCTGGGGTTTATTCTTAATGATATTCGATATTCTTATAAAATTTATTCTTCTAGAAAAAGAGACTGTATTTCAGAGGTTAATAAAAATATCCAAACAACAAGTGTTTTTGTTCCCGGAAAAGCACTCTTGTTCATGCATATCGCGGTACCTTTTAATCCCAGAGGCAGACAAAAGCTTCCAGTCATCCTTGTGTTTTAAACATTTTGGTCTTTTAAACTCTTTACTTACATTTTTTGTACGAGACTGGGAACCTCGTCAGAACACCAAAATTCCCTCGTGGACGAGGGCTCTGAATAATTATCTGTTAAAGATTCCTATCATTTCCTTTAAATAATTGTAGTTTGTGTGTTAAGCTAAGTTACACAATACAACCAAGAGTATCATTCGCAAATTGTCAAACTTTCGTAAATTGTTAAACGTTTTGGTGGAACTTCCATATTCGCCTACTTTCTGCGCAGTGACATTCTTTTTTCATAGGTAAGCCCCCTGACAACAAACCATTTGTATTCTAGTTGTTGTCTCATCTTAATATATTGGTTTCTTTCAAGGTATCAGAAAACCTTTTGTATTTGACGGAGAAAATGTTAAGCCTTACCTCCTTTTGAGAAACCAATCATCATCACGAACAAGTTGCATATGCAAGTTGCGGGTAACGAAAGAAAGTAAATCTTAATCATTGTTTGGCTAGAAATATCAATGTTCACGACATCGATCGTATAACGAGACGATGTCGCAAAATTCTCGCAAAAAGTTATTTACAAACACGCCAGAAAGATTATCAAGCAAGATAATAAAATCCTTTGGCTTCCTAGTCACAGCGGGATATCTTTTGTACTTAACTCTCTCTTATGTCTCGCAGTTTTGAAATGTTCTCAGTAACGTCTCTTTTATTAAACACGTCAGTCAGGAAACCAGCCTAAGTAAATACAGCTACTAAAAAAGGCACTCAAAAATCCGTAAAGTGCTTTTGTTGATATAATAATCTTACACCATCATGCTGTAAATGAAAGTGCTACTGCAGCCCCTAGAGTCGCAATGACAAAGAAAATTGTGTTGACATTTTTTTCTTTCAAAGTTCTACAATAAAATATAACTGAAACCTCACCTCAATCCAGTGTTTATTTAAAAAAATCTAAATAATTCAAAGTCACGAGCTTTTTCAACCATTCATATTCACAAAGCTGATATACATTAAGGGTCGGTTATTTAAACGAAGTTTAAACTTAGGCAGCCGTTTTAGGGAATCTTTGCACCGCCAGATCTCTTTTTTAGTGGGTTATTTTAAGACGGCTAACGCTTATCTAGTCTACGCCATATGCTTTCATCAAAAAGTTCACGATAAATTGTGTTTACAGAAAGGAGTTCGGCGGCAAACTGAAAATGGCTTACAACGCGGTTTTGTTAAATAAATGGCCCTAAAACTTTAAGAAAGCTTCAATCTGAATGCATTGGGTGTAGATCACACACACACAAAAAAAATGACTTGAGGTCTAATCTTCCCTATTTCTCTTAACCAGAGGATGAAATGACAGCTGCATATACTCGACATTAAAATTAAACGGTTTACTTATCAAGAATCCGATTATAAATTATTAGTTTCAACGGCATTTTTAATAGGTCTGCAATACAACTTACTCACTCTAAATTGGGACCGAGCTTACGGATCGTTTTACGGACACTGAACATCTTACCAGTGAAAGCCTAGCAGAAACAGCGAATAACCTTTCAAACGTTGTGTCTAAGTTTCATTCCACCTAGCTGAGTCGCAAACTAAACGCGCCAGTGCAAAGTAAAGTCATGGATTCCCGCCGGCATTGTTGTATTTCAAGACAAATACTTGAAAGGTAGTTATAGTCTGAGACTATAATAAAAGATCATCAAAACAATGTTTCCTCGTAAAAGTGTCTGCTTTAGTCTTTAGATCTATAAAACATGTCCGCGACGCTTTTTCTGAGAGTGCGTTTAATACGGACACTATGGCATGTCCCCGTGGTGACCCTATTTACCGGGTTCCACTGTTACTTATAATCAGCTTGTTCATGAAAATGCCACAACTGCTATTAAAAAGAAGACAAGTTAGGCGAGGCGGAAAAAAATGGAGGAAACCAGTTCTTAGAGATTATTTCAAAAATGACAATTATCATTGTCCAGTTAGTTTAACAAATGTGTGGTATCTCTATGTAAGGGAATCCGGATTCCGAAATCCGAAAAATTTTTGCATGTGGAATCCGGAATCCCACTAACGATTGGAATCCAGAATCAAGTTCCAGTGACAAAACCGGAATCCAGTACCTGGATTCCGGAATCCACAGGCTGTAGTCTAGGGCCGAGTTGTTCGAAGCTAGGTTAAGATAACTCAGGGTTAGCGTGAACTTTGAATCCAGATATGAAAGCCTGAAACGAACATTCAGTTTATTCTTTTTGCATACAATTTGTTAATTGAATGCTCTAAAAATAATTGAGAAAATTATCCCGGGAAATGCTTTTGATCAAAGGAAAAAGAAACCCAGATTTAAATTTAACCCCGGGTTAGCGCTAATCGGCCTTCGAACAACTGGGTCCAGAATCCAAGACTGTCCTGGATTCCCTTATACATGGGCGATACATGCGCATCTAGGCTTCCCTGCAGACCCTCCTTAGGGATTCGTCACTCCTTCCATTCTCTTCCCCTGACGAAGCCATGAGGACGTCATAGGATGGGGGCTAGAATATCCCTTCTTGTTAATCCTAAGATCATGACATCATCATTGATGTATGTGTAAAGAGTTCATTAGTAATGGAACCCTTTCATTTTTTGACGTGCAAACTATGCCCTGAGTACTTCTATTACTTTGCACGAGCAGACCAATACAAAAGTACCACTAATTAAACTCAGTAACCATTTCAGAACCAGAAACAAGAGATTGTGCGTGCTGTCAGGAAGCCGAAGCAACGTAAAACATTGTTTTCACCTTAATTTTTGCCGCACTTCACAACCAGTCCCTTCCAACTAACTATGATGAGATCCACAAGCTGACAGCAGGGGGTAATAAGGAGGACAATTTGTAATGGTTATAGGACTGAGTGGGGTCCAATTCGGTCTGTAATCATACGAGTAATGAGCAAAATCGGACGACCGCATAGCGGAGTCCGATTTGTTTAATCACGAGAGAGTATGATTATTGGACGACATAAAGTTCTGTTACCAATTAATCGTAACTATAACGAAATTTGTGATATTCTAGGCTTTTTTAAATTAAAACACAAGAAATTCCGAGAGTGGAAAAAGTGAGAAAAGCCAATAAAGTGGGCGCGTGCAATGGCGCGTACTGTCCAATTACTAAGGCACGACGCGCACTGTCTTATTACACTGTCCTATTAGTACTGAAATCAGGACACTTGATAGCTAATCAGATTTGACAATTTTGTTATAGTTGTGATTAATACAGGTATGAGATATATAGGAATGTGCTGCTGTGGAGGTCAGTATGATTTTCAAGCAACTTAAATAGGGTTATGAGATAGGGATATCGAAATCAGGGTTTGGAGTTTAGAATAGGGTATCATTTTCTAGGA